CAGCGATCAGATGCTAGCAGACTTCAGCTTGGAGTCGACCCGAACTCGATCAAACGTCGATTGCCCTGCTTAACTCCGAAGCTCGAATGAGAAGCTGGCCGTCTGGGTGCGTTCGACGCTGGACGGAGTGGTGAACTTTGTCGCCGGTCTTTGCACGCAAGACTCGGGGGCTGCGTCCGACTTTGCGAGTAGGTTCGGATACGAGTGCGATGAGCTTGTGTGCGGTCGGAAGCTGTGTGGATGTGGTGGAGAGATGGACAGGAGTATGGGTTAGGCTCCGATCGACAAACAAGTTGTTAGCGAGCAAGGCTGCGTGCGCACCCAAACCGCGAATGATTTTGAACCCGTTTGGCTCGGCAGTCAGCAAGCGGCGAGTAATGATCAGCAAGGGTGTAGCAGCATCAGCATCAGCAGCACGTCTCAGAGGCCTCTTCCGGCTAAAGCGCGAGCCAAGTTCGAAACTCATTTTTCAAGAAAAACAGAAATCACAATGCCGCGGGCACAAGTAGCAGACGCGCTGTTTGCCAGCTCAACAAAGCGTGGCTGACTGCCTCTCGGAAACGCTAGGCTCTCGGAGGACATCGAGAGCACACGTCGCAGTCCCTGCCTTTCGATTGATCTTCCCTGCTTTGTCATTCAAATCCATCTGTACAGCTAGATTGCGTTTCCTGTGATGAACGGATGTCCTTTTGCGAGATAGCAACGCATCTGACGGATGGTAGTGGTATGCTACTGTATTGATGACGAGCTGGGAGCTGGTAAAATTATGCAAGCCGTCAGCGACCCACACAAATGATGTGTGTGGGCCGCGCCGTCCGGCAATTCTGTTCCGTTTGGAACCACGCCAATCGGGAACGCGAACTGCTCGTGTACGTAAGCAACACTTGCGGAATTGAGTGTTAGACTTCGCTTCTAGCATCGACAGAGCGGTTGAATTCCCATGACAGCGTTGTACTTCATTCAAATGAACACTTCGTGACATGTCGATGACAATAAGGTTCGGTTCAACACAATGAGGTGTGTGTATCATTGCTTTTGGTGTTTAGCTGTTGAGAACGCTTGGGCAAGCGTCTCGGTTTGTACAGGATCATCGTCGCTGCCGACGAGACTAGGACGTGTGTGATGAGACAGGATCGCGGAGGGGAGAGGGAGGCCGATGATGGCCATCGTTCACCCCCGCAGGTCCATGTTGCTAATATAACAAATGCGGAGAGGATCGTCGAGAACAGAAGGAAACAGTGCTTGGTTGGGAACTCGTGCGTTTAGACACGGGTCTTGCCGGCACCACCCTTCATCTGCTGTCGCGAAACCTGGGGACCAGCACCGCCGGCACCGACCGACTTGATCTTGTTGGCCTTGCGAACCTCGGCCTTGGCTTTCTTGTCCTCCTTGCTCTTGGTCACGGCAGCCTGGCGGGCGGCAGCACGAACCTCGGGCTTCTGGTTGCGGCGAGCGTTGATCTGCTCGAGCGAAGCACCCACGATACCACGCTGGTGCTTGACAGTCTTGCGCGAGCGCTTCTTGGCCACCTCCTCGGTAACTCCCTTCTTGTGAAGTCGGCGGTAGACAGTGGTCCAAGCGATCTTACGGGGGTTCTTGCGCTGCAGGAAGAGCGACTCGTTCTTGGAGCTGACAAAGCGGAATACCTTGTTGTCACCACGGACGTAAAGACGACCCTTACCACTGTTGAACGTCAATTTGTAGTCATCGCGCGTGTTCGTATCATTGGTCAGTATCACTGTGGGCTTCTTCCAAGGGCATCTGCATCCATGGGCTGTTGTTCTGAGGAAGTAGGTGTCCGGGTGTCGAAAGTGTGAACAATGTGGTCGTGTTGAACAGCTGTTTGGCGGCCCTGTTGCGACTTCACGTAGACCAGCTCCTTCCAAGGACCATTCTCCGGTCCCAACGTGGACGTTGGCTTTGCCTTTTGAGTCGAACGGCGCAACGAGTTGATCCGACCGACAATGATTACCCAGCTTCCCGATCCTCCAATGCTGATGGTGCCTCGCGCTATCCTGCCGTGTCGACGACGCTGCACTGCGGGAACTGTCGGTAGGGGTGGCGATCCTTCGATATCTGTCGCCTGACGGACGGGATGACGACGCTGATGTGATGCCATCTTCTCACCGTCGCACGGAAGACGGAGATGGTCGAAACCGCTGGCTGATGATGATCACTGGCGTGTCGATGCTGCGTGTGGGATACGGACGAAGTTGTTGCGGCATGACCCAGCCTCCGACACGACCCCTTGCTCTGACAGTGTCTCCTTCGAAGAAATGCTGTTCCGACCGAAGCTGAATCCTCCAAACCCGTTCTGATCGCTGTATCCAACGTGTGCTGGCGTGCCTTTCCGCCTTCGTATCCCTGCTCTGAGCCCATGATGTGATCTGACCAGATGAATGTCGGTGCTCCCTGCCTTGGTGTGCCCTTGCGGCTCTGACGTGCTCCTGCTACTCAAGGTTGTTATGTCGATGTTGGTGCAATGCTGCGCGAGTGGAGCAGCCCATGGGATGCAATGCTGATGATGGTTTGACTACTTACGGGTAGATCTTCCTTTGGGAGAAAGCGCAAATCTCGACCTTCATCTGAACGTGTAAAGGTACGGGGTGAAATGTGTTGGGTGGTGGTGAGCGGTTGCTCTGCTGAATACTGCTATACGGAATCTGCTGGCGGTGCTGGTATTCCGAGTTGCGATGTCGGCGGAGCTTACCTTGAGGATATGTGATGTTGATGTTGTCGAGGTGGAGACGATGGTGAGGACGCCGTTTCAGCAGCCATAGCCTGACGACGAACGATGAACTGGCCTCGAGCCTTGACTTGGCTTTGGCTTCCAATCGGGCAGCACAGCGCAATGTCAGTTGCTCGCGGCACTTCGGCAGTCTCGATGCATCCTCGCCCTTAGTGGGCTCACGTGATAAGCTCGGCCGAGCTTTATCGAATCGAAAATTTACCAGAATAAGCTGTACACTGCCGGTCTCACAATTGAAGGAAATTCGTCTGACCTCGACCTTCAGCTATGTGATGGCTCGTCGTGCTCCAGCATCTCGCCCTCTGACCGTCGTGTCAGTGTCGAGGAGGTCCATGATCGGTGTCATCTTGAATTGCTCAACTCTGTCTACAATTTTTTGCACAGCCAGCGCATGTGTCACGTCAGCGGAAGCATGACATGCTTGGAACGGCGGCCGAGGCAAGGGCATGATCACACGCCGGGTTCGCGGTTCCTGCAGCTGTCGCCGACGAGGGCGTTGGGTGGGCGTACGAGGTACAAGCCGACATGCATCCCGAAGCGCCCTGTCACGACGCTGCAGTCCCAACCGCGGGTTGGACGCCGCTGCTTCATGCGGATCGCCTTGTTGCTCGCATGCACCTGGAGGCAGCTCGACGACGATGCGACTGGAGTATCTGCGTGCACATGGCGTCTCCGAGGCTGTGCTGACCACGCGACACTTTTGACTTCCGACACATGCGGGACCATGGCTCCTCTTGCGTTTTCATTGGACTGTCTCGCCGCTGGTCGCCTCAAGACCGTCGGTTGAAGCACCGATGGTTGCTGCAGCTGTCACGATCGCCACATCGGACAGAAGAATGCGGATCACAGGCGCCACAAGAAACACTGCGGCCCTTGGCTGGATCTGATAGCGTGATGAGCCGGGGCACAGCCATCTTGGGCTGATTGAAGAGCTCGGTGCTGTAAGGAGTTGCTCTGATCTGAATGCGACTATCCCAGCCGCATACCATCGACACTGTTTGTCTTGGTCATTGTCATGACAATGACCAGCTTGAATGTCGAACGGCACCTGCTAACGATGAAGAGCGAAGCCGATTATCTGATCAAGCCTCTGCCGTGGGATACCCGCGGAGGATAAGGCGAGGAAGCGGGAAGCGGAATGAACAATTTGGCTTGCCGAGTATTCCTTTTCCAATTCGACTGCTCAGGCACGACTCCAACGACACCACCCCAGCAGCATCAGCAGCCTCGGAGTCAAGCTTCCGGCGCCGCGAGCTTGGCGCCAGACACGGCACCTCAAATTTAACCGAACGAGGCATCACAGCGGCCGCAGTGCCGCCCGTCCAGCAGCATCATCATCTGCTGCTGCCCCTCACAACATCACTTGTCGCTCTGCCATATCTCGCCTACAAGACAAGCACAGATGACGAGGGGATCATCCCGGACCTGGACCTCGTCAGGCACACAACCCCGTCATCTCCCTCTCGAACAACGAGTTGGCACAGCGAGGATCAACTCCGCTCCTGCTTGCGAGCGCGTTTCTGCGTGTGATGGGTCTGCACCGCCTTGAGTTCGCCCGCGTTGGTCTTCGGCTAATTCTCCACCATTGTTCCAACGGGCTAGTGCCCCGCTCCCCTCGCATGGTTTGCTTTGTTTGCATAGGCACAACTGAGCTATCATGGCACTCTAGGTATGCTCCCCGCTCAACAAGATGTACAGCAGCCCATGGCATCGTTCCTGGCCAAAAGCGCCCTCATCGCTTTCCTCTGCTTGCCAAGCGCTTGCATGACTTGTTTGGCAGAATACGGCGACCCAGTCGAGCAATGTCGCCATCATCGCGCCCACTCGGGCCCTCCTTGACCGCACTTGCACCAACGCTTTTGTCGGTTTCCGGCCAACGTCTGCGGGCAGTCAGGCTGGGATCAAGACAGACGCTGACCAGAGATCTGCAAGAGGGAGCCGGTCAATTCTCTTGGTGACGATTGCCGTCATGTGTGGGCAGGAAACGAGCGGCTGTTGCCCTTTTTTCGTATTGCGGCGGCTCGGCTCGCCAAATGTGAATGATTACCTTTGAGCCTGTCTATCTTCCTCCCTCCTCTCCACCATCCTCGCCATCCTGTCCGCCGCCGCTGCTGCCACCACCTCCGCCTTCTCCCCTTGAGCTTGTGGTACGTATCTCTCACTCATCATGCTTGGTTCGCCGCGGGCGGCTCAACATCCGACTCGGCACTCGCTTCGACATGGTTCAGATCCCCACCCAAGCACAACTATCACTTCAGAGCAAAGCCCGTCCGATAGCGGCGACGTCGGTTTACGGCTCCTTCGTAAGCGAGACTTCGACACGGGTCACCCTCACCCATGGTTGCCAATATTTGATCTTCCCTCGTCGACCCCTCGCTGTCCGTTCCGCGTGGATCTCTTGTCATCCGAGATGATGCAGACATGGGAGCCTACAAAGTCGCAGCCGCCTTTCCGCCCAACATGAGATCTCATTGCCCACCTCGACACTCTACCTCCGAGCAGTTCGCGACATTGCTGAAACACTAATCTTGGCAATGACACACCCGGCGTCGGCCAAGCCGTAGGCACAGCTAGCCGAGGCTTCCTAATTAGCCGGCGCTGCCTCCTAAGCCATGGACTCCCTTGATGGCGTTGCACTCGATTGGATCAGTGCTTCGTTCGTCGGTGTCAGACGACGTCCAGCACGACGGCTCGCTTCGTCTCTCCGACCCCGCCTCCGCTCTGCACCTAGCCGCGTTAGCCTCTTGCCCCGAAAGCCAAGCATAGCTCCATGGCCACGTCGCTCCTCCTGCGCTCACCCTTGCTGACATCCCCTCTGACTGCCCTTCCTCTGCGCCCTTGTCAAATGATCGCTACCCTACTCGACACCCGACAGCCTAGTCCGCTTGAGTCTTACTCGCGAAACAGCCTGCTCGTCTCCTCCCCCTCCCCGCCTTTCACCGCCTTCTATCCTGCTATCAGCCTCGCCTTTTAGTACATCGCCATCCAACACTCCGCCTTTGTTGTGACAAGCCGATCATCCTCGGCTTCTCACTCTCGAACCGACACTTCAGACATCCAACGCGCGCCTTTGGTCGCTGCATCTGCTGTCTTGCTGTCGCTTGCTCGCACCCCATCTACATCAACATCACCACCAAATTAGACGCAGATAGCGATCGGCTGCCGTTGCGCCTCCTATTCCGCGATCTCACCCCTCTTCTCGTCACAAACGCTTCACCGTCTCAATTCTTCCCAACTCTCCACCATGCAGTCCACCAACGCCGTCAAGCTCGATGGCCAAGCTCCCAGCGCTCCCGTCTTCCAGCGTCCCTCCGGGAGCGGAGGAGGCAACAAGAAGGGCACTAGCGCTGAGCGCAGAGCCACTCATAATGCCATCGAACGAGCCCGCCGAGAGTCGCTCAATGGGCGTTTCCTTCAGCTCGCCGCATCGCTGCCGGCCATCTCGGACGTTCGACGTCCCTCCAAGTCGCTCATTGTCAACAAATCGCTCGACTTTGTCGCCGAGGCCATGAACCGAGAGGCCGTCTATCGTCTCAAGATCGACAACATGCGCCACGAAAACATGCAGCTGCGTCAACAGCTCAACGAATTTCTCGCTCAAGCTGGTCGTGAGGCCCTCCCGCAGCCTCCCGTTGACGAGCTGCCGGTCCCTTTGGCCGAGTTGCGCAACAGGAAGCGCCAGTCCATCGGCGGCGCTGCGGGCTCCCTTGCCGACATGTACGATCTCGAGGACGACGACGGCCTTTTCGTCGCCGGCAGTGAAGGAGAGGGCGGCAAGAACAGCCCCACTTCGACCTCGTCCGCTGCTTCCAGCGTGCGCGGCTCCCTTTCCGGATCATTGCCGACGGGAGTAGCTGGCTTCACGCCCTTGCCTTATCCTGGCGCCTACACGCATGTGCCCACCTTCCTCTCGGCTCCGGCCAACCCCAACGCTGCCAACAGCACTTCGCCTGGAGCTTCTTCGACTTCTGAAGAGGTCGGTTCCGGCCAACGTGGTGCTGGCTTTGTCGACCAAGCTGGTAACTGGATGCAGCGCGGCGCTTTTGAGGGTCAGACGGCCGCCCCTGCTCAGCAGCTTACTTACTCTGGTCTGGCTTTTTCGTCGTCCAATGCCCATGATGGCCTGGTTGCTTCTTCTCGTCCTGATGTTGACGGAGTGCAGTCGTTTGCCGCTCTGCAGAACGGCCCCACTCCCAATGGCCTGGGTCAGGGCGGACAGGCTCAGATGTACGCGATGGACGCCAACAGCCTTGCCCAACTCCGCAATGCGCACCAGTTTCAGCTGCAGCAGCAGCACTACCAGTTCCAGCTCCAACTCCAGCAACACCAGCAACAGCAACCGCAACCGCAAACGTCCAACATGGCCGCTTATAACCCGTCGTCGCATTTTTTTGATGCGCCGCTGCAGTCGGCTAGCTTCATGACTGCAGTCTGAGCGCATCTCTCCATCGATCTTTTCTTCGAATTGGACAGCCTTTGCAAGATGCCTTGCACGATCACTGGCGTCGTCTGCATCCAATGTCCAGGGTCCTTGACGTTCCGCCCCTCCGTTAGCAATGTGCGGGACGGTCAAGGGCCATCCCTTCCTCCATACGTTCTTTCATTCGCGCTTGCACCCATACCGGTCTCAGGACAGACTTCTTGGCGCCTTCTCTCTCACACTCTCTCTTGATTCGTGTTTATATTCTGACTGGCTCAGTGGACTCTCTTTTCTGTATTGCTTCGATAGTATCGTTCATCTACTGCTCCAGTTTCGTTGGTCGTTTGCCAACCGACCCAGATTGTCTCAAAGACCCGCGCTGGCTGTAGATCAAGTGTGTGGGTGTATGTGCATCGTAGGCGCTTGCTGAGTCTTCATCGCCCCTCAAGAGATGGTCGATGCATCGAAGCTGTGACACATGAGAGCGACCGAAGAGAGGTTCGAAGCGTCAGCCGCCAGACACTTGAAGAGGTCGAGTCAGATTTCACCAGCAGCCAACCACGTCGAGTTCTGCACAGTCTATCCGAATTCAATACAAAATCGTGCAGTGACTTGAAAAAGCGTGAAAAGCAACACTTCGAACTGATTAAAAGCGTGCAGATGAGAGCCGTCAAACTGATAAGGGCTTGCCAATCTGGCTCTGGTGCGATTGGCTTGCAGCTAGCTGGACTCTGGTCGCGAGGGCAGAGGAGACAGGGTTTTTTTCCTTGGCTCGGACCATCTCACATGACTCAAACAAAATCATTCGGAGCGAGTGAGTCGATCATTGCAACTCTTCTTGGAGTTCGACATCGAAGACTATCATCACCTCCACCGTGCTCTTCGACGACGACCCTGCTTTTGTCGACTCAAGGCTACTGGCGCTGTCGTTCGATTCATCAACCTTCTCTCACGACAGCATCTACCTCACTCTCCGCGCATCGACTTTCGAATCTCCTGTTCACTACAATGGGTGTGCTTGCAGCCCAGCGATCGTCTTCGCGCGGTCTTGCTCGCGCCGCCGTCGCCTCCCAGCGATGGCTGAGCACCGCTTCGGCTTCCCGCGTCGCTACCGTCTCATCCGCTTCTTCCACTCAGGTCGAGTCGACCAAGGCGCGTGCTGCTTCCGCTGCGCCTGCCGTTCGAGCCTACTCTAGCGCTGCCGCTCGCGAGAACGCTTACGACCGAGAGACCATCACTCGTCTATTGTACTCGCTCGCCTCGCGCAAGGAGGTCGAGCGCTACCTGCGCATCTTCTCCGCCGCCGACAAGTTCGCCGTCATCAAGGTCGGCGGTGCCATCCTCACGCACCAGCTCGAGGAGCTCGCCCTCAGCCTGTCGTTCCTGCACCGTATCGGTCTCTACCCCATCGTTCTCCATGGTGCCGGTCCTCAGCTCAACGATCTTCTCGAGAAGGAGGGCGTCGAGCCCGACTACATCGACGGCATCCGCATCACCGACGCCAAGACGCTCAAGGTGGCCCGCCGCGTCTTCCTCGAGGAGAACATGCGTCTCGTTGAGAAGCTCGAGTCGCTCGGAAGCCGCGCTCGCCCCATCCCCATCGGCACCTTCACCGCCGACTACCTCGATAAGGACAAATACGGCCTGGTCGGAAAGATCACCAAGGTGGACAAGGAGCCCATCGAGAGCGCCATCCGCGCCGGCTGCCTGCCCATCCTCACCTCGCTCGCCGTGACCCACGACGGCCAGATCCTCAACGTCAACGCCGACGTCGCCGCCTCGGAGCTGTCCAAGACGCTCGAGCCGCTCAAGATTGTCTACCTCAACGAGAAGGGCGGTCTCTACCACGGCAAGACCAAGGAGCTCATGGAGGTGATCAACCTCGACGAGGAGTACGACGACCTGATGAAGGAAGAGTGGGTCAAGTACGGCACCAAGCTCAAGCTGCGCGAGATGAAGGAGCTGCTCGACCACCTGCCCCGCTCGTCGTCGGTGGCCATCATCTCGGTGGACCAGCTGCAGAAGGAGCTCTTCACCGACAGCGGTGCCGGCACGCTCATTCGACGCGGCTACAAGCTGTACCGCAAGAACAGCATCGAGGAGGTGGGCGCCGAACGCATCCGTCAGGTGCTCAAGGAGAACGACGACGAGATCAAGGACGGACGCAAGTCGGTCGCCGAGTTCTTCTCCGAGGTCTCGCAGCACCCGTACACTGTTTATGGTGACGAGCCGTTCGACTGCGTTGCGTTTGTCTCGCAGCCCGAGGGTGAGGTGCCTATCCTGCAGAAGCTCGTCACCACCCGCAACGGCGTGCTCAACGGTGTCAACGACAACATCTGGAAGCAGATCCGCAAGGATCACAAGCGATTGGTGTGGACCAGTCGCGCGGATGACGACCAGCGCGCTTGGCACTACGAGCGTGCCGACGGCTCGTTCACGCGCAACGGACGCTCGCTCTTCTACTACGGCATCCACGACGTTGCCGAAGTCGAGACGATTGTTCGCAACCTGGAGGAGAAGAGCCGGATCGAGCGCGCTTACCTTCCGCTCAAGCCGGCCAAGCCTGCGCCGAGCGGCACCAGGGCGTACTCGACCATGGCTCGACCTGGGCTCACCTCTTCGCGCGTGATGGGCGGTCGTCGTGGGTACGCTACCGCCGTCGAACGCTCCGGACCTCTGCCCGGCACTACGACCGACAAGAAGCGCGTCGCCCTCATCGGCGCCCGCGGCTACACGGGCCAATCGCTCATCGCACTGCTCAACAACCACCCGCACATCGAGCTCTCCCACGTCTCGTCGCGCGAACTCGCTGGTCTGCCGTTGAACGAGTACACCAAGACCCAGGTCAAGTACTCCAACATCGGCGTGGAGGATCTGAAGAAGCTCGAGCGCGGGGAGGGACCCGGTGCGCCACCTGATGCGTACGTCATGGCGCTGCCCAACGGCGTGTGCAAGCCGTTCGTCGAGGCGGTTCAGGAGGGCGGAAGGGACAAGCCCAAGGGTCATGGTGTGATTGTGGATCTGTCTGCGGACTATCGGTTTCAGGATGAGTGGACGTATGGTTTGCCAGGTCAGTAGATCCTAGAGAGGAACGAGGGGAGCATGTAAAGCACCGGGGAAAGAAATGGAAGATTTCAAACTCGACCGTTTTCTAGGCGCCGGTGTCTGTGCGTGCCCCTCTCCTCGTCGTCGTTCCCATGAACCGCTTTCCTTTGAGCACCCCAGCTGACCCCCTTCCCCTGCTGTGCTCCCCCTTTGGTGATTACAGAGATCTACGGTCGCAAGCAAGTCTCCTCCTCACGACTGATTTCGAACCCCGGTTGCTACGCTACGAACAACCAAGCGCTGATCGCGCCCCTTCTGCCGTATCTGGACCTAGCTGCGGGTCCGACGGTGTTTGGTGTGTCGGGGTACAGTGGTGCGGGAACCAAAGCATCCGAGACGCCATCTGGCGAGAAAAAGACGGTTCCCAAGATCACCCCCGAAGACCTGGCGGGGGGGATTCGAGCGTACTCCCTTACGGATCACATCCACGAGCGCGAAGCCGGACATCAACTCTCACGCCTCCACCCCGATGGAGGACCCGTGAAGGTGGCCTTCATCCCCCACGTCGCACCGTGGTTCCAGGGCATCATCTCCACCCTCTCCGCCCCCCTCAAGGAGAAAATGACCAGCAAACAGGTTAAGCAACTCTACGTCGACTTTTTCGCCAACGAACCCCTCGTCAAAGTCCAAGACAAGGTGCCCGAGGTGAAAGACATTCAGTTGCAACACGGCTTGAAGCTCGGCGGCTTCCAGGTGCACTCCGATGGTAAGAGGGTCGTGGTTGTTGGTGTGATCGATAACTTGCTCAAGGGCGCAGCGACGCAGTGTCTGCAGAACTTGAACATCGCACTGGGCTACGAGGAGCTCGCAGGCATCCCAGAGGTCAAGTAGGTCGTGTGAAATAGATAGCGTTTGTCCCCCCATCTCGTCGTGTAGCAGGAGTTGAAGTGGCTCGTGACTGTGCAAGCTCGCCATCAGGCGGTGAGACAACGTTTCGACTCACATTGGACCTCATCCTCGTCACAACAATCCTCATCCTCTCCAACCTCGTCCACCAGTTATCGGCACACCCGCCAACACGCAGCGAAGAAACAGCAATGGAACTCGATTCAAACGATAAAAAAAGTGCAAAAGAACATACATACATTGGGTGCGAATGCTCGCCAGACCCTTGTGCCCGCTCGTAGCCCGTCTCGCCTCCCACTTTGGGGAGAAAAAGTGGGGCAAGAGGTGCGATCGAGCGGCGCACGAAGGGAAAGGCTTTACAGAGAAAAGATCAACGACGACGGAGAACGAGCGGTGGGCGGGAAAGTGAGGGATGAGGAGAGGGTGAAAGTCCGTGTGCTCGTCGCCGCGAGGAGGCAGGGCGACGAGTCGGGGAGGAAGCAGGAGCAGGTAATGTCCGTTCGGGAGCCAAGGAGCGGTGAGAGCGGAGGGAGGCACGGAACAGAACGAGCAGACGAGGAGGCCTCGATGGAGGTAACGCTCGCAGACAATGGCGGAGGAGCTCGAAAAGCGGAAAAACAAAGCAAGTGGTATCATAGAGTTGGCAGCCCCAACGCAATAACTTTCAAAGTCATTGCGAAAGATCGCCGGGGTATCGCATAAGGTTGATGAGGTGGAAATCCAGGAACGCAGGAAGAGTTCGAAGACCGGCTTCTTCGGAATGGAAGAAGCGAGGCACGGCTACTCTTGCTTGATCTGCAGACTGGGACCAGATGCGATCGTGACACCGCCTTGAGGTGCCGCGGTGAGGACCATGGGGGCGCCAAGGTGGGACATGGGATAGACCGAAGAAGCGTCGTATCCCTCGCCACCGACAGCAACATCGCCATCGCCGCTCATCGTAGTGTGAACGCGGGCGTGCTGGTTGAGGTTGTCGTGTCGGCTGAAGCGCTTGTTGCAGGCAGGGTAGGGGCAAAGGTAAGGCTTGTCATCGGTGTGGATGGAGCGCACGTGACGCTTGAGATGCTCGCTGCGCTTGAAGCACTTGCCACAGCCTGGCACCTTGCACGTGTAGACCTTGCCGCTCTTGCCGAGGTTGTTCATCTCCTCGGGCTTGTTGGGCACACGGCGACCTCGCGAGCGCTTGGTGATGAGGCCGGCGTAAGGGTTGGCGAGGTGGGCGAAATGGTTGTAGAGGCTCATGCCCTTAGGCAGCATACTGAGGCCGGGAGCCGGGGCCGGAATGTGCTGGATCTGGATTTGGCGCGAAGGGGGAGAGGCGAGCACCGAGGGCATCGCGCCAGCCATGCCAAAGGACGGGAAGGGCGACGAGCTGCGCGCGCTGCTGGGCGACGAGGGGCAAGGCGAGCCGTGCGGGTGGAAGCATGAGTTGTCGGGAGCGCTCTGAGAGAAGACCATCGGGTACGGGCCAGCGTTGCCAAAGAACGAGTTGGCAGGGTAAGGCTGCATGGGCGCGGCCATAGGCAGACCAGAAGCTTCGGCACCTCCGAAGAGGCCGAGGCTCGACTCGCTACCGCTGCACCTCATGTGACCGTAGCCATGGCCGTACTCGCTCGAGGCTTGACTGTAGCCAAGTGGCGAGACGGGCATTTGAGGGGTCACGAGGTTCGCGGCGGTGTTGTCGCAGGCAGACATCGAGTCGACGCTGGCAGAAAGCGGAAGCCTCTGTCCACCCTGGTCGGCGTCCTCGATAAAGTCGTGGAAGCTGAAGGCGGCGGCTGCGTTGAAGGTGCTCGCCTTGATGGTGCCATCCTTGGAGGCCCCATTGGGCGAGCTGAAACCGATGCGGTTGAAAGCGGTCTGGATGGATTCGGCCCCGTCAAAGGCGTTGAACGAAGCCTCACTCCAGGAAGCAGCGCAGGCATCGTCTGCAGCAGGCGACGCAACGTTGCTGTGATCTTCACTCTCGAAGCCACTGTAGTCGTACTCGGAAGCGGTCGAAGCGGCAGAGCTGGCAACGGAAGAGGTGAGGGAGAGGCGCTGGATGGCACGGGGACGCTGAGGAATGTCGGTGGGAACGTTGACACCGTCAAGGCCAAAGTCGTCAGCGAATTCGAATGCAGGCTTGAGCGTGGCGGTAGTGTCGGCGCGTTTGCGCTGAACCTCGAGCATGAAGGCGGGTGCTTCGAGAGCGTCGCCGAAACTGTGGGGCAGGGAGCTGGTCATATCGATGGAAGGTGAGAAGCCGATGGGGCCGCCGGACGAGAGAGGCAGGTCGAAGAGGTGAGCCGCAGCATTGGGACTGAAGAGTTGGTCCTCCATGTCGATGATGATGATGAGAGGTGTGGTTGTGAGTTGAAGGCTGAGGCACGGACCGAAGATGGTGTGCGCGTGTGGTGGGGATGGTGGAGAGGTAGAAGCTCGTCGTTGGATGATGCCGAGGATGCAGGGACAGAGGATGAGGAAGAGGTACGGATCGAGAGGGTCTGATCTGGTCGTAAAGAGGTCGTTAAGGGCACTCCTCAAAGCTGGAGGAGGAGCCGCGGGTCGTTAAAAGTTCGTTACAGGGAGAGCGGTGCACGTCAAAAAAGCCATGCAGGTGAGAAGCACCGGGTATGGGACGGACGAAACTCGGAGAATGGCGAAACTGTGTCGCGTGGAAAGTTGGAGCGTCTGTACCGGCGACGCGGGTGGACGAGCGAGTAGATGGGTTTGTGAAGGGCTGCAGCAGGTAGTGGCGTGAAGTGGGATGTGATGTGTTGAGGATGGGTGTGCTTGCACAAAGACAAGGAAAATAGGTTGAGTGGGATCGCTGGGTTCGTTAGAAGGTCGTTACCTGTGGCGGCGGATAGATGAAAGAGATGAAGAAGGCGGCGCAAGGAGATGAAAGCAAGGAAAGGGAAGGGATGAGGCGGTCAGTGATGTGCACTATTTTAGATGCGCGATCGTATTTTGCAGATGAAGGCAGCGAGGGTCGAGGCGGAGCAATTGTGACGGCTCAAGAGGATGCAGAGTGAGTCCCACACCGGCGCTTGTCGTCGTCGAAGCGTAAGCTGACCGTGAAGGCCGACAAGCGTAGGGAGCAATTGCGTTGCATTGACGCGCCCAAGCTGAAATCGAAGCGGCAGGGTGCATGCATCTACAGATCGAGGCCGGATCAAGAGCGTAGTAGCCCCGACGTCCGGCATCACAGGGTGAACAGCATGGCATGTGCGAACCGACGGGCTATCGATGGAGAGCAGGTGGGGTCATTGTCGGTGGGTGCTTGGCGCAGCAGCAGGGTGGAGCGGCCCAAGCGAGCGCCGATGCCACACTATGCTAGACGCTTCGATATTTCGATGCCACCCAGATTTGGGGCAGAATACTTACAAAAGTCGTTAGCCTGTGAAGGCGGGTTGAGATGAAGCCGATCAGAGCGTGATCTGGCGACGAGGATGCTCGTTCGAATATGAGTCGAAGAGATGATGGTGGAGACGTTGTCAGATACGATGGAATGACTTGACCTCAAATCCCAAGCTGAGAGAGGGCCGACTTGACTTTTTCTGGCGGAGGGGAGAGCAGGGCAAGCTGAGCCAAGCCCACCTAAATCGGTAAGGCGGGCGGTGTCACTGTCACACGCAGCGCAGAGCCGAGAGAGAAATGGCTCGATCCGAAAAAGGGTGCAGCTCGCAGGCGCATCATCATCGAGCTGAAATTGCATCGAAAAGGAAAGTGCGTGTGTGCCTCAGTGCCTGCGTGCGCTCTGCAGTCCATCGAATGTGACTGCAGCGGGGGCGAGCCAAATCAGAAAATCAATTTAAGGGGCGGAAAACAATATCGTCATAAGATGCATTCGATCGAGAGCAAAGCCGGCACAAAGCCGGAGCGGATGCACCTTGGCCAACCTGACGCCTCCGCGACGCCTCTTTTTGGCCGTTGGTGAACCTGTGTGTCAGCTCACCGTGGTTGGCTTGGCTTGGCTTGAACCGCTCTTGGCTGAGTGTAGCAGAGAGCGGTTCTCTGACTTGCATATCCGCTGGCTCGCCCGCTTGGGCCTTGGCATCCCACAATGAACAGAAGAATGCACACATTGAGTCGGTAGACTCATTCTCTGACACTCTTGAGCCTTTCATTGTTGCGCGTGTCTCGGTCTCTTGGACAATAGGCGGTGAGGTCCCGTCAGCCAGGGTTTCAGGATTGCAGCAAGATGTGTGAGTGGCGCGCGCGGAGACACGCCCATCAGACCATGTCGAAAAGGAGCTCGCTCGATGGACAGAACCGCAAAGCAAGCCAACCGAGAAGGGAGCTAACTTAAGAACAGTCTTGAGCCGCCCGTTCCTGCGTCAGGCTCTGTGGGTCGAGCGTTGGAAGGAACGCGAATCGATAGCATTCATGCTCTTGACTTGGCTCCAATAGACACACTTTCACTCATTGTGTCGACGCTACACTCTAGTGCACGGACCTCACGCTCTAGCTCGAGTATTGAGCGCAGAAGCATGTGTCAAAGCTGTGACTGGGCGTTCGCAAGCAGCGAGAAGAGGTGACTGCTTCTGCAGTCGTGGAACGGCATTCATCGGTCATACGAGCCATGACAAGTAGGCAAAAGAGGGGCGGGCTTTCGAGTCTATGGCTCCCGTGTTCTTGAAGCTTGACTGGTCTCTGACGTGCTACGCCCCGCGCCAGAGTTGAAGCCAAAGGCGGAGACGGGGAGCCAAAGCAGATCGAGAACAACGACGAGTTCAAGCGCAAAGCCTGGTGACGTGCGTGCTGCATTCAGATCTGGCGCCTGCCTGCATGCCTCTGGATCCAACTGCGCCCTGGACGCGTGACTGCAGCCAAATCCCATTTTTGCTTGCAGGGCACGTTGCAAGATCATAGCGGGCAGCCGTTCTTGGCTTCGACCCGGACTGACCTAGCAGTGCAGACGAAGCTTCTGTCCATATCATTTCTGATGCGTCGAGATCAGTGCAAGTGGTGCTTGTGGCCGGCCGGCTAGAGTTGATTGTGATGACCAACGGGGTGTTGAATGGGCAGGCTGGCTGGCTGGATAGGAAGCAGTAAACGACAGCAGATAGAGGAGACCCTTGACTCGCCTAGAGAATTGTGTGAGTGACATGCTGCAATGCGGCGGAGTCCTGCTCTTCAGTCACACCCACAAGCTTGACCGGCACGCACGCATGCACTCGAGAGCAGGCTGAGTCGATTCCGGACAATACGCCGCGCTCGCCGCTGCTTGCTTTCTTATTGCAGCACGCCACGCATCCCATTGAGGGCCTTACCCACCATAGCGTACAACGAGCTAGTCATCTTCTGACCGGCGCTTGCACTTCTGACAAGCTGCGAGGATGACATTCCGCCGGAAACCCTTAACATGCGAGGTTCGAGCAATGTCAAGATGGGCCAAGTCGGAATCGAGTCGCATCTTCTTGGCAACGCTTCCTGCAGCGAATGTCAAAATCGAGGCAACCGATCGAGAAATTGGCCGTCGTAGAACAGACAGTCGATCCCTGCACGCTGAACGTCGTTGACCGCTGTTTGGGCCGTCCATGATACGCAGTCGGCTTTCGTAGCGGTCCGTTTAGCCTGCATAGAGGACGGTGCCGACGTGATGACCATCTGCGGCAATCTCACTGGCCGAACGTGCACGTTTGGCTCGTAACCCACCATAGATTGGCCATCGCTGTGGGACCGTGGGCTCCAGCACCACTCTGACAGCATTTGATCGCCGGTCATCTCATAAGAGCGGCCGTGCCTCGCCCGACACCGTCCCACACCGTCGGAAGCCGTAAGATGGGTGCACGTCGATCCAGCTCCTTCCAACCCACCATGCCGCTCATATCCTGCCCACCGGTGGCACTTTGCATGGCAGTTCGGGTAGCTCAAGCCGAACCGGTCTGAACATTAACCGGCTCATGCTCGTCTCAGTGGCAGTCACGACGTTGATGAAACGCTCTTGTCGTCCGGATTGGAAGCAAGGTCCTCGTACGGAAAAACCTGCGCTTGTCAAGCTGTCAAAAACGACTGAGCCGAGACACTCTGTTCGAATGCCTCACAACTGCGAACGAACAAAAGACCTCACTTTCTGGGCTCACAATGACGCACCGTCTCGATCTATCGACAAGGCAACACCGAGGGCCTCTTGAGGAAGACCTGCGTGCGCGATTGTCCGCGCAAGTGGCCCTAGCGATCAGGAACAATGCTCGCTGACAATGAAAGGCCGGAAAGGCCGGCATGATCCTCGGTGCTTCCGCGGGAGCCGAGCTGGTCTCCGTCGCTCGGTGCTCTCGTATGCTCAGGTCCACGTTCCAGCCCAACCCAGGGCGATCCTTTGACCTGCTGCGGACTCGGTCTGAAAAATCGAGGGTCTCGCAGTGTGGAGAGTCGTTTGCGAGAGGGACCCTCCATTCGAGCGGCTCCTTGCGAGGGCGGCAGTCTCGGCAGTCCACTCTTTCTCCCGGGATCAGCCTACCCTGTCGATCGTACTCATCGCTGAACTCTTCTCGATGGACCAATTGCTCGCTTGCGTCCCGTCAAACGGACCCGAGATCCAAAGTATGCTGTCTTCAAGCCCCGGTCCGCCTTACTCAGCCCAGATTGGTCCCACGACTACCGGCCGGGCATCCAACCTGCCTCGATGATCTGGACAATCGAGCCTAATCTGAGACACGTTCGCCTCATCTCAATCACTTGCATCGTCCTTTCACCACACCGCAGACGCCGCCGAGTCCACAAACAAGTAGCGATGCATTCGCCGAGCGACCACGGCTGGGCGGGCAAGCGAAACCTAATTCCACGAGGTGAGACCAAAGATAGGGGTAAAATTCTGCAGCGTGAGAAAATCCCCTTTGGGCGGGGTACCAAATTCTCCTGGTTCAGGCTAGTTCTGGCTGCTGCGGAGCAAGTTGATCTCGCGCACGATTTCGGCTGCGATCCTGGCCGAATCGGCCTCAAAGTCGTACCTCTTGGTATCCCGCGGACTCTCGCGCCAGACGACCAGCTTGAAGCCGTTGACCAGCTTGCTCGACAGCTTGCACGCGACCACGCTCGAGACGTGGAACGACGCCGCTTTGCCAAAGGTTTTCATGTCCGTGGGCATGATGTGCAGCCAGTCGCCGTCCAGCGTGAGGCTCCGCTCGTTGTGCCGCCCTCCGAACATCGGCGATTTGCGATAGACCGTGTAGCTCTTGTAGGCAGAAGCGATGTCGAGGGCTTTGGTGTACTTCGGCTGGCCCAGGGGGTAGTTGGAATCTGAGGCGGTGGAGTAGCGCTTGAAGATCGAGGCGTTCGGATTGGTAGAGGAGCTACTGAGTGCGCCGGCACCGCCCAGAGCGCCCAAGCTGGACCTTCGGACGAGGGCAAGATCGTGGTTGCCCTGCAGCGATTCGACCGTTCGGTCGAGCGGTACGACGATGCTCTTGTCCGGCACGATGAGCGCCCATTCGTCCACATTCGACAGGTGTCGCTTCCGACAGATCATCTCGAGCACATCCGCCAGATACATATCGGACGGAACTTGGAGCGTCGTCTTGTATCGCACCTCGGGATTGGGCGTCACCAGCACGCGAAGGAAGATCGACTGCGAAGACGAGCCCAGAGCACTGCGCGACAGCGCTCCAGAGGCGAAGATGGGAGTTCCTTGGATATTGATCAGAGACCCCGGTGTAACTTGTGTACCCGCACCAGGTACGCCCAGTCGACTGGCCAAAGCAGGATTGCCCGAAATGGCCGCTGCAACGCTCTTGCCTCCGCCGCCGACGAGCGTGCTTTGCGATGCATCCACGGCTGTCGATCCAGGAACCACCGACTCGCCCGTAGCACCTGGCTTGGGTGTCAGCGTCCGGGACGCCGTCGGCGCGCGAACAGTCCTTCTCGCAATGTTGGCGTACGCTTCCTTATGCTGTCGGATCTGGTTTGGTGTCGCTTCGCAGATCGCAAACTCATCTCCTCCAAACTTGCCGAGCTGCAAGGTCTGGTCGATGGCCGGGAAGTCGTCGTCCACCTCGCCGTCTTCGACGATCATCAAGGTCCATCCCATGGTGGTCAGACGAGCCTCCCGCTCGCTCTCGGTGCAAGAAGAGCCGGGAGGGTCCAGTTCCGGCTTCCATCTCTCCTCGACGTAACAGTACAAGCCGTAGCCAATGACTTCCTCCATCGTTGCGTCCTTGCGGATGTTGAGCTTCATGCTGTTAGTCTTGGGATGTATCGAGACCGCCCCGCTTGCCGGAGGCGACGAGAGCAGCGGCTGCCTGCTGTCGGCCCATGGAAAGAAGATCTCGACCGTCATACTGGGCGCAGTAGCTGCACGACCAGCGATGCCTGCGTAGAAGGCCGCGAACGGGTTCTCCGGTCCCGAATCTTGCTTTTGCAGCATCGAGCTGAGCATCGATCCTTTGGGCCGGTTGGCATGCTGTGCTTCGAGCTCGCTTCGGCTGACTCGTATCGACGAGAAGTAGTCGGACTGCGTCGCCAAGCGTGAAGTGTTTGGGTGACTCGGTCGACGGCTTCCCCGACGCTTGGTCTTGCTGTGGCTGCGCGACGGCTCTTCGACGTCGCTGTTTTCGTCGCTGCCATCGGTTCCAGATATCACCATCTTTGGTGGTGCCGGGAGGGCAGGGGTGTCGACGAGGGGTGTGACGATCGTGCGAGACTGCACAGGCGAAGATCGCGCTGTGAGGATGGCGTCTCTGGCCTGGCTCGCCGGCGCATGCGGTGAAGGCGGACCGCCTGTAATAGCAGCATTGATCGTCGTCAAGCCCAAGCTGCCATCTTGCAATGAGCCAGCGGATCCGAGACTGGACAACGCTGTGTTGGACTCGGTCGAGCTGTCTGCGTACGTCGATCCATGTGGACCCGAAGCCGTGGTTCGAGAATGAGGCGAGACCGACTGGCCTTCGGACAATGGCTCTCCTTCTGGCGATACTTCGGTGGCGTGTGACTGCGAAGGAGTGTCCGACATGGCAAAGTTGACTCGTTTGCCCATCACTGTTCCGCTCTGCTCGTCAAGTGTCCCCGCCGCCTGCCCAATTGTAGTTCCCCCAGGCGAGGTCGACAATATGTCTCGAGGCTGCGAAAGCTGCGCTGCGGTCGTATCTTCTTTGTTTCGCTGAGCCTTCGCGGCTTCGTCCACCGCTTCCTGTCTAGACGGCTCCGCGTCGACACTTGCCTCTTTGTCCACAGCTGTTCTTGTCGGCAGATTGGCAGCGCTGATGCTGACACGCTTACTCGCTCTGCGCCCGTTGACACGCATACCCAGAGCACCGCTTCGGCCCGGCCCATAGATCGTTTGCGTATACGCCAGACTGCCTGCTCTGCACCCATCTTGCAAGCCATCGGATCCGCCATCGGCGGGTTCGGATTCCGAACCGTGCGCGCTTCGTCCGCCTTTGCGCCCGAGCCCTCCGAATGGGCCATTTTCCCCTGCCGTAGGCACGGGAGAATAGATCGTTGTCAGCTCGGGATGTCGCGAAGGGTCATTAAGCCCTGCCGCCGCGACGTGCGAGTCGGCACCGAAAGGACTGTACAGGGATGCGATTGCATGGCTCGACACGTCTTCTCTGCTCGCCGCCGTTGAGGAGGATGCAAAGAACGATGTTGATGAGGATGAGTTGGACAGAGACGGCCGGGGCTCTGATGTTGAGGCTACAGGTTCTTGCTTGACGCCGGAGACTGATGGGAAGGTGATGATCCTCGGGCCGTAATGATCGTCGATGCGCTTGAGGTAGGCCAGCCGCAAGGAGTGAATGAGGTGGTCGGGATCCACGAGGAGCGACATTCTTACGATCGTTCGCCTGCCATCAGGAGGCTAGGTGGAGCTGCCTTATCGTGGCATTTGTGTATGCCCCTTGAGCGTGTACGACCTTGTTTATGGAGATGCAGACGAAGCTGCTGTGGGTGAGTAGGAGGAGAGGTGACGTCGAAGATGCACAAAGTCTGGACCCTTGAACAGGCACGAGAGCCGTGCGTTGGGCGGGGAAATTCCTTGATTGTGAGATCGAACCATGCCTCCGCAACAAAGAAATCGGCCGATACCTTCTTGACTAAAGAAAGACGATGCCAATCCAGGGTTAACGCGAACCTCCTGCAGCTTACGACCACATCATCACCAACACCATCTCTCAAATCACACGCACTTGGTCGGCACCCTCGCCTCGCTCGTACCAAGATGACCTCGAACGACGTGCGAGACATCCTCTCGCTCCCCGAGCGATCCGGTTCGCGCCCATCTTCCTCCGCACAGGCATCCTCGTCACGCAACCGCAAATCCAACCCGCACCCGTCGACCTCTCGACAAAAGCCCAAATACGATGGCATGACTCGTGAGCTTTTCGCCCTTCTCGGCGACAACGCACCCACGCTCGCCATGGCACACGGTCTCGACGCCGGCAAACCCGGCGTCGGCATGGGTGGCATGTTCAAACCCAAATTCAAGCGTCGTGCTCAACCCACCCGATCCTGGCGCTGGGTGCCTTTCCTCAATTCCGCCCGCGACGACACCACCATCGACGACGACACACCCGAGATCAACCACGGTCTGCTCCTCCACCACTGGGCGCCTGAGGGGAAAGAAGAGGTGGAAACCAAGTATAGCTACGCCGAGTTCAACACGACATCCGGGGTGTATACGTATTCGAACGACGAATACATCCAGCAGCTGCGAGACGATGATTGGACGAAAGAAGAGACGGATTACCTAATGGAGCTGTGCGCTGCGTACGATTTGCGCTTTGTCGTCATCCACGACCGGTACGATTGGGCGGCCGCCCAAGGTCCCGCACTATCTGCGGTGCAACCAGCAAAAGAAAGGTCGATGGAAGATCTCAAAGCGCGATACTATGCGATCTGTCGACGACTCATCCGCTCGCGCATTTCCACAGACGACGTCGAAACCCGCCAGCTGCTGCTCAGCACCTATGCCTTCGACAAGCAGCGCGAGGTGGAGCGCAAGAAGGCGGTGGCTCGGCTGTACACCCGAACACCGGAGCAGTTGGCCGAAGAAGAAGCGCTGTACGTGGAGATCCGGCGGATCGAGCAGAACGAGGCGAAGTACGCAAGCGAGCGCGAGGAGCTGCTGAGGTTGTTGGGTGGCTGGGAGAGTCTGCCCAGTTCGAGCCCGCATGCTGTTGCTGCGGCTGGAGCGGGGATCGCCAGCTCGGTAGGGGAGGATGATGCTGCGAAGGGGAGGGCGGGGGCGAGTAAGAAGCGGAAGTTGCAGGTCGCAGAGGAAGGGACGCCGGGTGCGGAGGATGCACCAGCGACGACGAGACCCAGTGCGACGTTGACTTCGAAGCAAAGGGCCGAGATGCGACAGGCGCAGTTTGATGAGATGCAGTGCATTGTGCGGTTCGCGTCGAGTGCGAGCGCTACGGTCGATAACACAGGTGCGATTACGGGTGCAGCCGTCCTACCAGGCACCAGCGCAACGACCGCCGCCAGTGCGATCGGTTCCACCCGTCCACCATACGCACACCTCGTCGGCACAGCCTCCACCCTCCCACCTACCACCACCAACCCATCCAACCCCTCCTCGGGTCACGGCGCCTACCTTCGTTCCAGCCGCATGCTCGCGCCGCGGCCCAACCTCGTCCTCCGCACAACGCAGGTGTTGGCCGAAAGTGAACCGCCCGTGGGACCAAGACTCATCTTCCCCACAGCCAAGAACGTCGAGAAGTGGGAGAACCTCATGGGCGCTGTGACGACGAGTTTGGAGATGCGCAAGCAGTTGGAGCGGGTGAATGCCGAGCTGAGGATTGCTAAGCAGAGGATTGCGGCTGCGCTGCAGACGGGCAAGGGGGTGGAAGCGGGGGTAGGGGGGAGTGGTGAGGATGCGGTAGTGGCGGAGAAGGGTGAGGAAGGGGTGGATGCGGACGCGCTGACTGCCGTCAAGACAGAGTGATGGCGCAGCCCCGACTGTTAGGCATTCCTTCGTAGTGCGATTCTCGCAAATACCAGATCAATCGAGAGATGCAATGTTTGTCACACTTTCTCGTCGTTTGGACAGTGATCGAGGACGTCAGCATGCTTGGAAGTGATTAGGATTCCTTCCTCGATAACGAAAGTACAGGCAAGCCCTAAAGGAGAGACGCGGAACAGAAAAGGGTACTACAGATGACAAAAACACAAGATCCGGCATGTGGCGATCATCTATCAAACAGAGCAAGAATGGGTATATATACCGACGTCTTAAAGAGTCGTACGATTTTCCGGCGGGCTCATCAACGACGCTTGGTGAACGTCTTGTTGAGCAGCTGGAGGATCTTGGAGACGTTGAGCTGGACGTATTCCAGATCGAGCAGCTGGACGTCGTCCTTCTGCTTTTCGAGCAGGTCGTCCAGCTTAAGATCCATCTCGAGGATCGCCTTCTCTCGGCCCTTGTAGTGCAGCGCGATGATAAACGTACCGGGAGAGGGCGAGGTGATGTTGAAGTAGATATTGGCACGACGGTTGTCGGGCACGTTGCTTTCGACGATGATGCCGTCCTTTTCCATCTGGGCGTGGGTGAAGCGGTAAGGGCCTAACGCCTGCGTTTTGGGCGCCTTCTTCTCTTTGCCACCGACCGAGATGACGCCAACTCCGCCCGCACTCTTGTCCTTAGCGCTGCCGCTCGTCATGCGCACGTTCTGGAGGTAGCTCTTGTACGTGTCGAGCTGACTGCGCATGTAATTGTTGTGCTCGCAGATGGTCTTATAGACCGACTCGAGGCTTCCCATCTCCTGCATCACCTTTTCGCGCATGTTGCCGAGATGAGTGAGCTCGGTGGCGACTTCATCCGTCATGAGACTGTAGCCGTCTCGTCGGTCGACCACCTTGAGCTCCTCGAGCTCGCGCAGCATCTCCTTGACCTTGATGCCCTTGCGCACCAGTGTGGCATCCTTGGTCGTCGCAGCTCGCTCTGCGATCTGCGGCAGGTTGATGGGTCGCTTCTCTGCGAGGGTGGGAATGGAACGGAGAAGCTGAACGAAGATCGACTTGGTCTCCATGTACAAGATGTCGTTCTGCGTCACGTTGTTCTCGGACATGAAGGCGGTGGTGAGATCCTGAATGGGCGTCTCCCAACGCGAGAAGAGCGGCAAGTCCAGCGTGCGGTTCTCCTTGCGTGGGACCTGACCCGGCGAGCCTCCGAGTTCGTCGATGAGGATGCGGAGGTGGTGCTTGTCGTTGGGCGCGAGGATGTCGAGGTGCTGTGCGACGAGCGAGTGCGTGTTGTACAGCTCATTGAGCGTGATCTGGATCTGGAGGTCCTTCTTGGACAGCGCCATGTACTGGTCCATCTCGAGCGTCTCGTAAAAGTCGCCGACGTCGCAGAGGGCGTTGAGGAAGGCGTTCATGCGGGTCTTGTTGTTCTCGACGAAAGGTTCGAGCGACATCATGTACTGCTCCTTGGCATAAGATGGCTTGTTGGCAAGGTTTTGGAGCATCTTTGCGATGAGCGTGAGGGTACGGCGCGGATGCTTGGCGGGAGGACCATCGACGAGCATGTACGCCTGCGGTGTGACGATGGCTGGGTTGATGAAGCGCAGGAAGAAGAAGCCTCCGATGAGCGAGCAGATGGCCAGATCGGTGGCGTCGGGGTACTTGCGCTTGGTGAGACTGCGAATCTGCTTGCAAATCCAACGAATACCGTAGGGCACTTCCTCGATCGAGTTGATGATAGTCTGGAGGAAGCTGTTGGCGATCTCCATGAGCATGGTCAGCCTGGGCGCGATGATGGCCTGCACATCGGCATTCTCCGAGGCAACCTCGGCGGGCACACCACGTGGGAGATTGGGCGGGAGGCTGCCGGTATCCTCTTCGATCTGGTTGGTCATCTGCTCGTAGACTTTGAGCGGATTGATTTCAAGGTTGAGGTCTTTGTGCTCGATGAGGCTGTTGATCCGCTCTGCCAGAACGCTTTTGAGGTAGGACTGACCGGGACCTCGACGGGTATAGGTGGTCATCATGCGCGATACGGGCGTGTTGGCGCGGAGGAGCGAGCCAAACTCGGTGGCAGTCTCGAATTGGGCGGAGAGGACGGACTGGAACATGGTGAGCAGCAAATGCTCTTCTCTGGACTCGTACTGATTACCGTAGAGGGTGAACATGACGGTCTGCAAGAGCGTGTCGATCTCTGCCAGGCTCACGAGTCGACAAAGCGCGGCAATATGCCTTGGTTCGGATTGGAGGAGGAAGAAGAAATTGCCGTACTGCTGCATTTTGCGGTCGTCCAACGAGGTTCCTACGGTGGATGAATCAGTCTCTTCGAGTGTCGATGCGACTTCGTTCTGTTCGTCGAGGGCCATACGGTTGGCAATGAGCAAAGCGATACGGCTGTCGAGATAGCGTACGTCTCGTTCGAGGACAAAGTTCTTTTTGGACTGTGCCGAGATGCGACCCTTGAGCTCTCTAAGACGCTTCTGAGCGCGAGCGAGATCATCTTCGACTTCGACGTCTTGTTCTGCGGCCATAGAATAGAGGGCGGTGACAGAGTATCGATTGGTGTTGCGGTTGCCGGCGCCTGAGACGGAGAGCCGCTTGCTCATCATGTCGGTGCGGTCGCGGCTGCTGCCGCTGCCCTCGCCGACGGGAGATTGCTGCAGACTCGTCATTGTGGGCTTCAGCTGTACTTATGAGATGAGAAGAGCTTCGAGGGTATCTGAGCGAGTCGCTGATGCGTCCGATGAGCGCCAGCGGGTGCAGTCGTATGCTTGCTGTTTTGGCAGTGAATGCTAGGTGGTGTTAGTAAGTGCGAACTGCTGGCGGAAGTTTGATGGAATAGCAGGTACTCGATGGCCAGCGGGTATGTTGATGGAGATAGGAACGGCGTAGATGATGGTGATAGCGAAGGAGCAGCAGGGAGAGGATGAAAGAGAAGGAAGGACAACCGCGGCGGAAGTCCAAAACGACACGCCCGACGCACGACGGCAAATGCAGCAGCAGCAAGCAAGCAAAGGCTGTATTGTCGATCCCAGCCAAAGTGCAGCAGTTGAGCCAAATAAGAGAGAGAGGCAAAGGGCGGCGTGCAGTAGCGAGACTGACTCACTCACGCCCAAAAAGCGCCGGTCTGAGAGAGAGCCAAAACCCAAAAGCGCGACACGCGTTTTTCTTATTTTACATTTTTTATTTTTAAAAGGGAAGCAAGCAAGCCTTCTTTTGGCCGGAATCAGACGCCAAGCATCCTGCGCCTGTCAGCCAATGCTCCATCCCGACTCAGCTTCGCGCAAATCTGGGACTGCGATAGAGCCATAGCTGCTGTTGCCAACAAGACGGCGAGATGCAGAGCGACAGCATCCCAGCTTCCACATCTGCTGGCAGGGGCGGCAGCACAGGCGGCCATGACGGGACCCTAGCTTCTTCATCATCATCGCCGTCAGCAGCCATGCCGACCATGGCTCAAGCAGGCACCAACGGCGACGCAGGTCCGTCAGCGCCAACCGAAGCACAACCGGCCGCGCAGGTCTCATATCAAAGCATGGACTCGGAAGAGCTCTCTGCGCTCGAAGAGATGGCCGAGTGCGAATCCGAATCGGACACCGAGATCGATCGACTCCTCGACGCCGCTGCCGACTCCTTCCCACCCGAAACGATCTCACTCATGGTCAAGGACCTCAAGCAGCGCGGCATCGTCTCGTTTCTCTCCCGCTACGTCGTCCCGGATCCATCACCGATCCGCATCAAGCATCTTCTACTCGCGCTGGGAGTCTTCCTCCCACGCTCGATCCGCGACTCGGACGTCCCCCTCGACATCCTCCTACCGATCCTTAAGACGGCTCTCGCCCGCATCCTGCGTCGACGCGAGAAGCTGCCGCAGTACAACACAGTCGACGACGCTCTCCAGCTGCTGAGCACGCGCAGACGCATCATGGTCCTCTCCGGCGCCGGCATCTCCGTTTCGTGCGGCATCCCGGACTTTCGTTCCAAGGACGGCATCTATTCAACCCTCCAGTCTGAGGGCAAATACGAACTCGACGATCCACAAGACATGTTCGATAAGCAATACTTTCTCTCCAACCCGTCCATGTTCTACTCGTTCGCACACCGGATCTTTCCCAGCAACTTCGTGCCCAGCTCGGCGCACCGCTTCATCAAGCTCCTCGAGGACAGGGGGCAACTGCTGAGGAATTACAGCCAGAACATCGACACGCTGGAGCAGATCGCGGGTATCGAGAAGGTGTTGCAGTGTCATGGAAGCTTTGCCTCTGCGAGCTGTACCGATCCTTCCTGTGGGTATACCTGCAAGGGGAGTGGTATTGCGGCAGACATCTTTGCGCAGCGGGTACCCAAGTGTCCGAGGTGCGAGCAGAGGAAGGTGGACGAGGCAAAGAAGCCCAGTAAGAAGAAACGCAAACTGGGCAACGGCAAGAGCTGGAGACCCACCGACGACTCGGACGAGGATGAGACGGATGAAACGCAGCTGCCCGGATTCGGGATTCTCAAGCCGGACATTACGTTCTTTGGCGAAAAGCTCGAGGACAAGTTCGACCACGCCCTGCTCGCAGATCGTGAGCACGTCGATCTGCTCATCGTCATGGGCACCTCGCTCAAGGTTGCCCCGGTCTCAGAGATCCTAGGTCACATCCCACATTCGACACCCGTCATACTTATCAACAAGACTCCCGTGCTGCATTTGGCCACCGACATCATGCTGCTCGGCGACTGCGATCGCATCGTCCAGTATCTCTGTCGCAAACTCGGCTGGCATCTGCCATCTGTACAGCCGAGTCAGGATGTGGTGGGAACACCAGCGGCTGTCGAGGTCAAGGAGAAGGTCGAGCTGCTCGACCATGCGGTGGGGAAAGCGAAGGAGTTGGTGGAGGCAGAGGCCAAGGTCGAGCAGGCGGAGCCGGAAAGGTTGATGGGCAGCCACGCGTGGCTCTTTGAAGGAGCAGAGCCAGGGCGGTTGCCGGCGTTGCTCGCAGAGATGGAGGATGACGATGAGGGAGACGATGATGAAGACGGAGTGGGCGACGAGGCTAAGGAGGAGGCAGACGAAGACAAGCACACGTCACTACCGCCACACACATAGCGTGATGCTCGACACACAGACACGACAATGCAAACGGACAATTCTGCAAGTGACATTCATGATGATGCTGACGATGCTTAATGAGAACAAATTTATGCTGACCAGTGCGATACCGTAACCAATTCTTGTCCAAACTCACAATTCTCCCATCTCTCTCAGTTCCAGAATCTGCTCGGTCTTGGCCTCGACCTGCTCCCACACCTCGTCGGCGCTCTCCCAATCCGCGCTGATCTCGTAGATGTTTCCCTGGTCCCTGTACTTCTTGACCAGCGGCTCGAGGCTCTTTGTGTACTTCTTGAACTGTTCGACCTTTTGCTTCTTCTCCTTATCATCCTTAGCCAGACGCTTTTCGAAGTCTTTGAGGGGCAAGTCGTAGAAGGAGAAGCAGAAGATGGGGACCAACTCCCTTTCGATGCGCTGAGCGTCCTCGAGAGTCGTGGGGAAGTTATCCACAACCAACGAAGTTCGTTTCTCCCCCTTTGCACGGGTGGCGAGAATGGATTCGAGCTCATCGAGCGATTTTGGGGAAACGATGTCGTCCAGCTCCTTGTCGAACCGTTTCACCAGTCGTTTCGCCTGCGTTGTCTTTCCTGAGAGGCTCGGACCGACGAGACACAACAGCGTGACTTGGTCTTTCGAATACTTGGGTCCTGAAGCGGAGTCTGTCGGACGACGAGCTTCTTCAGCATGAACGTTGCCGCCCATGAGAAGGTATGCCGCGCCAGCCACTGCCAGACCCGCAAACAGAATCTTGCTTGTCGAGGAAGAGAGGTTCTTGGCCTGCTGCTTGGTTTCGTCTGCTCCGAGCCGCTCGTTGACTTTGTCCTTGGCGAACTTCTTGCCTTCTTCGACCAGCTTGTTCTTCGCATCCTCCTTGAGATCGCGGGTGGGGCTGGTGGTGGTGAAGGATCGCGAGGAGTGGGTCCACGTCGAGGCGTGACGCGTGCGAAGTCCCGTTCGCGATGAGGCAGTGGAGCCGGCAAGCAGACCGAAGGCTTCCGAAACGCTGCGGCGCGAAGTGTGCATCTCGGAGCTGCTGGAGGGTTGGATTGTATGGTGGGAGGACGATGCGATCGGTGAAGCGGTGAACTTGGTTGCAGGCTTGGAGGCGAGACGGGGGAAGCGTGAGCCCACTCGTTCATCACCCAGTCGGCAAGCTCGAGCTGCGGTGGTCGAAAAGGATCGTTGCATTGTCGTATTCACTTCTTCAGTACGCTGCTGATGCGGTTGTGATGATGACAGAGATGGCTATGGGACGCGAGTAATACGTGATTGGGATGGCTGCGAAGAGGAGGTTGAGGAGATGTCGACCAGCGTGGGGTCAAGAAGTATATAGGACCAGCCTCTGCTCGAGGGAAGTTTGGATGCGAAGGGTTGAGTAATCTGCCGCTGAGCAGCCAGGAAAATTTTCGAGAGTGGAGGCGGGGAAGGCAAAAAAAAGCTTCGGTGTGATGTCACCGCAGCGCGCCTAAATTTGGCCGCCTGGCGCTGAAGCGTCTTCTTCGTTCAAGATGGGTCAAGTTCGGTTCGACAAATAGAGCTCGACATGTGCAGTCGCCGTTTGCGGGAAGCGGGTTGGTGTGACAAAGCCTGTGATGCGGAGAGGAAAGTAGAGTACAGAGTAGCGCCCATCTAGCGAGAATAGAGAACGAGCGAGCAAACGTGAGGGAAGCCCGTAAGCAGGCACTTGCCAGAGATCTAAGGTCGAGCTCTATGGAAGACTGAAACTGGGACCGCAGTGGTTAGACCACGTGCTCAACGAAGAAGGTGAACCCTTCAGAGACCGGCAGCCTTGATGCCTCGCTCGAGATCCTTGATGAGGTCGGCCGTCTCCTCAATACCCACACTGACGCGGATGAGGTTGTGGCCGATACCAATCTTGATCCTGTCCTCGAGCGCTACCGAGCCGTGGGTCATCTTGGAGGGCAGCTCGATCAAGCTCTCTACGCCTCCGAGCGACTCGGCAAGCGTAAAGACGTTGAGGTTGGAGAGCAGCTTGTCGGCCGGTCCGTCGTCGGCAGGGTCCGACTTGATGCGGAACGAGATCATGCCGCCGTACGCGAAAGCGCCGTTCTCGCCCGTGGGGCCCGCAGCAGCAGCACGCTTGGTGATCTGTCGTCGTGCCACCTGGTGACCGGGGTGGGAAGGAAGACCGGGGTAGATGACGGTCTCGACGGAAGGATGAGCCTCGAGGAACTGAGCAATGGCGAGGGCAGACTCGCCGTGTGCCTTCATGCGAAGCGCGAGCGTCTTGAGACCACGAAGAGCGAGCCAGCAGTCGAAGGGGGATGGAATGGCACCGATGCTGTTCTGCAAGAAAGCCAGGCGATCCGCCCATGCCTCATCGTTGAGCACCGCCGCGCCCATGACAACGTCACTGTGGCCGTTGAGGTACTTGGTGACACTGTGCATCACCAGGTCGGCACCGTGAGCGAGAGGGTTTTGGAACCAAGGGCTCATGAAGGTGTTGTCAACGACAATCTTGATGTCCTTGCTTGCGTTGGGGTGGTTTCGGACGAGCTTGACGATAAGGGGGATGTCGACGACGCGAAGGGTGGGGTTGGTGGGGGTCTCGATCCAGACGAGCGAGGTCTCCTTGCGGATGGCAGCATTGACGCGCTCGCTTACGTCGGCCTCAGCGCCGTCCATCTCGACAAAGGTGGTCTGGATGCCTTGCGAGACGGTGGCCACCTTGGTGAAGTAGCGGTAGGTGCCGCCGTAGACGTCGTTGACCGAGACGATGTGCGAGCCGGACGGCATCGAGTTGAGCACGGTAGCAGTGACGGCGGATCCAGACGAGAAAGCCAGACCGCGGCTACCACCTTCGAGAGCAGCGAGTGCACGCTCGAACGAGTCTCGGTTGGGGTTGCCTGAGCGAGAGTATTCGTAGCCCTTGTGGTTGCCGATGCCATCCTGGGCGAAGGTGGAGCTCAAGCTGATGGGTGGGATGACAGCGCCGGTGGCTGCGTTTGGCTCGGAGCCGACGTGGATGGCCTTGGTGGAGAAGCCGGCAGCTGAAGCGTGGTCATCGACGTGGCCGTTGCCGTTGGACGAGGCGCCGTTGGTAGCCGGGACTGTCATGTTTGCTCGAGAAGATCTGGGAAAGAAGAAAGAAGCGACTGAACGGCTTGATGGTGGTTGCAGGATGGAAAGGCTCTGGGTCTGGGATGAGGCTGACGTAGCATCCACCGACACGTTGTGATCTCGGACAAGTCGGCGGGGACGTTGGCATTTCATATGCTGAGGAGCAGCAACGGCGAATTTTGGACCCTCGAGCACGCAAGAGGCAGACTTTTTTGCTTCTGCTAATTCCGGGCTGTCATCGGCTACTCACTTTTTGGCCGCGACGATCCAGCCAAAGTTTGGCCAAGGCGCGACAAGAGAGAGAGAAGCACGACGACAGGGTCTGGCAGTGCGCGTTCTGTACCAAAGATTTCGCTTGCCGCTCAGCATCGACCCGAGAAATCTCCTCTTCTTTGACCGTTTGAGCCGACTTTTCGCTTGACAGCGCCGATCATCTGATCGGGCCAGTGAAAGCCTCTCGTGAACTGTTCCCCTTTGTTCAAGTGGTAGCTCTTGGGTTGTGATGTCTTTGAGTTGGACTTGGCTGAGGTGCGAGTCGCAGTGATTGTGGGCGGGGAGCTTCATTCCATCGATGGCGTGCTCGAGGATGACCAGGCTCCAGGAAAATCGAAAGTGTTATGCCGAGTGAGTTTGCAGCTAAGAGGCAAAATCCAAGCTGGCTGGGCGTTTTGGCGCTCACAAAAAAATAGGCAGTAGGAAGGGAAGACAAAAAGGTGGTCTGTAAATTGGGGTCGCAAAAAGATACGAGGCCCCCGAGGCAGATCGCCGATCGATGATGCCTTCGATGCGTTGGCACGACAGCGAGGATGTCTTGCTGCATGGCAAGCAAGTACCTCCCCCTTGTGGATCATGAAGTCTTTGCGAGACGCCGGCATGGCTTGCCGACCTGATGCACCACATCGCGAACCGTAAAGTGGGGGCAACACTGCATCACGGTCAACATCGACGGCGCCGGCACCCCTGAGCGACATGTGCAGCTGTGATCTTTGCCCAACACATTTTCAAACCGTTCGTCGTCATCAAGCGACACCAGCTGTGGGGTTCCAGCCGGCGGCACGAGCGTGTGGTACCGTCCGAATGCATTCGATGAGCAGAAAGAGGGGAACTGCGTGAGAGACAAGGCCCAAACTCAGCAAGCAAGCGGAGGCAGAAAGTGGCCGTCTGCGCTTGGTCGATCCTTGCCGGACGGTCAAGCGACTGGTCAAGTTGAAGACGGCCGCTCGGATGACACGCTTCCAAAGAAGAAGCTTTTCTCAAGCTCTCGCCGAGTTCGACAGCCGGGATGATCGACGTTTGCTTTTTGGTGCGCTGTCACCTCTGCATTCTCTCCTTATGAGATCACAATTCGCTCTTTACCATTGCATTGCATCGAGCAGCTGGGCCGAGCGAGGTGACTGCATTGATTACCTTGCTGACAGAGGCTTTGCCTCGCCTGCCCACCTTCGGTCAGCAACCCGGTGCAACCGAGGGGCACGGGAGGGCGGCAGTCGAGAGCCGCAGAGACCTGCGGTGAAGCACACGCACAGGCTTGGCATCCGCTGCATTCTGATCCTTCGGACAAAGGTGCTCGGAATTGCGAGATCACAGTAGGTGGCGCTCGCACAGAGCAGCTTACTGTCACTGTTCTCTTCATGTGGGGAGAGGAACCAGATGAGCCAAGCTTGAAAGATGAAACGGAGCAAAAACAAAGTGGCTGCTTCGGTGTCGGATCTGCACAGTGCCTTCGAAACACGCTCGCCTGCTTGCCAGCCACCGAACAGCAGCAGGCCAGCACATCGCCTCCTGTGCTGCAGACTGCATTGCATGAGGTGGATGCGCTGTTTTTCTTTTTCTTTCTCCTCATCAAGCTGAAGAACTGCGCGCCCAACTCAAATTTGAAAATTCCCAACCAGGAGTGGGCACTTGGCGAGTCTAATCCGGGATTGCCGATCCTTTCTCGCTTAGCAGGTGGGGATTTGCCTTGCAGCTGGCTCAGATCCTCTGCTCTGGAACCCCGTCGTCTAGCTCAGGGCTTGTGGGTTTTAGTGTGTTGGTCTGGGCTGTGACTGAAACTTGTCCGGCGCTGGTGCATGCCAGATGTTGTTGTTGTCCAACTTGAAATGCTGAACCATGTCTCCCCGCCCTGTCCCGTTGCCACTGCTGCTCGTCTCAAGTTAAGTTACCTGTCCCATTCACGCTTGCTGAGCGGCATCGTCGCTGTGACCCCCCTTTCCCACCCACAGGCGACCGCAGATGCGCTGAACCCCTTTGAGTCCCCCCCCTTTTCTCCCTCTCTCGCCTGTCACATGAGCGGGAACTCGCGCTTGAGCACAGCTGTTCTCCCTCGTACGCGCAGACGGACCTCGATTCCTTCAAAAACACGAAGCCTGTCCAACCTCTCGACCCACTTCCCTCGACCTTCACCTTCCCCCTTCGGTTGCTTCCTCTCATCACCACCACCACCACCACCACCACCATCTCCCCTCAAGCAACTATATCCCCTTCTTCCCCTCTCCCAACGTTCTCGACGAGATCCCATACATTCTTTTACATTCCCAACATGTTCGCCAAGTCTGTCTTTGTCGCCCTCGTGGCCGGTGTCCTCGGTGTCACCGCTGGCTACGACCCTGCTCACATGCCCGCCAAGACCGACGCCAAGGGCGGTCAGACCGGCTACAACGACTGCCAGCAGCGTTACGGCGCTTCCAGCCCCACCGCCAAGTGCCAGAACGTCTACATCAACTCGGTCAAGGACTTCTGTCTCTGGGGTCCCCCTAACACCAAGAACTCGGACACCGTCGGTGACCTTGAGGCCGTCATGGTCGCCTACTGCATGAAGTCCGGTTACGGTACCCGTCTCATCCCCGACGGTACCATCCACGGCGCCCACTTCCTCAAGACCCCCTCCTTCGTCCAGGTCACTGGTACCGGTGACTTCACCAAGATCCACATCCGCGCTGGTGATGAGGGTGGAGAGCTCGACCCTCACGGTGCTACTGGCTCCGGTAACCCCGTCGGTGGTGTCGTCTTCACCCGCGCCTACACTGGCAACTGGGAGCAGCTTCCCGAGTGGCAGAACTTCATGTCGGCCACCGAGTACTGCTTCCGTGCTTGCCGTGATGGTCCTTGGGACCGCCAGTGGTGCCCCCACATCTACGATGTCATGGGCTGCATGTGGAACGAGCCCGCCAACTACGACCGAAATGTCTTCGAGCAGTGCGACGGTACCGAGGGTGCTTGGCCCGGTGTCTACTCGGGCTCCACCTGGTACCAGGGTGTCAAGCCCACTCCTCGTGCCCAGCCCGCTGGCAAGAGCTCCAACTGCCGATACTACCCCTCGATCTCCACCGGCAAGGCCATCAAGACTCCCTCGAAGCGATCCGTCGTCGAGACCCAGGTCAAGCGCTCGCCCGAGTGGGAGGACGAGCCTTAAACGGCTTCTCAACCCCCTGCTGCCTCCAGCCACAATGCTTACTGTGGCCTTTCTCGTCGCTCCTTCTCAAGTTGAGCGCAGATCTCTCGTCATGTCCATATAGCAATTTCTCTTCAGTGTCACCGGAACGGCTTCTGATCTCCCTGGATGGTCTCGTCGATCGTCTTCAGGATGCTGATCTTTTCTCTTTCGCTGCTCTGTCTCGTTGCTGTGCCGATCCTCATGTCATGCCCCCTCAGCAGTCCCTTGTTGATAGTCGTCGTTATGCTCTCAGTCTCGTCTCGTCGCGCAATTTCTACTCGCAAACTCTTGGTCCTCTTCCCTTCTGCTTGTGTTGATATGGGTTGACCTTATAGCCTCGGACTGAGCTGTTCGCTGCGATCATGTGCCTGGATCGGCGGATTGACTCGTAGAAGCGTCTTGTCGTGAGCTGAGCTGAGCAGATGAGATGAAGCGGCTTCCAACACGCTCGAGACTCGGGACACGCCCCTTTCAAATCGGGTTAACATCGGGTCCCAGAAACAACACGGCGCGCAGCTCCACTTGTCCGCGCGGGCCAACCAGATCGGCTCATTTCAGCTCCACCACCATCACCAACGACTCCTATCATCTAGCTATCATCGCTTCACAAGGAAGCGAAACGCTCGCTCGCACGCACAACATGCCCCCGCGGCCAAAAGAAAATGTAAGAGACAACAAACTGGTCTTGCCTTTCCGCGCGAGCGGCCGGACACTGACAGTACTACATTCTTAATGACTGTGAACATCGTCGCAGGTCTGGAACTATCCCAGACCCCCCGCGCTTCAGCCTACATCGGCGAGGCTGAGAGTCATCTGGGTCACGCCATCTAAGCAGGAGCTCGTCGTTGCGGAAACCACACAAGGCTATCGAGTTCTCGAGACCTCTCACCCTCCGACTTACTACTTCCCACCCAGCAGCGTCAAGATGGATCTCATCAAGCCGTCCAAGACCAGACGCACCATGTGCGAGTGGAAAGGAATGGCAGCCTACTACGACCTGCAATTCAGCAAAGACCAGGGCCCCGTCGTCGCAGGCCGCATCTGGTCCTACCCTCAACCTACGCCTGGCTTTGCCTCGATCAAGGACTATCTCTGCTTCTATGCGTCCAGTCAGAGCGATCCCGAGCGTCTCGGACAATGGAAATGCGTAAGTGCTGCACCAAACTTGGCAACAGTGTCATCTCAGTGACGACATGAGGTCTCATCCGTTCCTATTCGTTTTCCCCTACGACAACGCAGATGGTCGACGACGACGAGGTCAAGGCTCAAGAAGGTGACTTTTGTAAGTGATTCAAGCTCGAGCCCAGCAATAACGACGCTCAGCCACTGACTCATCTCTCCCGCTCTGCATCAGATGGCTCGTGGATCACACCCGAGATCACTGGTGGCGACCGAGGCTTCAAAGGAGGTAAGTGACAACTTTTCGACCGGCGGCGCTCTCGACGCCTTCCCTACCCCAACCCCATTCCACCTCAAGGTATCATCGGCCAAGCATAGAGGCGAAGTAGTGGTGGATATGCTCAGTCGTGCTAGGTCATAAAGCGACAGCGCATGATTCGGCTGGATCAGCAAAAGGGTAAGCACACTCCAGTGCTTTGATGTCCTCCTCCTTGTGCATCCTTCGTTTCATTGCTACGCAGTCGGCCTCTCCGGACGTCTTTCATCTTCCAACTTTATCTTTCCGCCTTCGTAATCGAGCCTCGACGAGATCAAAGGAGATGCTGACAATCATGCCTGCGTCCACCTTTCCATTTCTCACAGCTCCAGAGCAAGCCGCTAGCACAAGCGCACTCGAACGGGATCCTCTCGCCGCGTACAAAGGCCTCACCTTCGCCGAGACACTCGAGGACCTCAGCAGTCGATTCATCGTCAACCTTCCAGCCGACGAGCTGTCGAGCATCGAACGCATCTGCTTCCAAGTCGAGCAAGCCCACTGGTTCTACGAAGACTTTCTGCGACCGCTCAATGCTTCCCTTCCATCGCTGGCCTTGCGACGATTCTCCTCGTATCTGCTGCACACCGCGTCGATGATCGTGCCCCTCATTCAACGCTACATCACGGGCGGTAGTGGGCAACAAGATCTCGAGGCGGCCTTTGACGAATTCCTCAAGTACAAGACGCGCGTGCCCGTCTGCGGAGCGATCCTGCTCGCCGAAGACTGGAACAAGTGTCTCCTGGTCAAGGGCTGGAAGTCATCAGCTGCCTGGGGTTTTCCCAAGGGCAAGATCAACCAGAACGAGCCAGAGCGTGACTGCGCCATCCGCGAAGTGCTCGAAGAGACGGGCTACGACTGCAGTGCGCTGCTGCCGGAAGGCAGCGAAGACTACCTGGATCTCACGATGCGAGAACAGCGCTTGCGTCTCTACATCGTACCCGGCGTCAAGGAGAACACCAAATTTGAAACCTTGACGCGCAAGGAGATCTCTAAGATTGCTTGGTTCAAGCTGAGTGATCTGCCGACATGGAAGAAGTCGAAGGATCCGCCCGCTGGCATGGGCGGCAAGTTCTATCTCATTTCGCCCTTTATCGGACGATTGAAGCAGTGGATCGCGAACAACAAGGCAAATCACTCGCAGCGTCCCACGGGCAAGTCGGAGCCCATCATCGACTCGGGCTATGCCGCATCATCGCCAGCGCCGTCCGCTGCCAAAGCTGCGTCTGCAGCTGCAATGCCCTCGTTCGTCGACACCACCTCCCTATTTCCCACCTTCTCGGGCGAGAACAAGACAGCGCACAACAAGGCTGAACCATTGCCGGCACCACCCACTAGCGACAAGCTCAAAGCGCTGCTGGGTCTCTCTTCGCCGACACCTGAGCACGCTCGCACGGCGATCCCGTACGCAGCAGACGGTCAGGCGCAGGCAAATGCTCTCGAACAGATGTTTTCTGGTGTAGGGGCCAAGATGATCCAAGCATCCGGTGATGAGCGCGGCCAGCAACTTCTCTCGCTACTGATGAACTCGAACGCAGCGCCTCAAGGCAAAGCTGGCGGTGCTCCGAACCAGAGCGAGGCGCAGGATCGTGCAGCTCTGCTGCTATCTGCTCTCAACCGGCCCGTCCAAACGCAAGGCGAAGCCTCTTCCTCGCCGGCACCTCAGAATGCTCATCCTCTCCTGAGCATGCTCAACGACCCGGCTCGAAGCCAGTCGCCCTTGCCGGCTCCGATTCCGCAAAAGTCGGGCCAGGCCCAGAAACTGTTGCAGATGCTCGGCGCCGGGATGGGCCACGATCGCAGCGTGTCTCAAAGCAGCTTTGCCTCGTTCGACAACAGCAGCCCGGCTCCTTCGCACAGTGCTGTGCATCAGGAAGCGCCTCCTTCCAACGGCCCTCAGGCCGACGCCCTCCTGCGAATGCTGCAACCTTCGTCGGCTCCAACCGGGCCCGACTCGCAGTCACCCTCTTCGCAGGCCGCCCCGAAGAACGATCTGTTGTCGATTTTGACCGCCGGACTTCCGTCTGCTGGCCGACCTGGGCCCAATGACGGTCCTCAACCTCGACCGAACCAAGGCTATGACCATGCGATGGGCGGTGGCTTCCACCCGAATGCACCCTTCGGCTTCCCACCGCCTCCGCCGCACATGATGCCCGGTGGCATGATGCATCCCGGCGGGGGCCCAGGACCGTACCCATTCCCCATGGGCCCTATGCCACCCGCACCGGGACAGGGACACGCTCAAGGTCCGCCGAATGGATGGGGCTTCATGTCCCCCGGCCCCCACTTTGCACCCTACTCTACCGGTCCTCCCTCTTAATACCTTGCCGCTCCCTCTTTGCTACTTGATCGATCCGGGCCGGCCTGCTGACAATTTGCTTTTACGTCGGACGACTGCTGACTGCGCGGGTTCAGGTGCTGGAACGTGGGGCTGGTAGACATCTCGAGCTCTGCTTACGCCAAGACGAGACCGAAAGTCTTGGGTCGATGTACGAATGGGATTCACTTTTGTCTTATCTTGCTGTCTCCACGTCGGATCTGTGATGGCATATTCGTCTCAGTCCCGTTGTATACCTCGTGTGACCAACCGCGGATGTCGCGAACAGAGTCGAGTGTTGAGCTATGACCGACCGAAGCGTCTGCTGATCGAAACCGGCTCGGGATCCAGTCAGGAAGCGTGCCTCGAAGCGTCAAGGTGTTAGCGCAACGACCCCTTTTTCCCTCCACACCTCGGCAAGAACGGAGATCATTGGCGGTCCACGCACCAGACGAGTCTTAAATTTTTCCCAGGGCCCAAACGTCATTTTGGGAACACACGCATGCACGCCTTCTTGCGGCGGTTAGCTCGATGATAGGGCGATCATACAGGAACACATAAAAAGGGTTGCTCAATGAGACAATGGCATAGCCCTCCTTTCTTTCTCCAAGACTGCCATCTCTCGACATCGTTGAGAGACAGTAGGTCCGACAGAGCACCGCTCAAGATGGTGTCGTTTCTCTCGTCAATTCGCCAAGCTACGGCGCTCTTGGGTCTCTGCGCGGTAGTGGTGCACGGTCGAGCGCTGCCTCTGATCAGCGAGGCGGTCTTTGCCGTGCAGGATGCCGCCAGCCAGTCCACCTTCTCGCTCGCCACTTCACCTCCAGCGGACGCAGCATACAGCGCGTCTTTGACCAGCTTCGTCTCCGGCCTCGCCCGCCCGCTCGACTACTGGACCGCCGAAGAAGGCGTCGGCCACCTCTCCGAGTGGTCCAAGGCGACCAAGCACTCGTTCCTCTCGGACTACCATGCCGGTCGGGCGCACGAATGGACCATCGTCATGGGCAACGAAGGGGGCGATCTCGACAGTCTCACCGCCGCTCTGACGTGGGCGTACCACCTCTCGCACTCTACCTCTTCCAAAGCGATCGCACTCCTCCAGACGCCCTTGGACGCACTCGACTTGCGACCGGAGAACAAACTCGCGCTGGATTCCGCGAAGATGTCATCCGGCCATCGGGACTTGTTGACGATCGATGAGCTGCCCGCCCACCCGCGTGCGCTGGCGAAGGAGATCCAAGGGATCGTGTTGGTCGACCACCCACTGCCGCTGAGTCGGTGGGAGGGAGCAAAGGTGTTGGGCATCATCGATCATCATTCGGACCGCGGCGTGGCACCGGATGCCGACCCAAGGGTATTTGAGCCTGTAGCGAGCTGTACGACGCTCGTTGCACGACTGATGCTGGATGAACTGGAGGCGATCCCCAACCCGCCCGGGGAGTACCACGTGCCGCACGAGCTGCTGGAACTCGTCCTCTCCGCCATCGCCATCGATTCGGACGGTCTCAATCCCAAAAAGTCCACCTCTGTAGATGCGGATGTAGCACAACGTGTACTGGATCGCAGCAATTGGCACGATCGCTCGCTGGGCGAGGTGATGGATCGCCTGGACAAAGATCTCGGCGAGGCCAAACGGGATCTATCCCACCTCTCCATCCGCGACCTCCTCCGTCGGGATTGGAAAGGCGATGTAGTCGCCACCCTCGACCCTGCCACACCGGACATTCACCTCGGATTCGCATCCACCCCCGTCTCACTCGACGACCAAATCGCCCGCACGCCCGAACGAACCTTGAAGGCGTGGTTCAAAGTCGAGCGTCGCTGGACCGCCGAGATCCACGCCGACGTGAGTTTGTGCTTGAACAAATTCAAGGATCGAAAAGGCAACAAGGTTCGGGAGATCGTGTTGACGGTGAGGGAGGATCACCGAGTCAATGCCACCCAAGCCGATAGCCTCTTTAGGGAAATCAGTCGAGCCCTGGAAGAACGGTTCCCACTCAAGAAGCGGAACTTGCGCAACGAGGGAAAAGGACGACAGATGGTCTGGACCCACGGCGAGAAGAGTGCCGGTAGGAAGGTCGTGCGACCCATCGTGGAGCGTGCGGTCAAGAATTGGGTCTCGCCCTGAAACGCTGCTTTTGTTTGGAGAGCTTGTACACAGTCACAGAATCGATGTTGGAAATGCAGGCCCATATATGATTGTTGCGATACCGTATGCTTCTATCCGGAGAGATCACAGCCACGCATTCCGAATGCTTCCAGTACGGCCGATACCTATGGTGCGACCCGCAGTCAAGCCATCCAACTCGACCGTCTCGGTTGGCAATCCTTCCCTCAGCATCGACGTCCGCCTCGAACCGGGTCTACTCGACTCCTCGTCATCCACCTCGTCCACTCCGACCGCCTCATACTCCACCTCGGCGCCTCTCCGCTTCAACACCCTCCCCAGAATCATGGGGCACAAACTCGCCGCGCTCAACAACACCAACTTGACCACCATCTCCCGATTCCATATCCTCTCGACAATCACCCCCATTCCACCCCCACCCGCGCCATCGGCGGGGAGCGCCTCGACGATCTCCTGGAGCAAATCGCCCACCTGACACGTGACAAAGTTCCACGGCACGCTACCCACCGCCAGCGTCACTGCGTACGGGAGAAGAGGAACGCGCAGGACGCCACATGCGATGTTCATCAGGCCATACGGCACGATAGGCAGAACCCGCAGGATGAGCAGGTAGGACCAGATGCTCGAATCGCTGTGGGTTCGGGCGGGGGACAGGGCGCGACGCATCGCATCCAACGGTCTGGCCAACCCTGGCAGACTCGTTATCAACGGTCCCAACGGCGCACTGAGCAAATAGCAAAACACCCCTCCCACCGCCGTCAAGGTGCTCGTATACAACGTCCCCGAATAAGTCCCATACATGGCGCCGAAGACGACGTTCATGATCAACGACCCGGGGACAGTGAACGACTGCTTCCACGTGAAAAAGGCACCCAGCACCAGGAGCGTATGCACAAACGCCTTCGTGCTGGACTGCGAGTAGACCTTCAGCGAGAGGGCGAGCGACTTGATCTCGGTCAGGGAGAGAGACGTGATGTGCTTCGGCAACACCAGCGGCAACGTCGAGAGCATCAACACGATGCACACCGTCGAGCCCGCAAAGATGGCAAACAGCCACAGCAGACGCGGGAGGTACGGCCGCAGGTTGGGCATCGACAGTCGCCAAGAGGAGAGGTTGATCTGAAGCCGCGGTAGGAGGGAGAGGAGCGTTGAGGGTTGGATGCGATAGGTGTCGACGTCAAAGATGTTGCGTGTGGAGCGGTCGGAGGTGGTGGTAGAGGTGGGGGTGGTGGAGCGGCTGGAGGCGAGGTGCGACGGGAGGATGCCTTCGGGCGAGAAGGCGCGCGAGCCAGGGACGGGAGATGTAGCGTTCGAGGCGGTGAGCGGTGGTGTGAAAGGCCAGGAGGAGGGGCTAGGAGCGAGAGCGTCCGCGGCGGCTTGGGCCGCACTCCACTGGTGCTTGGGCGGACCATGTCTCGTTTCCTTGGGAACGAAATGGTGGAAGGCGTTGACGTAGTGCTGATATTCGGACTGCTCGTCGGGATCGTCGGTGGGTGTGAGAGGCGGACTGTCTTCGTTAAGACCCATGAGGCCGTTGGGCGCTGCGAGGCGGGCGGATGGCATGGCGAGCGGCTGCACGCGCGCAGCCTGGACCGGTGCTGCGAAGGCATCCTTGCTTTCGGTTTGAGGCGTGGTCACCGCCGATGGGTTCGCGGAGAACGATGAAAAGAAGGAGCGCAACGTCGACATGCGTGGTCGAGGCGTTGCCTTCTTCTTGTGCGAATCGGACGAGTCGGAGGAGTGGGATGCATCGCTTCCCGACCGCGCGCGTGCTGCAACATTGTTGCTGCCTGATGGACCTGCGATCCTCTCTGCTTCCGAGATGAGCTGGAGACCCTGTCCGAGGCTGGACATGGTTCGGTCGCGTTCGACTTCCGCTCGTCGCCATTGCGGTGTGTTTGTAGAGGAAAGCGTGAAGTCTGGTGTTCCCGGTCCACGATCGAGCTCGTCTCCCAAGGCCTCTGTGCGGAGCGACGAGAGCGCCGTCCTGGCCAGTTGCGTGACGGGTACGGCTTGCGAAGAGACGGAGCGACCGCGAGCTCGATTTGCGGCCCCCTTGCGTGCCGATGAGGAGCTTGCTTCCGCAGCTTGGGCTTCGAGTTCGGCGACAGCGTCCATTAGGGGCGAGGAAGGATGATCCGTCCTCGACCTCACCAGTGGTGGAGGTGAGGTGGGTGTTGTTCGCTCCATGCTTGCGATGTGGGACGGAGCGCTCACCGGCGCATATTGAGTCGATCGATGGTGCTAGGTGATGATGGTTAAGATCAAAGGTCGTCCAAAGAAAGTCATTGCCAAGACAAAGGCAGCAGTAGGCACCCTTAAGACGTTGCCGTCGGTCAAATAGTTTGCTGAGGCAGTTGTGCATGCGTGCGTCCAATAATCTGATCTGACTAAAAAAACCATCCGGCTCTTGCTTTCCGCTTGGCCTGGTTTTTGGTTTCATGTTGTTTTCCGCGGACTCTGCCTCTCTCTTTCCCGACCCGAGCGCGTCAAGGCAGGGTGACGTGAATCGCGGAGTCGGACTGCCAAAACTCGACACTCAGATCTCATTCACGAAATTCAGCAAGAGCTGTGCACCCCGATCGGCGATACATCATCTCACACATAGATCGGCGATGACCATTCAGCTGAGGTCTAACACTCAAATTCTCGCGCGATCATCCCGAGTTCAGCCTCAAGCCTTGCCGCTAGCGAGCTTGCTAGGTGTGGAGCCCAGCGTCACGGAAACAAATCATGCCCGCTGCGACGCTCGTACTTGCAGCAACGAGGTATGGGCTGCTCTAGGCGACGAACGTTCGGTAAGAAGCGAGGCGGCCATGGCGGACCAACGCGTATCCACGGCTGCTCGACTTCCGCTTGAGTTGAGCCGGATAAGATTTGCAAGGACACATGATCAGGCAGGTTGCCGTTTATGGGAATTCGAGCTGCCGTTTATGGTAGGCACTTATCTCGGTGGATTCGATGGCTTTGACGGCCTCCTCGTCGGTTGTAAGACTACATATACCTGATCGCTCCAGGTGAGGAGCAAGTGCCCCCCGCATCCCACCTCCTCGCTATCTAAATCACGGTGACACTTCGATCAGCCCTCAAACTTGAACTGCTCGACGATTCCACCTGGTGAGTACCTGTTACAGTCCAGCGAGCGGCTTCTGGCACAGGAAACTTTGGCTTTCAGGGTCAGCGCCTTGACCGGTCAGACAGGCAGCGCCGGTCAAAGTGGGAGCAAAGTGCAATCGAGTGCAGTCAGAGAGGCAGCCAGCGTTTCAGCAGGAAGCGATTCGGCTGGCCTCAAGACACGTTTTCAACACCGCGCAGCAGAGACTGGTCAACAACTCGCACGAAGGGCAGAAAAGAAGGGTCTTAGACTGCCAGACACGCGCCAGCTCTAGACTCTAATTCGCCACACTGACACGGGTATGCGATTAGGTACAATCAAAGCTCAGATTGGCTGAACCCCTTGTCTGCCCTTGTCAAATTTCTTCGCGCTCGCCTCGCTCGCATACAGCAATTTCTTCTCAACTCTCTCGCCAAGCGCAAAAAAAGAGAGAGACTCTACTGCCACTTTCAGCTGACTCGATAGCACACAGCAGAGCAAGCACCCTATTGGTCCCGCTTTCTGCGCATAAGCCAAAGCCTCTCATCAAGGTCTCAATCCTACCTCTTCTCCCGCCACCACATCACACACCCTCGTCTTCCATGGCTGCTCGTCGTCCTTGCGCAAGACTTGCTCATAACTTCCTCAGGAACGCTACCACACCTGCTGTTCGAGCTCGTGCTTCTACCTCCATCCTCCCACGCACCTTCGCCACCTCTGCTACCAAGATGTCCGTCGCAATTCCCTCCGACTACAACAAGGTCCTCTACACGCCTCTCGCCGAGGCTGACCCCGAGGTTCACCAGATCATCGAGAATGAGACCTACCGTCAGTTCTCCGGTCTCGAGCTCATCGCTTCCGAGAACCTGACCTCGCTCGCCACCATGGAGGCCAACGGTTCCATCCTCACCAACAAGTACTCCGAGGGTCTTCCCGGCGCCCGCTACTACGGCGGTAACGAGTACATCGACCAGCTCGAGATCCTCTGCCAGCAGCGTGCTCTTAAGGCCTTCAACCTCGACCCCAAGATCTGGGGCGTCAACGTCCAGCCCTACTCTGGCTCCACCGCCAACTTTGCCACCTTCACTGCCCTCCTCCAGCCCCAGGACCGTATCATGGGTCTCGGCCTCCCCTCCGGTGGTCACTTGACCCACGGTTACTACACCGCCAAGAAGAAGATCTCGGCCTCGTCCATCTACTTCCAGTCCTTCCCCTACAACGTCGACCCTTCCACCGGCTACATCAACTACGATGAGCTTAAGAAGAACGCCGACCTCTTCAAGCCCCGTATGGTCATCTGCGGTGGTTCCGCCTACCCCCGTGACTGGGACTACGCCAAGCTCGCCGAGGTTGCCAAGACCCAGTCTGCCTACCTCATGGCCGACATTGCCCACATCTCGGGTCTCGTCGCCGCCCAGGTGCAGAACAACCCCTTCGACTACTGTGACATTGTCACCACCACCACCCACAAGACCCTCCGTGGTCCCCGTGCCGGTATGATCTTCTTCCGCAAGGACAAGGATGCAGAGATCGAGGGCCGTGTCAACGCCGCCGTCTTCCCCGCTTGCCAGGGTGGTCCCCACAACAACACCATTGCCGGTATCGCCGTCGCCCTCAAGCAGGTCGCCGACCCCGCCTTCAAGGAGTACGCCACCGCCGTCATCAAGAACTCGCAGGCCATCGCCAAGGTTCTTTCTGGCAAGGGCTACAAGCTCCAGACCGACGGCTCGGAGAACCACCTCATCCTCTGGGACTTGCGCCCTCTTGGCCTCACTGGCTCCAAGGTCGAGAACATCTGTGACCTTGCCCATATCACGCTCAACAAGAACGCCGTCAGCGGTGACACCTCGGCGCTCGTGCCCGGTGGTGTTCGCATCGGCACTGGTGCCCTCACTTCGCGCTCCATGGGCGAGAAGGACATGGAGAAGGTCGCCGAGTTCCTCGACCGCGTCGTCCAGATCTCGCTCGACATCCAGAAGACTTCCGGCAAGAAGCTCGTTGACTTCATGAAGGCCGCCCGCGAGTCGGACGCCGTCAAGCAGCTCAACAAGGACGTCGAGGCCTTCGCCACCAGCTTCCCCCTCCCCGGTGTTCCCGACACCTCGGTCATCAAGAAGCCCGCTGGCCACTAAGCGCGCATCTCGATTCAGGTCACCCTTTTGCATTTCTTCCACTTCTGTTCACAAGCACACCTCAACGGTGTGCGCTATTCCCGCTTCACAACTTTGAAGCACCTTTGTTCTTTTGTTCCTTGTCCCAGTCAAACATCATCTCTGTTCCATGTACAATCAGTCGCCTCGCATTCTCATTCAACCGAAGCGGGGTCAAGTATCCCCTCCCTTCCACTCAAAATTCTCGTGTGATAGCAAGCGTACGGTTGTGATCCTGTGTGGCTTAGCGGACAGGATTTGTGTCGATGCTGTCTCTGCTCCTCGCGCTGCAGAAGCTAAGCTGTCTGGAGTCGAGGCGTGCGTGTGAGTCGCTCTTGTCGGCTCGCTGGCTCTGCCGAATTCATTTTGCGGTGCCCGCTGAGACGTTGAGCCGTGAGTCGCTGCTGCCTCGATGCACTCCAGCGCGCTCTGCGAAACGCATTTCGCTGACTCTGCCAAACCAGGTTTGCACATCGCTGCCGTGTTTGCGCTCCCTCAAGCAGACCCGCCCGCCGCTGTTTGCAGGACCTGCTGATTACTTTTTGCGGGCCCTGCCAAGAGACCGGACCTCAGTCGCTGCTGTGATGCGTTCCCGCAAGCTGGCTCTGCTTAATGCTTTTTGCCGGTCGTGCCAGATTGTTTTAGCGGGGCCTGCCAAACGTATGTGTGCGTGTCTGTGGCCGGTGTCTCGATCCCGAGCCGGCCCTGCACAATGCTTTCGACTGTCCCTCCCAGACCGGTTTGACTGCGTAGCTGCTGTACCTCGCGCTGTAAAGCTGGCCCCGCCAAACGCTCTTGGCAGGCTCTGCCAAACTGATCTCGTGGGCTCCGCTGAGACGTGAGATCCGAGCCGCTGCCTCTGCGCGCTCGAAGCATCGTCATTGGCTGGGCCTGCAAAAGCGTTCTCGCGGATACCGCCTCGACGTGATGTCTGTACGGCAGGCCCTGCAAATTCTTTTCTTGGGCTCTGCCAATTTGTCCTGGCAGGGACTGCTTGGACAGTTCAATGCACTTCGCCTAACGCGCAGACGTGCGAAGCAAACCATCTGCTGCCTCTCTGCGTGCATCGAGAGGAGTTGCAAGTATGGCCTTGGTCGACTCGAGGAAGAACCACATCAGAGCGAATGCGATGGAGCTTTCATCATCATCGGCTTCCATGACGAACTATCAAAGATGTCCGACTTCGATGAACGACCTGCCTCGGAGCGACACGGACCAGGCAGCACACGTCTACCCCTTCCACGACCCGAAGCTGAAGGGGAAGTGCGGTTGCCCACGGTCGCAAACGCCTCGCCTGACGAGATGTTGCACGCCGACCTCTACAAGACTTGGTTGAACGTCAAAGTCACCAACTTCAACTTGGGATCTGGACGGGGCACGCTTCAGCGATGGCCGTTCGACAAACCAACGGTCGAGCAGACCATGGGCCGTATGCCATCTGGCCAGGGCACCGTCTACATGGACGATCTTGGTGGCGTCCGGGAGGCCATCGAGATGACCAGTGCCCGCATCAAGAAGGACGTCGCCAACGCCAACAAGGACGAGGCGCCCGCAAAGAAGGGCGTCGCCAAGAAGCCGGACGACACCAAGGAGCCCCGCTGGCGCCAGTAAGGGCTCCGTCGGCAAGACACCTCCGGCTGATCCGTTGAGCCACTCGGCCCCGCCTCAACCGTTCCCGACGGTTCTGGCCTCTCCGATTCAGGACACTCGGACCAGGACGTACAAGCTCGAGCCTACTGCCAAGCTCAAAAAGGTTCTCAACGACTGGCACGAGTGCGTCGTCATCACAGGTCAACGTGCGAAAAGGTGTACGAGAAGCCATCGCAAAGCGCAGACCACGGACAACAACGCATCCTGCTTGCCGATCGAGGTACGCGACACACGGTCCGCCCACGTGCTTCAAAGGTCTCATCATAGGATGCAGGATCGGCTCAGAGAAGGGCGTGCTCTGCCAGATCGATTTTGCGGGGCCAGCCAAATCGCGTACGCAGGAAGGGGCCTTTCTTGGTAGGAGACAGGCCCTGCCAGTGCGTTACGCTCGGCCATCCAGCACACGCTGATGCCAGCGGCTAGCCACACGCCGCTCGTGGGGGCATCCGCTGGCTCAAGTTTTCGTTCAGCGCGGAGGCGCTCTTCCCGGCAGCGTGGTGGTCTACTCTGGCCGAGACTCGCATCGCCAGCGTCAGCGAGGAACGCAACGCTGATCCTCAAGCGGGCCGCGCGCCACACAGGATCGAACACACAGCGCTCACGGAAGCGAACCTTCCTTCACACAGGCGGGCGAGACACAGAGGCAGCGCCCGAAGCAAAGATCATCATGGCGCAATCAGCTTCGGCTGGCCGTACCCCGCAGATCCTAGCAGCGGGTTGCCACGGGAGTTGCGAATCCCGGATCGACGTCATGCAGGGTGGCGTCGCGTGGCTCACGTCGGTTTGCGCGGAGAATTTTAGAAAATGTTAGACCGAGAACTGAATCGCTAGCTGCCGTGCGAGAAACATCGCAGGGTGATAACCCTGTGTATCATTGCGGATGGTCTGGCCAAAGTTCGTGAACAATGGTCCGTGTTTCACTGTAGGTAGGTTTCGGACCTCCGGTGAAAGTTCTCGCCGCCACTCGCGGATAACGGCTGGTCCTTTCCTCCGCACCCAGCCGCGCCCTTTTGGCAGTCAAGCTTCCTTGTAAGCTGCGGCGTACGCTCGTGCTGTCCCTCAGACCGGCGTTGCAGCATGCCCGATACCTTCGCCTAGCAAGGCTCCAGAAGCGAAAAGCCTCATGACTCAGGCACAGAGAGCAAAAATGTTCATCAAACGTCATCATGGCGCTACCGAGGAGCTTCTCACATGTCTAGCGGGCCAATGCTAGTACCAAGTCCTTGATAGTTGAGGGGAGGATGATGAGAAGGTCACCAGATCAACAGATCAGCGGGCTGAATTGCGGGGTATAGGCCGCAGGCATGAGCTCTTCGAAGCAATTGCTATGGTCAGAGACACTGACGGCGGGAACAGGGACAAATTGGCAAGTTCGGATTGGCCTCGGGTGCCTGCGCTGCTGGAGGGCGGCTTGCCAGACGGCTGGAGAAGCTTTCAACAACTGTGGATGGTGTCGAAAGGCCTCTGAAAGCCTACTCGTTTAAGCTTTGGCGAGAGGTGTGTCTCGTCATTACAGTATCGAACTCTGCGCCCAATTTCGCCCGCCCAAATCTGCGGAACCTCGCCTAGTTTATACGAGTGAGTGTGAGATCAAACTCGGTGACCTCCTCAGGCCTTCAGAAGCCGAGCATGATTCGCACCCTTTCTCCCCAACAAAGTGCTGCGTGCAGCTGATTTTCGTGGCATTTTCAGGCGGAAGGGCAGTATCGTCCAGTGGCAATTACCTCGGAACATTCGCACTGATTGACACCCAACCCTCACTGTCCGGCCGCCTCTCCCCGGAGGCTGGTCGCGCCGAGCAAGTTTCTCGTCGGCGAGCTCCGCACATACGCCTTAGGGGTTTCCTCAGATCCAGCGCAAAGCCAACATGTGAGAAAGGCAAAGACGTTCCGCAGCGCTTCTCGCAGAGACCAAAAAAAGAACTGATCCGCTGCCACGTTTTTTCCGCCACGCGCATCCACCACAGTCAATGTGGCCTCTCTCTATATAATCACATCTCTGAACTCATCAATCCTCCTTCCTTCACGACACCACCTCCCCTTCACAAACACATCATCATGGTCGCTGAACTCAAGCAAAGGTCCACGACCGCTACCAAGGATGCGCAGGCCGCTCCTAAGGAGGAGTTTGCCGATGCCAACATCCCTGACGACTACGTTTCTCGCGTGCTCGCCACCGAGAAGCCTCTTCCCCCCGTTCAGCTCAAGAATATTCTCAACGAGATCCAGTGGGTTTCATTCTTGGCGTTGACCGTCACGCCCCTTCTTGGTATCTACGGTCTTTTTACCACCAGCTTCAACAAGTACACCTTCGCCTGGTCGGTCGTCTATTACTTCATGACCGGTCTCGGCATCACCGCTGGATACCACCGACTTTGGGCTCACCGCGCCTACAACGCCACCCTTCCTCTTCAGTACTTCCTCGCATGCATGGGCTCCGGCGCTGTGCAGGGCTCCATTCACTGGTGGTCGCGCGGTCACCGTGCTCACCACCGATACACCGACACTGACCTTGACCCCTACGGAGCTCACTTCGGTCTCTTCTGGTCGCATCTTGGTTGGATGCTTGTCAGGCCCCGCCGCAAGCCCGGTGTGGCTGACATCTCCGACTTGCGCAAGAACCCTGTCATCAAGTTCCAGCACAAGTTCTACATCCCCATGCTCCTCTTCTTCGGCTTCGGTCTCCCCACCCTCGTTGCCGGCCTCGGCTGGAACGACTGGCGTGGTGGTTTCTTCTTCGCCGGCATGCTCCGCCTCGTCTTTGTCCACCACTCGACCTTCTGCGTCAACTCGCTCGCTCACTACCTCGGCGAGGCCAGCTTCGACAACAAGATGACTCCTCGTGACCACTTCGTTACCGCTCTGGTCACCGTCGGCGAGGGCTACCACAACTTCCACCACCAGTTCCCCATGGACTACCGTAACGCCATCCACTGGTACCAGTACGACCCCACCAAGTGGTTCATCGCTACGATGTACAAGGTCGGTCTCGCCACCCACCTCAAGACCTTCCCCGACAACGAGGTCAAGAAGGGCCGTCTCGCGATGCAGCTCCAGAAGGCTCACGAGTTCGGTCAGCAGCTCGAGTGGCCCAAGTCTTCGGCTCACCTGCCCGTCATCTCGTGGGACGACTTTGTTGAAGAGTCCAAGACCCGCCCTCTCATCGTTGTTCACGGTTTCATCCACGATGTCTCTTCGTTCCTCGATGAGCACCCCGGTGGACGCCACCTGCTCACTGGCAAGATCGGCAAGGACGCCACCACTGCCTTCCTCGGTGGTGTGTACGACCACTCGAACGCGGCACACAACCTGCTCTCGATGATGCGCGTTGGTGTACTCGACGGTGGGTACCAGCTTGCCAAGGATGAGCTTGCCAAGGCAGAGCGTGAGAACCGTGCCCACGGTACCTCGGCAAACCGTCCCGCTGGTGCTCCTCCTTCGCCCGTCACCTCGGACGATGAGGACTTTGCCGCTCCCGCCACCCCCACCGACGAGGAGCCCATGACTGCCATCAGCACCGTCGCTGCCGCCTCGGAGCAGCTCAAGTCGCAGCAGTCGGCCGACGGCATCAAGTCGATCTCCGACAAGGCGGCTCACTACGTCACCCCTGGTGAGGCCTACACCATCGTCAAGCGCGGCGAGCTCAAGGCCAACGCCAAGGTCGACGGTACCAAGTTCGGTCGCTTCCTCTAATCACATCATCCCATTGCAGCATTTTTCCTCTCTAGTCACATCTTGCATTCCAGTTCTCCATTGGCACACTGTACATATACCTAGCGTGCCTCGTAGCGCACTCATCTCTCAAAATCTCAGTGTTTCATAACTGCTCTTCTTCGTCTGATGCGAGCTACTCGTCTGTCTTGATCATTTGAGTATCGTTTCCCCGTTCTGTGTTTGGTCTCTGACAAGCCGTGCTGTGTAAGAGTAAGAGCGAGTCAAGCCTTTGGCCTGCCCTGACGTCATGCACGGTGTCAGAGGTGCCTCGAGGCTGACCTTTCAGCAGCGCCCTTCTTTGCCGCGAAGCAGACCTTGGGGCGCGCCCTCCAGCCGATGCGCAGCAGCGCGAGTCTCTTCTCAAATTGGGTTGGCAGCCTGAGCAAGTTGAAGAAGAGTGGCTCGCAGCTGCATCAAAGCTTTCAATTGAGGAAGCGTGACTCGAGATTCTGACCTTGACTCACAGAGGCTCATACTGGCTGAGTTGACACCCTATCTCATGAGCCCTTTCGAAGGCGTCGAGCTTCTTGGTTGCGTAGGGAGCTCGTATCCCGCCGAACACTCCCCCCTCCGCAGATGTGTCAAGCTTTGAGAGTCCTGTCAGCCGAACCACGGCGTTCCCCTTCACAGTGAGGCTCAGGCTCCGCAACACCCTGTCCAACCCTGCTCGCACCCAAACGAGACGCTGCGCAGAGCCACGCACGGACACTTGCTCATTCCCCTCAAGGCTAAGCCGACACGCCCTGAACGCCGCAACCACACAAATCACGCACCACACCGACTGTCTGAAGATGCGAAATCCAACATGATTACAGATATCGCAGTGAAAGGAAAGACTCGGGTGAGAATGACAAAAAGAGCGTGAGAAAGCCCACCAACGGCGCGGCGCAACAGGTCAAGCAGCCCGTGTTTTCCCATATCCGCCCGTGCTCGCCCTAGTGGCAACCGACAAGATGGCCGTCACAACCGGTGACCAGGCACGAAAACAAACAACACCGTCAACGCAGCCGTGATAATCGCAATCAACCCGATCAACCCAACCGCTCGCTGCAGCAACAACCGTCTCACGTACGGTTCGCGCACCCTGATCAGCCGAAACGGAGTCGTCTCGCTCTGACTCATCAACACCAGCACGGGATCCAGCTCGTACTGGTGCGACATCAACAGCAGCACTGCGACCGCGAAAGGCAGGATGACCCAGCATCGCTTCGCCCGGTCCACGTCCAGAAAGATGAAGCTGAATCCCGTCGCTAGTGCCGCCCAGAGTGCTAGCAGGCCGAGCGAGAGACGTACGAGCACAGAAATGGGTGTGAGGTTGCCAAACGCCTTGGCCCGGAGGAAGCGCGGGAAGACATCCGCCTCCATGGTGCGGAACACGTATTCCTTTTGCGTGTGGAACATGTCTGGGATGCGCGCGAGTGCTCGTTGCTGCTCGACATCCTGCGGATGAGGCAGCGTCGCGGAGGAGATGGGGAACGAGGTGATGCGCAAGGGGCCAGGGAGGTAGATCTCCTTCTCGGACCCGGGGAGGAGGTAGCGTGCATAGATGCGCTCTGCCGAGGCGATGAGGTCGGTGCGTGTGATGGCAGCTGAGCGCGAGATGACCGTGGGTGCAACGGAACCTCGTTTGGCGAGAATGCTCTTTCTCTCTGCGCGCGTCTGTTGAGCGAGGTAGTCGGGATCACCGGGGAAGCGAGGCGCAGAGAGAGGCGCGCCTGTCATCCCGGCTGTGCCCGGTGTGTGTGGAACTGGACTCGGCCCATGCGAGAATGCAGAGTAGTTGCCATCGGGACTGTCGACCCGACTCTGATGGTCCCAGCTGGTTTCGGCACCTCTCCTCGCCGTGTTGCTCTGCTCGTTGATGCCGTTGATCCTGTTGTAGATGCTGCCTCGTTCGAGCGCCTCGGCGTAGTACTGCGGCCAATCCTCCTTGACCGACTTGCCAGACTTGCGCAGATCCTTGAAGTAGGCTCTGCAAAGGTTCTCATGCTGTTGAACATCGAGCCAAAAGTCGAGCGCGTCTTCGGCGCCTTCGCGTTGGAGGTAGAGGTAGAAGCAGTAGAGGTCGACAGGTGGGAGCGTGCGGCGGGCGAGCACTTCAGCCAGCGTAGGAAGTCGCTGCCTTGTGCGTGAGGATTGGAGTGCAAGAGGTCGCTGTTTCTCCGACATGGTAACTGAGAAGCGGCAAGGCCACTGTGTATTATGATGCGATCCCGCTGTGGTTCGCTTTCGGAGTGTCGCAAGTGTTGCCTGCTTGGGCTTGGAATGGTGTGGCAGGGCTCGATTGTGAAAGGCAATTCTGCTGTGTCAAGAGCGCTTCTGCTACGTCAGGGCTGATGACGGGGTATCGTAGCAGTTGCTTGGGATGCGCTAAGGGTATCTGGATGCGGAGGATGATGCAACGGACGAAGAGAAGACGGTGATGGTGGTAAGAACAGAATCGGTGGGGTTGGTCACAACACTTGAAATTTCGCCGCACGCAGGCAGCAGAGCCTTAATCTCGACTTTTTGGCCAATTCAGGGGTGCGAGGCTTGGGCTGAGCATCAGCTGCCGAGTGTTGCTCCCGAATTTCGCCTGAGACACCAACACACGCACGCGTTCTTCTTTTTCCATGATCTGCGCCATTCACAAATCTCAATCCGCCAAATGAAGTGCTGCCAGCTCGCTCGCTCGCTCGCAGTGGCTCCGACTCGCTTCTCAGAGGAACAAAGATGATCACTCGCGCGCAAGATCGATGCAGGATACTGAAATGAAATGCGATTGTACGATGCTATAAGTCAATGATTTTGTTTGGCAGGGGAGATCTACCTCTTGGTCCTCGGATGGTAGCCGCCCAGCTCAGGGCCACGTCAAAGGGCCGCTGTTGCTGCTGCGGATAGGATAGTGGACCCTTTGCCTTCGCTAGCGATCGTGCAGGACGGCACAATCGGCGATCGGAGTCGTTGCCAACCAAGAGGACCAGTCCAGCCTGCAAACCCGGCCAGGAAGCGATGTTGGCAGATTTGCTCGGCGGATGGCCTCGATTCGGCATCCAGCTCGAGACAGCGCGAGATGAGATCGACAAAGTCGTCGACACGTCCGCCTCCGTCTGGATCGGCGCCTTCCTTGTCCTTGCGCGGAGACCAGGCCGGGTCCAGCGGGGTTATGTCGATATCTTTGTCTTCGAGCGCCTGCTCTGCGTCCGCCGGCCCGCCGCGTGCAATCAGGCACCGCTCCTTCAACGTCTGCGCTGCGCGCGTACCTTCTTCCACGCCCTGCACCGCTTCCTCGCCGTTCCAGAAAGGACATTCACCGCAGAGCAGCACGAATCCAACGACGCCGAGCGCCCAGACGTCCTGCGCCTGGCCCGCGTACTTTTCTCCCTGCAAGATCTCCGCTGCAGCGTAGTCGAGGGTGCCACTGAACGTGTCGAACAGCTTGCCGGGCCGGACGTGGGCTGCACTGCCAAAGTCGATCAGCTGCGCGTTGCCTTCGCCGTCGAGAATGACATTTTCGTCCTTGATGTCTCGGTGAACAATGTTGTTGGCGTGCAGGAACCACAGCGCATCGGCCACCTGGCCAAAGATGCTTCGGCATTGAGACGCCGCCAGGCCGTCCGGCGCACTCTCGACATAGTCAAAGAGATCTTGGCCGCGGCCAAAGCACGGCATCACCAGGTAGTAGAATTCGTGGTCCTCGAAGAAGTCGAGCATTCTGCAAATGTTCGGATGGGATGTCGACGTCGACGAGACTGAGGCCGCTTCTGGCTGCGCCGGCGCCTCTTCTCGCTCTGCTTCGAAGCGTTTGCGTGCTCGGTACTCCTCGAGCGTCTTCGGACGGCTCGGTGACCACGGTCGCGCCTTTGTTGGTGCAACATAGGCGATTCGTCGAAGCTGATCCATGACGTGAATCTCGACCGGAATGGGGCCAAGGACACGATGGCGACGCCAACAGTCGGCAAGGATGCGACTCTTGATGATGTACTTGATGATGACCTCTTCGCCTTGTGGACGACCATCGAGACCTTTCATGCGAGCCTTCTTGACGAGACCGTAAGCGCCTCGTCCGATGTCGGAAACAATCTCGAAATCGGCGATACTCTTGTTCGCATTGTGCTCGTGTGGATAGAGTTGCGAGACGTTGTGCACCTCGTTGAGCAAGGTGGGTCGCTTGCTGCGCGGCAGACGCACTGTGATGCCGCGATCGACCGGGGCTTGAGACGTGCTGGGGCCGCCGTGAAGATTGGCAAGGGGCCCGCCTTGAATCTGAGCGAGCACCATCTTGTCTGAAGCCAGAGGCGTCAGGGGCTCAAGGTCGGTGTGGGGGAGGATCCTGTCTGTCTGAGGCGACACGGGGGAAAAGTCGTCTTCGTCCTCCTCGTGCAAGCTCATGAGCTCGTCGCCGAGGACAGATCCTGCTCGACTTGCAGCGCGGCTGAGCCCAAGCTGCTTGAGCTTCTCGAGCACCTCGGCGCCGAGATCGTGACTGTCCGAGTCGTCACTGTCAGCGTCACTGTCGTCGTCGTAGTCGCCTGTGCCGGCATCGATGTCGCTTCTGGCGGAGGACTGCAAGCCTGTCAGCGCAAAGCGCGAGCTCGTGCTGCGATTGGTGCCTGTTCTGCTCCTCCTGCCTGCCAAGCCGACCCCTTGGCTCTCCAGGTATCGCGACCATTCTTCTGTGGTCGGCGTCCTCATCAGACCATTGGCGCCGACAACGGCGGAGCCCGAAGGCGATCTGCTGTGCAGATTCCTCACACCAGTGGGCATCGAGAGCGTCGCGGCGTCGGCAGACGAAGACTGCGCTGGCTCCAAACGGTCGTTGACTTGAAGTCCCAGAACCGTATCAAGACGAGCGAGCGCCGCACGAGAAAGCGAATGCTCCGACTTTTGGCGTGGCACCAGCGAAGGACGCCGAGAGTTCTCACCGCTGTCCACGCTTCTTGGTGGGAGCGAGAGCGGAGGCGGCGTTTGTGAGGTAGACGCAGGCCGATGGCTAGGGCGGGGCGACGACTGGAGGGACGTTGTGGTGGCCTGCTCGGTCACCCTGGCAGCGGGCTGCAACACAAAGACAGGGGTCGAAGCGTCCCATGCCACGGGCGCAGCTGCCGCGGTGGAGCCCGGGGAGGCAGGTTGCGAAAAGGCGGCGGCGCGAGCGTGGCGTTGCGCTTCGAGGACGCTGAAGGGAGCGTTCTCCCAGCCAGTGTTCTTTCGAGCGCGCTCACGGGCAGCCGCTCTGCCCCCCTCTGCGTTGGCGAAGGTCATGGAGAGGCCAGGATGCAGAGCCAGCTGCGATCGCGAGCGCAGCATGATGGCACCAGAATGCTTACGGGGTATCAAGGGGGAGTAGGCGTTGGTGACCGAGGACGACAAGACTTCTACGGCGTTGGGCGAGAGACCGGCATTAGATAGCGGAGAGTCGACTCGCTGGCCCCTGATGCCCGACGGGGTTGGCGATTGCAAGAGGCCAAGTATCGACGAGCTGGTGGATCGGTTTGAGGTTGCTCGCTGTGTATGTGTCGGATCGGTTGATTGCGCGGACATTTCATCTGAAGCACCAACGCAATCGACCGAGGGCGTGGCAGCGTCGGCTGTGCCTTGACTAGTCGAATCCGAAATGTCCTCCTGGTCTGTGGCGCGGGCCTCCGCGATCTCGGCTGCCGCGACTGCATGGTGATGTGCCGGACTGGATGGAGCGGTAGCAGAGGGTGAAGGTGATTGCGAGGGTCCCGTGCATGCGGTCTCGGAAGCGGGTTTCGCACCGATGCTCGACGACTCAGCTGGCGGCGTCGAAGTGAGGTGTTCGGAGTCACTGCTGGGGGAGACGGCAGAGGAAGCCAGGCTGGATGCGCTGCCGGTGGAATTGCGGTCGGATAGCGAGCGTAGGGAGAATGCGGCGGCGGAAGAGGCAGTGGATGTGCGGGAGGACGCTGGTGCTTCGGTAGGCTTAGATGAGTCGTTTGACCTTGAGAGTAGGGAATGACCACGATCTGGACTGCGTTGGTGAGCGTCGTCGCTGGCTGAGACAGCATAATCCTCGTGCTCACCGTCGTCCTCCTCCTGGTACCGAGCGAGCATTGAATGCTGCGCTCGAAGCGGTTGTCGAGACGAAGAAGAGGTATCTGGAAGAGAGTTGCGACCCCAACTTCCGGAGCGGGTGACGCCTCCGACGCCGCCGAGCTTTGCCAAGCTCATGGGGTCGCTCCTGACGGAGGAGGTGGAATGGCGCTTGAAGCGATCATAATAGGGCACGTCGTCATTCTCATCGGCGTTTTCCCTGTCCGAGTCGCTGCCAGCATCGTCGCGAGAGAAAGGCAAGTGGTTGCTGGAGGAAGCTTGCGGAGAGCCAAAGTAGCTCTGGCGTCGCAGCGACTCGGACGAGTTGAGCGCTGCGACCGGACGAATCTGTTCGAGCGGCATGGAGCTCTAGTGAACGAAGGCGTGGATCAGCTCATCTGTCTGGAGGGTGTGCAGGTGTATGTGCGGATTGTATGTGCGGGTGCCGATGATGAACGATTTGGGCGCCCGTCGACGGCGAATGTGCTCTTCGTTGCGTGATGCGATTGGCGAAGCTAGGCTACCGACAATCTAGAGAAGTCGCACTTGTTACCTGCCTGGAGGTCCAGTTGAAAGCAATCAAGAACGACCGATCGATGGGTTGCAGGGAGCGCGAGTGGGAGATGAGATCGGATCGTTGGTGGGTGCCGTTCGGGAGCGAGGGATAGCAAGGCGACCTCGTTGCTATGCGTGGTGTGTGACTGAGGTCTGGCCGTGGAGTCTTGATGGGCGGAAGGAGTCGTAGAGGGAAAGTGAGGGCGATGGCTTTGAGCTATCGATGGAAGCTGCGAGGCTGATGACTTCCGCCGGCGATGCAGTCTGGCTGGGCGGAGAGAGTCAGAGAGGGTGAGAGAGGGTCAGACGCTGCGTCCACTGCTGCGGAGGGCAGACTGCAGAGTCTCAATTTGCTTCTGGTGCTGCTGCTGCTGCTGCTGCTGCAAGGGCAATCTGTTGAGCCATTTTTTTTTGGCTGAGGAACGTGAACACGAAAATCTAGAAAATCACGTTCCTCTCTGTCTCACCCTTTTGCCGTGATGCTGCCGTGTGCTGAGACCATCTTGCTATTTCTTGGCCTTACTTTTTTATCGGCTGACACGATGCAAAGCTTGACCGTGGGAATGCAATTTTTACGTGGATTTGTATTTAAAGTTGAGGGTTGCTGTTTCTAGGGTCCATCCACCAACCGCGTTGCAAACAAGAGTGAGCTGACACACTCTTTCTCCTCTCTCTTTCGAAGGGGCGTATGCGGGATCGTCCTCGGCTCACCTGTCCGCATCCCGCTAATGACAGCCTATTGTGGCTGATCTCTGGTCGCGAGGACCGAACAATAAGGCGACGGTAACATTGATGTTCTACACTTTCATTGCGCCTTCCTCGCCTTCGTATGATCAAGATATGATAACCGCATCGAATTACAGGGCATTCAATCGCTGCCGTCTCTCTGAGGGCTCGTCACCTTTCCCCGCGGTGCCCGCCCGTGAGCATGTCAAACTGATACAGGCGATACCAGAACGTCGCCTTGTGATGTCAAGGTGATGGCTCGCTTTGCCACGCTCCCGCCGAACCCGCGCACACGATCAGGCGGGATCTGAGTCAGGCATCATCATGTTTGGCTGCGCCTTCATTTCAACTCCGCCAACCGTGTCGTTTGGACCCCACACGATATCACGCTCAGATCTTCCGTGTTTCGTTGCTTTTCGATCAAAGCATTGCAATGCCTCTTCGGAGATCTTTGCGAAAAAGTCCAGACGCCAAGCAGGCAGATTCATTGCATTCAGCCGAGGGTGTGCGGCCTCGAGACAGCTCAAACAGCGCGACAGGCGGACGAGTAAAGAGCGCAATCAAGCGTCACGTGGATCGGCCAAAGATCGGAATTCGGATTTCTCCACCCCGCCGCTGGCTAAATTGATGAACAACTTTGCCCGACCGCAACCTCCTTCTCGACAGTTTCATAGAGGGTGTCCCGCCTTGGCCTCGGACGTCAACATCGATCATGGGGAAAGCAGAGGCAGGATCGCTCAAAGCGATCTCCAATGCTGCCAAGGCAAAAGGACTAACCAAGCTAAGGTTCTACTGCCAGCTTTGCCAGAAAGCCTGTCGAGACGAAAATGGCTACCGCAGCCATCTCGAATCCGAAGCGCACTACCGCCAGATGGATGCTCTTGCTTCCTCGGGCGGGGCTCAGAAGGTCATCGACGATTTCAGTGCCACATTTCAGCAAGAGTTCGTTCAGCTCCTCAGCCGCCGATTTGGCACTCGACGCGTCCGAGCCAATCAAGTCTACCAGGAGCACATCGCAGATCGACATCATACGCACATGAACGCGACGCAATGGACCAGCCTTTCCGACTTTGTCAAGTATCTCGGGAGAGAGGGCATCGTACAAGCTGAGGATACCGATCAAGGCTGGTTCATTACTTGGATCGACAATTCTCCCGCAGCTCTTGCGCGGCAGGATGCGCTGCAGAAGATGGAGCGGGCCAAGATGGACGATGAGCAACGTCAGCGCCGGCTTCTTCAGGAACAGATCGAGAGAGCATCCAAAGCAACGCCCTCCTCGGGCGCGACCCAATCTCAAACAGATCAAGATGCACAGTCGCAGAACAAGGCCTTGGAAGGCCTGCAGAGGAACGGTGCCGGTCCGATACGCATTGGCTTGTCCTTGGGGTCGGCAGCGCAGAGCGCCGATGGTACAAAAGCTTCGTCTGAAGCGAGACAGTCCCTTCCGCCTCCTGTAGATGCATCAAAGACGACAGCAGCATCAGGATCTGCTGCGCCTGCACCGTTCAAGATGGGGTTCAACGTGCTCAAGTCTACTTCCAGATCTTTGAATCCACTCAAGCAGGCGGATCAATCAAGGCGTGACTCGGGCTCAAGCAGTGCTGCATCGACCAGCAACTCTACGGCTAGAGCGAAACCTCCGAGCAGCATGTCCATGGCGGAAAAGATCATGCACGAGGAGATGGAGCGCAAGAAGAGGAAGGCAGAGCCCGCTTTTGGACGCTCGGCTGGTCCGCAGATGCAGCAAGGCATCAAACGCAGTCGATTCTGACCGTGCTCTGCCCCCATCGACACTGATAGGCGCCACACAACGCTCCGCTTCACCGAATTGACACATCCTCTGCCCACACAGCATCACACGTTCTCCGTTCCTCCTGTTCACAGCATATACCCAAAAGCATGTAATTGTACCACCGCCACTGCATCAATCCCCACGAAGCATCCGCTCATTCGGCCTCGGTGTGGCGCACGTCCACAGCCTCGGGGAAAGAGGCAGAAGACGAACGTTTGAGCTGCTCTCCCTGAGGCCCCGATCGACACGAATCGACCTCGTAAGCTGACCGTGGCGATCGCCGATTCGTTACGAGCTGAATCGCAAGCTTCAGCTGTGAGCTCAAACTCGATGTTCCGTGTTTTCGATTCTCAAGGTTCGCCCGCAGACACTCGAGAAAGTAATACAGTAGTCGCTCATGCGCCAAGAACGTCATTTCGAATTCGGACAACCTACTCGTGAAGCATTTTGTATTGCTCATTTTCGTGAGCACATGCAGGTGCACCAGAACACGATTTTGCTTGGCCTTGGCTCTCCAGACCCAACGTGCCAAGAATGGCAGTTTTGGCGCTTCGATTTTAGCCCATTTGCTCCCACTTTCGACGAGGCTCTGAGGCTGCAGTTCGGATGGGCGCTGGTCGTTTGGAGAGAGATTCGAGCGAGAGGCAAGGGCCAAGATGCATGGCAGCCGCTTGCTAAGCGAGCGAATCCAACAGCATCGACTGCTCTGAAGAGCTCCTTGTTTGCGGTGACTGCGGAGTCAATGCAAGCCGAGCCAAGACCCGCTCCATACAAGGGTGTGCAGCGTGCGTGGCTGGGCACATGCACCTAAGCATTCAAACTCCCTCATTGTTTCAGACGAGATCGACCCCTTGTGGGACGCAGAGACAGGGCTGCAAGCCCAAAAAGTTCTGGTGCCTTGCTCACTAGTGGCCACGACTTGCCGCTCATATCGTTTCTGCCGTCGCTCGCTGGTTGCGGCCTGCTTGGCAAAGTCTTTCGATCCTCAACACGAATCGCATCCGGCTCGCTAATCGTCTTGGAGAGCCACCGACTTGCTCTACGACTTCCACTTCCACCTTTGCTACCACCAACGCTTCCTACCAACAACATCACCACCACCACCACCACCACCCGCCCCACGCTGCGTCCTGTCTCCATCCCGACGCTGCTGCTCTTCACGCAGATTCTACCTTGTCGGGTCACCTAGTCAGCCTCCGCGGAAGCTTGCATCGACAAGTCTTGCTTTGCTCAGTCTAGCCAGCTACACAACGGCACCAACGCAATTCGGATTCGAACCAAGGGAGCACTCCTGCTATCCTGAACTGCTACGGGCTTCGTAGCGAAGTCGCTAGAGACGACATCAAGACTGTTCTGACTCTCTAGGCCAGCTCAAGATTCAGGACATGCAGTCCTGACCCCAGCATCCCCCAACGGAGTCGACAATCCCATCGCCAGTGGTCAGTTCTTGGCATACAGCAGAAGAGTATCTCGAGAGTCTCTCTGCGAAAACCACGTTTGACATCTTTGCTCCCACACGTGCATCAAAGCGGCCACTCTCAGTCACATCATCATGGCGCCACATCCATCATCTCTCGTCTCGGGCGTCAGTGCCGAAGCGCTGTCGTCGTCAGCACCCGTATGGCACATTCTCAAACGAGGCATCTCCAGGGCGGGCGGAGCCGCGATAGGAGCGTCAGCAGGAGCTGCAGCAGGCGTTGCAGCAGGCGCTTCAACAGGATCTTCAACAGGGTACCAAGTTCTCCGCGTCTCTTCCAAGATGAACGAAAAGGGCGACTTCAACGGCACATGCTCCAAGGAGACTGCTATGACCATCACACCAGAGACACCCGACGGATCGTGTTCCTCGTACTTTGCCGACGTCACCGACTACTGCTGCGCGGCCGTGGGAGGCATGTACGATCCCACCTTCCAAGCCGTCAACGTGTCCGAGACACAGGCGGCAGCGCTGGATCATCCGATCTGCGCCACCTCCAACTATGCGGATATGTTCTCTTGCTACCAGTACGTCACCGAGACGCATTGCTCTTCGTCCAGCCCGATTCCGTACGGCGTCTGCAACAAGAATGGCGAGGACACCAGCCGAGCTGTTCGGCAAACAACGTCCGCTGCAGCTCCGACTGCCAACTGGCGTTGGACCATGGTCTTCGGTGGTGTTGTCGCATGCTCTGCGATACAGCTGCTGGCAAGCTAACGAACGCGCACGTTCGTTGCGACGTCTTCGCAGCGTTGTCACCCTTTCTGACGTCTCATTCACGTCACTTCATCGATTCAGCCAGGCCACATGGTCGGTTGCTGCAATCGCCCAGTCAAGCCTAGTCACCCAGTATACCCATGATGTACATTCCATCGACGTCTCTTACGACAAGAAAGTAATCTCTTCTCACGCTCAGCCCCTTGCCGGCGCTCGCTGTGCTAGCATTGTCGTTTGGAGTGAGACATCTGTTCTGGCAACGTAAGTGTATCGCAACACATGAAGGCCGTCTGGGGGGAATTTTTCTGAATTGTTAGAAGTGCACCTGATGACAGTTTCAGCAAATTCATGCACAGGTGTTGGTCGAATAGAGAGGCCTCGCGCGTCGCGTGTGTGAAATCTGGGCGAACCGAGCGGTACCGAAATGTGACACAACCATCATCTCATCCTACCACCCTGCATCGACACACGCACCGAATTCGCATCACTCAGTGCGCGAGGGCCAACATCCACCGCGTTGTACCTGGCGACTTTCTTGACCTGCAAGTCGACACTAGCTCTAAACTCCACCAGCATCGAGCTAGGCACGCGGTACATCGACACCCGGGTCCAAAGCGCAGACTCTCGACTAGCAGCGCTGCAATCAATTTAATATGACTTCATCGTCGTCGAGACCGATCGGTCTTGCCGGACCATCCGGGCAGGCTGTCGACGATGCTGACATTGTTCAGGAGATGTACAGGCTGCTGGGCAATCTTACTCGTAGCTTCGTGCCAGCAACGCGCAAGAAGCGTGAAGAGACCAAAGACGAACGAAGGGCGCGCAAGGAGCTCAAAGATGCGCTGGACGACATGGGGTACGACATCATCGAGCTGAAAGCCGAGTCGGGATCCCTGGCGCGGCGAACAGATCAGAGCGTGGTCGTCGACTCGATTCGACGCAAAATCAGCCGGTTGTCGGTGGACGGTGGATACGAATCCGCGAGCAGATTTGCCAACATCCTGTCTCGACTCGAAGGCTCGAGCGAGTTGCGTAACTTGCACGGCATGCTTGAATTGCTGGATGCTCTCGCGTTTACCTCCAGCAACGCTGGAGCGCTCGCAACACCTGCCTCGCGCGCCGTATCGTCCAGCACCAATCGAAGAGAACCCGACGCGAGAGCAACCCCATACACCATCGCAGACACACCTGCTACCAGCGCACCCGCCACTGCACCGCCTACAGCGGTTGGTCGCAATGTCGATAATCAAGCGGCCGGCAGCAGGGCGGCAACATCACGGTCCCGAGCAGCTGGCGCAGAGCCGCTGCCCTCGAATCCGTCAAGAGCAACACCAGATCCACGTTCAGCACCAAGCCCACTGCCGCCTACCAAGCAGTTCATCTCCGCCTGTGACCTTCACGGCAACAATCAAGCCATTTCCAAGGCGCAGCTGTTGCGAAACTTGAGACAGCAGCTCGGCAAGAAGCAGATACCCGAAGACGAGCTACTGCAAGACGTCATCTTTCTTATGCAAGGGATCAACGGGCGCCATGTCCGTTTCCAGGAAGAGTTCCAATACGATGGAGTGGCAGGATTGGAAGGCGAGGCCGCGGGTCCCGCCAAAGTGGTCAGAGTGGTGTTCAACGAAGGCGAGGCGGGCTACATCAATGCTCCCACCAAGCGCATCGTACATCGCCTCGCGGAACTCGGCCAGCTGTACAAGAGGGTCTCGGAGTTCAGCCAGCAGAGAAGCACGATGCCTGCGTCCGGTCTCATCATGCAGAGTCTTTGCCACTTCATCTCGAACGAGCTGACGGGCTTCTACCGACTCGTAGCCAGCCTCGAAGCGCAGCTGAACACTCGGGGCAAAAGCACCGCCGGCACAGGCGACAATGCTGACGGCCAAGGCCTCACCGGCACAGAAGCAGCTACCACGTACGTCACGCTCAAACGTCTCTCGTTATGGACAGAGGAGATGACGCTCCGCTTCCGGCTCATGAGCACCATCATCGAGAGCTGTCAAGACGCACATGGAGGATCGCTCGTCTCCTTGATCCATTCCTATACCTTCAACGGCGACCCCTTCATCCGACGCTTCACCTCGGGCCTGCTGGATGAGGTCTCGAAGCCCTTCTTCCACTCGCTCTCGCTGTGGATCTACGAAGGCGAGCTGCAAGATCCGTTCCGAGAATTCTTTGTTGAGCTCAATGATGATCCGCGCAAAGCCGGTCCGAGTCGCGCCAACTCGAGCGGCGCGGACGGTGACCTGCCCAGCTTCAGCGATCTCGACGGCGACGCTGCGTCGCTGTGGCAGAACAAGTTCGTTTTCCGCAAGGACATGCTGCCGAGCTTCTTGCAAGAGTCGTTCGGTCGCAAGATCTTTTCGACCGGCAAGAGTCTCAACTTCATTCGACAGAGCTGCGGCGACGGCGACTGGGTTGCGACCCGGCATACCATCTCAGGTCCAGGTGCGGAGCTGCGATACACCGACTTGACTGGGCTCGAGAGCACGATCGAGAGGGCATTCACGAGTGCCAGCAAGCGACTCTTGGACATCTTCCTGGACGAATTTAGGCTGCTAGAGCACCTCCGCGCGCTCAAGGACTACCTCATGCTGGCTCGTGGCGACTTTGTCGACTTGCTGATGGCGTCTCTGGGACCCAGCTTGAATCGCCCAGCCAACTCGCTGTTCCGCCACAACCTCACTGCCTCGCTGGAGACAGCGATTCGTGGTTCGAATGCGCAGCACGACGATGCCGAGATCCTCCGTCGACTCGACGCTCGCATCCTCGAGTTCAGCACGGGCGACACAGGATGGGACACGTTCACGCTCGAATACAAGCTCGACTCGCCGGTCAACACGGTGCTCGACAACCAGGCCATGATTGGGTATCAGACCATCTTTACGCACCTGTGGAAGATCAAGCGGGTGGAGCTGGCGCTCAACTCGAGCTGGCTCCGGTTGCATGAGACGGGCACATCGTTGTGCAGGATCAAGCGGGGTACTGCCCCCGTGGAATTGACGGACCTGCGAAGGGAATCGCAGCGGACCATGCTCATGCTGTCCGAGATGATCCATTTCATTCGTCAGATGCAAGGATTCGCGCAGCTCGAGGTGATCGAATACTCGTGGAACGACTTGCTGACGTTCTTCTCGCGACGTCAGGGAGATCTGGACGAGCTGATCGAGAGCCACCGTGCGTACCTCAATGCTCTGATCGGCAAGGTGCTGCTTCGAGGAGGCAAGAGGGGATCACAAGACTACCTGGCTGGCGAGCTGAGGTCGCAATTCGACTCGATCCTCGCCTTCACGGTGGCTTGCGATGACCTGACCCATCTCAGCACGCGTGAGCTGGCGCGCTTCGACATGGAGCGCGGCGTCAACATGGCACCTACCGAACGCGGGGCTCGATCGCGCACTGTCTCGACGACCGTCGCGTCGACTGCAACAGCGTCGGCGCTCGCACCGAGCGATCCTGCCGAGCTAGCACGCATCAGCAAGCGGCTGCACGAGGCTTCTTCGGCGTTCCAAGAGAGGATGGTGCTGATCGTGGGTGCGCTCGAGAAGCACGCCAACCTGACGGTGCGCGATCTGGCGGTGCGCCTCAATTTCAACGGTCGATACGAACTGACGGCTCATCGATCGAGCGGCGCAGCGAACGCGTCGACGACGTCGGGACCTGCTTTGCAGAATCGCAAGAAGGATGCGGCTGCAGCGCCGGTTGCTGCCACGTCTTGATTGATAGCTCATAGATACCCAATGTCACCACTGCTTTCTGTCCCATACGCTAGCCTGCGAATGTGAACGTCTCTGAAGCCGACCTTGGTACGCGATATGACAGAAACCACCGAGGTTGTCGCCATTGCGACGGCGACCCATCGATGGCAGATTGCCGCCTCTACCAGAACAATGCCAGCTCGGTACGTTGGTTGCCCCAACAGCAGCGGACCGGTCCAGTTTGAAATTTCGAACCATCGGGCTGGAAATTGGACGTGGGCGACCGAGTTCTGGCCGCTGCACGGCAAATCAGCGCAGCGAACGCACAGACACGCACAGACTCAAAAGCTCACCGGTGGCGCAAAACGAAATTGCCAACAACACTCAGCCAGATTTCTTCTTTCGGAAGAGGCGAGCCCAAACGCGAGCCTGCGCACAGACACTGCAGGGGTGGAGCAGCGCACAACACGTCTGTGCTTCCTGTTCACCTCGCTCTCTTTTTCTCCTCCCACCACTACTACACCTGACCACATCGTCATCCATCATGTCTGCGGTCACTATTCAAACCAAGCCCTTTGAGGGCCAGAAGCCCGGTACTTCCGGTCTGCGAAAGAGGTAAGTCGGTCGCCACGTCCTGTTCACACCTGACATGCTTGCTCACGACAACCTCTACACTTCGATACTACAGGGTCAAGGTCTTCTCTCAGCAGCACTACACCGAGAACTTCGTCCAGGCCATTCTCTCCGCCATCCCCACCGGCGCAGCCAACTCGACGCTCGTCGTCGGTGGTGACGGACGATACTTCTCCAAGCCCGCCATCCAGGCCATCATCCGTCTCGCTGCGGGCAATGGCGTGAGCAAGCTCATCATCGGGCAGGAGGGCATCCTCTCCACCCCTGCTGCGTCCCACGTCATCCGTTCGTACAAGGCTACCGGTGGTATCTTGCTCACCGCATCGCACAACCCCGGTGGACCCGACAACGATTTCGGTATCAAGTACAACATGGAGAACGGCGGTCCTGCTCCCGAATCCGTCACCGACAAGATTTTCAACATCACCAAGACCATCTCGGAATACAAGATCGTCGAGGGTCCCGAGGTTGATCTCTCCAAGATTGGCTCGACCACGTTTGGCGAGCTCAAGATCGAGATCATCGACAGTGTCAAGGACTACATCAATTACCTTGCTGAGATCTTTGACTTTGGTCTCATCAAGGAGTTCCTACAGAGCTCGGGCTTCACAGTGCGCTTCGATGCGCTGCACGGTGTCACCGGTCCCTATGGTCGGGCGTTGTTCGTGGAGCGATTTGGTTTGCCCGAGTCGAGCATCCAGAACTGCGTCCCCTCGGAGGACTTTGGCGGTGGACACCCCGATCCCAACCTTACCTACGCCAAGTCGCTCGTCGACGCCGTCGAGAGCGAAAACATCTCCTTCGGTGCCGCCTCGGACGGTGACGGCGATCGCAACATGATCATCGGCAAGGGCGCGTTCGTCAACCCTTCGGACTCGGTGGCGATCATCGCCGATTGGGCGCAGAAAGCCATCCCCTACTTCAAGTCCGGCATCAAGGGTCTCGCCCGCAGCATGCCTACTTCGGGCGCGATCGACCGTGTGGCGGCCAAGAACGGCTACGAATGCTTCGAGGTCCCCACCGGCTGGAAGTTCTTTGGCAACCTCATGGACGCTGGGCGACTCAGCATCTGTGGTGAGGAGTCGTTCGGTACGGGTTCGGACCACATTCGCGAGAAGGACGGGTTGTGGGCTGTCGTTGCGTGGCTCTCGATCCTTGCGGCCGCGAACAAGGAGAAGCCGGGCACGAGCGTCCAGGATGTGCTGCTGCAGTTCTACAGTCAGTACGGCCGCAACTTTTTCTCGCGCTACGATTACGAGGAGGTGGACAGCGAGGGGGCCAACAAGCTCATGGCCCATCTGCGGGGTCAGTTTGAGAGCCCAGACTTCAAGGGGACCAAGTTGGGCGAGTTCGAGGTGGCCGAATCCGGCGACTTTGCGTACACGGATCCCATCGATGGCAGCGTCAGCAAGAACCAAGGCCTGTACATCAAGTTCAAGGATGGGTCCAGGATCATTTTCCGACTGAGCGGAACGGGTAGCGCCGGTGCAACGATCAGGTTGTATGTGGAGAAGTACTCGAACGACGAGAAGGAGTTCGGCGCGGATGCGCAGGTGGGATTGAAGCCCTTGATTGAGCAGGCGCTCAAGGTGTCCCAGTTGAAGGAGTTTACCGGTCGCGAGAAGCCTACGGTGATTACCTAGACGAGAACGTTGGCAGAATCTTCGGCTTCGCCAACCGAACCATCTCGGATTGGATCGGATCCTCTTTCCATCACATGAATACAAGTGGCGTTTCTCCAAGCATTTCGGTCGCGCGATCGGTGAGACGCCTTTCTTGCTCGTGAGCGCCGACCCATCGACTCTTGAGCGCTTTTGCATGCCTTTGGCGTCAAAGAATGACGAGTGTGTGGATTGCGCATCTGTCCGCGCGCGCGATCGTGGTCCGAGGTGACTCGGGGTGATGCTGTTCGTGTGCCCAGATGAGCGAGACGACCTGACAAAAAGAGTGGACTAGGTACCAAACCCAGCCCAAGCCAAGCTGAACACTTTAAAAGTAGCAAACCTTCTCGCGTCCGCATCCGCCACCTCTCCTCGCGCCTCCCTCACCTCGTGGCTCTCCTTCTCGCCTCTTGGGGCTGTATCGTACTGGCCCGTTTTGATGCATTGTAGCACCTTTGTCGAGCTCTCTGATCCCTCTGTTGCCCCTGTGCCCTCTGTTGCCCCTGTTGCGCCGGCACCCAACGTCCCGCTTCCCCTTCCGTCTGGCACAGCTTCAGCCTGGGTAGCCTGCAGCTCTCGTCCGACCTCCTCGTCGAACCCCTCAACGCAGCACAGCAGATGGGTCTTCTTGACGCTCGTCCCCAACCTCCCATTCGCGACCAACGTCATCAGACTCACCTCCTCCTCCCGGAGCACCAACTGCGCCGTGTAGTGGGAGTGATAGCGAAGTGGGTCGCCGGGGTAGACGGCGAATGTGCCACCGAAGCGCAATCCTGCCAGGCACCAGTTGTTTTGTTCGAGGAGGTGTTCGAATAACCCCACGGAGGCCACTTCGCGCTGGGTGGAGGGGTAGGGATAGAGGTGTTGGATGGAGGACAGACTTGTGTACGTCTGCGGGGTGTACCAGGGGAACACTGACAGGGTGAGTAGGGTTATGTGCCATGGCATGCTCTCCAATTCTTCCTGGGTGGGTTGCGTTCGGGGGTCCTTGGTGAACTTGGCTCGTAAAGTCATCTTTTCCTCCCATGCCGCACGTTGTTCTGTCTCCCGCTCCACCTCCCGCTCGCCCCGTCTCTCCTGCCTCTCCTCCCCGCTACTTGCGCGGTACGAGCTCGATTCGTCGATGATAACGGCAAGATTGCGGCGGAGGAGATACACCACTTCTTCGGGCAACAACTGCACCGGTAGACCCAGGAAGATGTTCTGCTGCGGAAACTGCGCCAGCGTACCCGTGAACGAGCCGGTGCATCCGTAGTGGCGGAGCAGTTTGAGGGAGGAGACGGTCCATACGAGGGCGATGGGGAGCGTTGGACCTGATAGTGGGTCGTGTGACGTCGACGGGTGCGAGGGGAGCTGCGAGAGAAGGGATGGGGGTAGGCTGGAGGACGGGTGAAGGTGGATCTGCACGCGGTGTGGGAAAAGCTCGTCCAAAGGGCGCTGTGTGGGTGGTGTCGAGGGTCCCGCTGTCGACGAGTCCATCTTGAGATGGAGATGTGCGGGTCTGCGACACACCAGGTTGTCGTTGCGTGTCGAGTTGGAGAGCAAGAGTGAGGGTGAGGAAGAGGAACCAAGGTATGTTGGAATTGCGAAACGTCAAAAGAAAAAAGTTCCTGTGGAGCAGCCTCAAATTGCCCGACTTCCGACACGCCCCCTCCTCGTCCACAGATCTTCCTCACACGCTCCAAGATCGTCAAGCACACCCTGTTCACAGCATCCCATCCACCACCCTCACGATCGAAATCACACCCTTTACACCGATCGCACTCACACGCCGATCGCGGAAGCAGAACAGACTGACAATTGCAAAGAACAAGAAACCCACAAACCCTCACCCGTCAATCCCTCAAACTCTCCCCCGCACCCCCCATCGCCCCCGGCGCGTTATACGAGAACCCTACAAACTGCTCCTGCACCGTCGCGCTCAGCATGTGGCTATCGTCCACGACACTGTCCATGGGCGGCTCATTCGTAAACTCGGGATCGAAGTTGCTCGTGTCGATGGCGCTGGCGACGCTCGGCTTGAATGGCGGGGGGATCTTTTTGGCAAGTAGCAACTTCCAGTCGATGTGCTTGGCGAAGAAGGGATGGGATTTGATATCTGCCGCGCCGTGACTGCCGGAACCCAACCTTTGGGCGGGATCGCGATTGAGTAGAAGGGTGAGGAGGTGGCGTGCGTCGGGAGATACTTCGTCTCCGAAACGTAGAGGATCCTGAAGGATCTTGCGATACATCTCGTTGACGTCTTCCGAATAGAACGGCGGCAACCCGGTAAGCATCTCGTACAGCAACACACCCAACGTCCACCAATCCACCGCCTTGGTGTACCCCTGCCCGAGCAGCAGTTCCGGCGAGAGATACTCGGGTGTACCGCAGAACGTGTTGGTCGTTTCCTGATCGCCCATGTTGAGCTTGCACAGGCCGAAGTCGCAGAGTGCGATATGACCCGTGTAGTCCAGTAGGATGTTTTCCGGTTTGAGATCGCGATAGACGACGTTGAAGCCGTGCAGGTGCTCGAGGGCGCAGAGGAGTTCAGCGGCGTAGAAGCGCGAGCGCTCTTCGTTGAATCGTCCCTCGCGTTGGAGGTGGTGAAACAGTTCGCCGCCGTTGATGAACGCCAGCACGAGGTAGAGCTTGTCCGGACTTTGGAACGAGAACTTGAGAGGGACGATGAAGGGGTTGTTGACCTGGGCTAGGACGGTTCGTTCAGCGAGCGTGTGGGTGACTTCGGAGCGCGAGACGATGTGCGCCTTGCGGATGGTCTTGAGGGCGTAGATTCGGGATGTGTCGCGTTTGCGCACTTGCATGACTTTGCCGAAACTGCCTTTGCCGATGACTTTGAGCAGCTCGAAGGCGTCCATGTTGAGCGAGCTGCGTGAGTCGCTGCGGTAGGACACCTGGACGTGGATCTGACCGTTACCGCCGGCGAGCGGGTACCACGCATCCGATGTTCGCTGGTTCTCAAAGTCGGGTACAAACTTGACACCTCCTAGGTAGATGTCGCTGACACCCATCACATCGTCGCCTTGACCGTCGCGATGTGCTTCTTGCTGCTGCTGATGGCCGTCTCCGGATCGCAAATAGGTCTGAAGACTAATCTCGGAGATACGCGAGACGTCAAAGTGAGCGCGGAACATCCAGGTGGGACCCTGGACGTCACCGCCGATGGCATCGATGAGGATCTCGTTCTTGTCGAACTCGAGTACGAGGTAGGGGAGCCACCAGCATTGTTTGCGCTGCATGCTCTGCCGGTTCTCGCGTCCAAAGGATTGGGCGAGTGAGGATGCGTTGGGGTTGTACTGGGCGAGGGCTCGTGCGACGGCAGGAGGGGTCTGCATGCCCGCTGGTAACGAGAGACCGCGTGCATCAATGACACGGATGGTCAAGAGACCGGAGCGAGGGATGGGGGCGCCATCCGACGAAGCGAGGAGGTTGGAGGAGGAAGACGAAGCGCTGCCATCTGTGCCGGGGTTGCCTGGAGTGGGTGTGGCAGAACGGTCGAGTGGCGTACGAGCGCCGAGGTTGGCGCCTTCTTTGAATTCTGAAGGGATTCAATGGTGACAGGACGAGCAACGTCAGCAAGTCAATAATCTGTAGATGACGGTTTCAACGTCTAAAGACAGCGGTAACTTACTCTTTCCGAGCTTCCAAGACATGTTGGCAGGTGAGTGGCGGGATGAAGGGTACGGCTAGATTGCTCGCAATGCGATGTCCAGTCGAGACTATATAGCCGGCAGGTCTTGCAGGTCAAGACCGAAGAGACTGGTGCGTTGATGCTCGATGAGCGCACACACGCGTGTACGATGGTCGAAAGAAGCGTTTGACAAGCGATCCGAGGGTGAGGAGAACAAGACGAGCTAGACGATGGCCTGAACGCAGGTGCTAGTAGTAGGCCTCCTGAAGATGATGGGTATGAGGGTGTCGCCTTGGCAATGGATCGTTGATGATGGTGCGAATGATAGATGGATGCTCGTCGATGACCGCAGAGAAGCAATCCAAGACGACGGAAGACAAAGGGCGGAGAGGGAAGTGTCTCGAATGGGCTGGTCCAAGTGACACGCTGCGTGTGACGTTTTCGCCGCATGGACCATCACGCGGGCTGAGTGTCCTGAGCTTCAAAAGGACTGCTTCCAAAGCGCGTAATTTTTATTCGCACCAGACTGCTGGATGCGCCTGTCTCGAGGGAGGAGAAAACAAAAAAAGGCCTGGACCCACCGCAAAAGGTTGCCGGATTCCGCATTTTTATTTTTCTCTGGATTTTTATTTAATAGTTTGAAGAATTGCTCAGGCTGGGAATGCAGCTGGGAGCTCGGTGGGCAGCTCGATTTTCTGCACTTTGTTAGACTGATTCGGAAGCGGGATGGTTCGGTCGGCAAAACAATCACAATAGGAAACCGCATCATTTGCAGCCTCGCGATCAAGGCAGCTCACAATAGAATGGGTAGCCGACAGCTTAGCCTGAACCGCAGACAAGCTGAAGACGAGATGGATTGCCGCCTCGCTGCTTCAAGGTTCAGGCGAGTCACCAAGGCTGCAGCTCAGCGTGGATCTCAATCGTGCCGTATGCAAGGCGGATCGACCTTTCCTGTCAAAATTCAGAAATCGGCTAAACTGGCAAGGCAAGGCACGAGTTGTTGCCTGCTGCCTTGTGCCACCTCGTTGCCGCCGTTTGGCTCGGGTTGGATACGAATTCCGGGATTCAACGCTGAGTTCTTACCGAAACTTTCGTCTGGCTTGGGTCGAGGTGATCTTCTTGTTTGCCGTTCATCATCATTACCAGCACCACAGCATCCACCAGCGCTGGCTTCGCTCCTTTCTAGACACCCTATCCATGGGGTACACGCCCTGATTGCGTGCCAGTCGCAAATTCGATCGCGGCGCTTCCATATACACCCTCGCCACCCTCGGCAGTCCACCTTTCCTTTGACATCGGCGCGGATCGTCGCATCTGCCATCGCCAATCATGGGTCGCGGTCGTCGCCCCAACATGGCCCTAGAGCCGACACGCGCTCTCCAGACACAGCGCGCGTTTCGACAGCGCAAAGCCGACCATCTCGCCAATCTGGAGGAGAGCATCAAGACGCTGAGCGAAGAGAATGCTAAGCTACGGAAGCTGCTCCATCTCGAATCGGCGTCGTCTTCACTCGTCGCTGATGTCAAGGGAAGCGCTTCGCCTTCGGTGGCATCGACGGCGCCACAAACATCATCGCCCTACGTCTCGATAGCCCCGGCAAAGGGAGCACCTACACCTTCCTCATCGTCCGACTCTCCGGCAGCAGCAGCGGCGACGTGCGACAACTGCGGTCCGATCCAACAAGCCAATCGACAGCTCGCATTGGCTGCGAGTCAGGTGGAAGCACAGATGGCTGATCTGCAGCAGAGCATCAAGGCGTTGCGCAGTGTTCTGATGCACCATGGCATTCCCATCCCATCCCCAATGGCAGGCTATGCAGCAGAGGTGGGCAGCGTCGACGAGGCAGCGCTTCATCGTGCCAAGAGGTATCGTACCAGCGAGTCAGCTATGCACCAACAAGCGGATCAGATGGCATCATATCCAAGCGGGGTACAGATGACGCCCTCCTACTTCAACTCCTCTGCCGCCTCTGCTGCAGGACCGTCGTCAGCATCCTCTGTCACAGCAGCACACGAGCAATACGCTGCATCGCGGCGCATACCGTCAACAGCATCGGCCATGGCGGCATCTGGAGCATGGCATTCCCCAAGCCCCTCTGCCGTCCTCTCTGCTCCATCTCCGCCGGCGACTGCGTTCAGCCCTCGCCACGCCTATAGCTCGTACAACAGCCCTTCCGCAACCATGACCTACCCTGCACCACCGACCTTGGACGAGGGATATCGACGTCCGCCAGCTAGGCAGAACTCTGGCAACAGCAGTGGCGGCGGCGGTGGCGGCAGCGCAAGATCGCATCTACCGGGCCCGTCGAGCATGTCACCCGCCAGGCAAAATGCGCATCTGCCACAATGGCCTCTCCCAAGCACGGCAGCAGCTGGTACCAGGCCGCACGCCTTGCCCGCGCCAGGTCATTCATACCGCTCGTCGAGTCATAGCAGCGTACCAGGCATGGATGCGGATGGAGGCTACGTGCGGACATATTCGCAAAGGAGGCCGGACGACCATGGGGCGTCGAACTATGCGACAGCGGGAGCGTCACCGAATCACTCGTATCCTTCGCAGTATCCCACCTCGTCCTCATCACCGTATGCGAACGGGTCGGTACATTCACCGCGGGCACGGTTGGCTCATTCGCCGAGGGACAGCGGACGTTTTGGTGAAGAGGCGTATGCGGATCGATCGATCCCACAAGCGGCGCCGGCCAAGAACAGCCCGACATGTGCACCCGCGAAAAAGTCGTGTTGCCCGCCTCGCAACGACGCGAATCAGGCCACCGAGCGCAAAATCGCGTGCTCGACCAATGCGACCGACGACAAACCCGTAGCTGCGACAGCTGCGGCAGCATCCGAGCCGAAAGAGGACGATTGCTGCTACGGCTTCGTACAGTGCGATGTGGACGGTGACAAGCCCGCCCCCGCTCTACAGGCAGTATCGACGGCGAAGGAGACAGACTTGGACGGGCTCAAGCTCAAGGAGGACGAATGCTGTTTCGGTCTGGTCAAGTGCGACGCTGAAGGCCGGATCATCATGTGATAGCGTGCCCGGGGCGCTCGCGACCGAGTTTGGTGGACCGGGTCGAATCGCCAATCTGAACAGCCTGTCAGTTGCCGAGTGCACTGCCAGATCCCCCTTCAGGACTGTTTGTGTGTGTGTGTCGTGTCTGCGTCTGATGCAAATGTTTTGACCGTCTCCCTCGAAAGAATCGAGATGAGCTCCGATCGACAGCTGCTCATCCAACTGTGTGAACCCGTGACATTGCTATGGTATATCGTGCTGTTGGTGGCTTTCATGCCACCACGCGCCCCCTACATTCAAGACCAAGAGAAGTCGATCTGGTCTTCGTCCTCTACTCCCATATCACCCACTGTCTGACTCTGTTTGACCGGTTCGCCGTCGAACGAGATCTTGATGGAATCGACCTTGACAGAATCGCCGAGTTCCTTCTTTTCGTGAAAGTGCTGGACAAGTCGAGACAGAAGCGTTGTTGGCGTGACATTGACCACTAATGATCCGGCCTTCGACTGAATGGTGAGACTGAGCGTCTCGCCTGGTGTCTCTGCTGGCGGTGGACTTGGCGAAGTCCTCTTGGCATTGGTCCCATTCGGTCTGGAAACCGTGGCTGATGGCGCTGGCTCGTCGTCCGAGTCGTCAATGACAATGACTGCGTCGTGTGCCTGACCGGATGAGCGGCTGCGACGCGGTGAGGCGCTCGCCCTCCTGATGGGTCTTCCTACCAACTCGACACTGTTATCGGTGTCGTTGCCGTCATTCACCTCGATCGCTTCGGCTATTCTCGCCTGCGGGGCTGATTGAACTCGGGCAAATTGAGCGCCTCGTTGCGACGAAGAGGCTGAGGCTTGAGAAGCAGCCTGCTGACGGGTGCGTTCCAGCTCTTGCTGTTTGCGTTTCTCTTCGAGTCTCGCTTTCGCTTGCTCGCGAATGCGTCTGTTCTTCTCTCCGGGCAGCAAGCGCGCGAGTTCTGGGCAGAAGTCGACCTCGTTTGCCGCGTCAACGTCATCTGGCGCTTCGGCTCCGGCGATCGCTGATGATGGCCCTTGAGTCGATATTGGAGCAGGATCTTGACCGAATGCTGGTGTCGCAGAGCTGCGAGTACTCCTGGTGACCCGATTTGAGGCCGAAGCGGCGTTGGTGCTGGAAGGGCCTGCTGCGACGGCGGAGGTCGAAAGTTTGAACTTGCTTCCCATGGTGCGGTCGACCAAGTCGAGCGCCATTGCTTTCTTTTCCGGCGATACTTGAGGCGGTGGTGTGAGACTGTCCTCCCTCTTCCTCCCGCTTGGAACACCGTTGGCTTGTTTCGTGCTGCCGGCTTTCTCGAGATCGGTCGAGGTGCCTCCGGTGCTGTTGAGCTCGGATCGAGCATCAAAGAAGGTAGTGGCTGATGAAGAAGATGAAGGCTCCTGTGACGCATGCCGATTGATGGCCTCTAATGCCCAGCCGGATAGGTTGGTGACGTGCTTGTGTTTGCGACGCTTGGGTTGACGTGTCTTGGGAGCGTCGCTGTCATCGCTGTTGTATACATCGCTGCTTGACATGACCGTCTCTTCCTCGTCATCGTTGTCATCCTTGTCTCCTCCTAAAGTGAATATCTCATAGTGATCGTACGAGATTTCTGGAGACTTCGCAGGTGCTGCGGACTGCGAGCTCGAGGCTACGGCTGCCGAGGAGCTACCCTGCGTCGCTGAAGTTGACGCTGATCCGGCCTTGGCACCGGATGAGCTGGGCAAGTTGGTCAAGGGCTTTTCCTTTGGTTTCGACTTTGGCTTGCTCGGCTTGCGCCTGCGGTCGAAGAATCCGACGTCGTCGTCATCCATGACTTGTCCTGCTGGCGACGGCGGGAGAGAAGTCGGATGTTCGGATGTGCGCGCTTGCGTCAGCCTCTTTGACTGAAGAAACACGGAGGTCGATGACAAGTCTTGGGCGGGGCTAGACCGTAGATGTAGCTAGTGCGAGCGCAAGGCGAGATGAGGCGTGACAGAATCGAGGAAGGACAAGGTTGGCGTGGTGAGGAAAGGAAGGTTGAGCTCAGCTGCTGCGCGTTTAGATTGGATTCAGGGTTCAGTTTCCAACCAAACCAACACTCAACCACCGCGCGCCTGTTTGCGGCGTAAAGCTTTGTTTCTGGACACCCCGATTTGGGGTCCCACACTCCGATCGGGCCGAGAGAGACACTGAAGCCCGCTGCCGAAAGTGACACGTCGAAAGTCACACCATCACAACGACGCCCTTCCCTTCTTCTCGATATCGTCCACTCTTCGCTGTCGTCACCTACCCTCTCCTCACAGGTCGCTTGACCTACTGCTGCTGTTCGCATATCAGCACACATTCGCTGCTTGCATAGATTACGATCGCGTCCACCTCGTCACCTCCTCTCTCACCACGCCTTATCCGAAGCCGCATCCCGGCGTGGAAATCCTAGGCAAGCATGTTCGCAGAAGAGCTCGCCTCGCTGCGTCGACAAGGTCTCCGCTCGATCCTCTACCAGGTCCTCAATTTCGTCTCTGTCGTCTCAACCGCACTGGCGATGTGGAAAGGCCTCTCTGTGCTGACAGACACCGAGTCGCCCGTGGTCGTGGTCCTCTCTGGCTCGATGGAGCCCGCCTTCTACCGCGGCGACCTGCTGTTCCTCTCGATGCCCAGTGGACCGCTCAAAGTCGGCGACATTTCCGTGTACAAGGTGCCCGGAGCAGACATCCCTATCGTTCATCGAATCATCGAGACTCACGACGCACCCGATGGAGACCAGCTCATTCTCACAAAGGGAGATAACAACGAGAGCGACGATATCGCCCTATATCATGGTGCACGGTGGATGAGGAGGAGCAACATGGTCGGGAGAGTCAGAGGATATATGCCTTATGTGGGGTATGTGACCATCGCATTGAACGACTATCCGAAGTTGAAGTACGCCCTGCTAGGGATCATGGGTCTGTCGCTTCTGTTCCAGAAGGAGTAGGTCGTAGAGACCAGACGAGCGCAATCATCACAGGCGCATTTCATCCTTGCGTACATCAGCTTCGTCTGTGTGGGTTGCCGCGAGCCGCAGTCAGAATCTTCGTACCGAAACAATCGTGAACAGGGCAAAAGAATGTATGAATTGAAAAGCAGCAAACCTTCCACGAGGCCGTCGGTATCCAGACCGACGCAACCCGCAGAAGGAACAAAGATCAAAAAAGTTTTCCGTGACGACGAAGGGGCACGAGTTCCACCAATGGCAAAAGAAGGAAAGACGAAAAGAATGTTCTAAAGGAGGACCGAATTGCTCATCATCTCGGGACGACCAATCGTCGAGCTAGCGACGCTTCCACGACGGCGGGTGCGGTGGATGCTGTTGGAGCGCACACCAAAGGCATGCTCTCGCGTGTGCTGTCGTGGCACGCGGTAGTCTTCCTGGTAGGTCGAGAGCATGCCAGCGTTCGAGTCGGCGCTGTGCTCGCTGTGCGATCCATGCGAGCCAGACTGGTCCGAGGTCGAGTGGTACGATCGACGCGACGACTCGTAGTCGTACTGAATGCGTTGCGCTTCGGTCATCTGGCTCAGGTCCGAGTAGGCGGATCGCTCCGTCATACGGCTGGATCGGTTCATGTTGACGTACCCGCCAGCTGCACCGCCGGCAGCAGCGTCGTGGAACGGATCTGAGGCTACGTAGCCGCCAAAACCGTCGCCGTGTGAGTAGCCCGGCTGGCTAGGGTGACCCATCGCCATGTCACCGTGTGGCGACCACACCTGCTGCATCTCGCCATTCGCGTTGAAACCCTGATGCTGATCAAGTGCGCCCGGAGCCCACGTCTCACGCAGGCCACCGTGGAAGGAGCGGATAGTGTGTGCACGCGAGATGCCGCCGTTTTTGCCATCTGCTCCAACGTCGTCCTGACCTTTGCGCTTGTTTCGCCAGATCAAGCCACCTGCTACCACAGCAAAGGCCCCAGCAAGACCACAGCCCACTCCAATCAGGCTGTTGCGCAGCTTGGGAGTGTCCGTGGTCTCCCCACTGCTGGTCTTGGCGTTCTGCTTGGCGCCCGAGGCAACGATGCCAGCGACGCTCAAGATGTTGAAAGTGGGGTCCACTTGGCTTGCGAGCTGCTGAGGTGCTCCCGAAGCAGCCGTGGTGTAGAAGGGCGACGAGGTGTTGGCGATCAAGGCTTGAATGTCTTCCACGCTCGATGTGGGCACGTACGCCATGTAGAGCGTGCGGGCTGTCGAGAGCGTCTCGGTGGTGGCAGTGTCGTTGGAGTCCGGTGAGTAGCTGGCCAGCTTGACCGTCGAGACTTTGGACGTTTCCAGACCGGCAGGCTGACCAACGAGATCCGGCATGAAGGCAAAGATCTGCGCCGTCAGGTCCGCCTGCGAGATGACCCACGTCCACTGCATGTCCTCCTTGAATAGAACGCCGATCGAAGTGGTGTTGGCCGGCTGGTCGTACGAGCTGGTGGAGGGCACGATGGTGGTGGGCAGATCTTGTGTAGCTGGACCATTTCCAGTCCCGTCCGACGACGAGGCAGTCGATGTGCCCGAATCGGTGTTGCCATCGTAGTTGTCACTGCTCTGCGATCCAGTCTGCGTTGATGAAGCGGACGAGGAAGTGGTGCTGGGAGCAAGCTTCAAGGATTGCGTGTTGGCGTACCAGTACGGGTTGGAGGTCGAGGAAGTCGAGGCGGAAGCAGGTGCAGAACTGGCATGCGAGGCGTTGGAGGAAGGCGCCGACGACACCGATGACGAAGCAGCTCCGCTCGAAGACGCGGATGAGGACGGAACGCCACTCGAGCCCGAAGGAGAGCCACCGTCCGAGCTAGATCCGGTCCCGGCAGACGTAGAGCCAGATCCGGTAGGAACGGACTGAGAAGCCTGCGATGTAGAGGAAGGGGCTGTCGTCACGGCGCTGGAGGAGCCCGAGGTAGCTGTCGAGGAGCCGGTGCCATCGTTGGTCGAGCTAGCACTGTTGGTGCCGGACGACACGGAAATGGTAGAGCCATCGCCGTTGCTGTTGCTGCCATCAGCAGAGCTGGTCGGGGTGGATCCCTGAGAGCTCGAGCTTGGCGACGCGTCGTCGCTTGAGAAGCCGCCTCCGCCCCACAGACTGCTGAACAGACCTCCGCTCTTGGTGGTTGTATCTTTCGATGAGCCAGTGTTGGAGTCGGTGTCGGAGTCGGAGTTGGCGTTCGAGCCAGAACCGGAGCCCGAGTTGGAGCTGGACGGAGCTGGCGTCGGGGAAGAGTCAGCTGTCGATGCATCAGCAGAGGACGAGGCCGAGGACGAAGAGCCGACCACGGGCAACAGGCCCTGCAAGAGCCCTGTAGGAGCGGATGTCGACGAGATGCGCGCCGACGTTCGAGTTGGAGAGGACGTGAAGCCGAAAAAATCGGGTTGACTGGACTGGCTCTGTTTGCTGGTCGATGGCGAGTCATCGTCGTCGCTACTACTGCCTTGGCCGTCGGACGACGCAGACGAAGAAGTCGCAGCCGGCGTTCGAGACGAAGACGTCGCTGACGGCGAATCACTGCTACTGTCCGCGGTCTCACGCGATACAGATGACGACGAAGTCGAAGACGCGCCCAAGAGACCGCCCAGAAGATCACCAAGGCCATCGGTGCTACTGTTGGAGGCGACGGTGTTCGAATCGCCAGCGCTGGATGAAGATGAAGACGACGTGGCAGAGCTCGAGGCAGTGGCAGTGGATGCGGGTGCGGATGCGGAATCTGATGTCGATGAGGTAGGCGTAGCATGCGTGCTGTGAGAGGAGCTGCTGCTCGAGGATGCGTCGTCGCCGTCTGCCGATGCGGAGGACGACAATGATGAGGAGCGATGCGCAGAGGTGGATGATGACTTGGATTCGGCATCAGCAGTGTTGGCGGGAGACGAGGATGAAGAAGTACGCGAAGCTGAATGTGAAGTGGTGGTGGTGGGAAGATCGGAGCTGCGTGCGTTTGTTGCGCTATCCGTCTCTTGCGAACGTGCACTGGTGCGGGTGCGGAAGCGGTGGTGACGAGAGGAGGAAGTGGTGGAGTCGTCGAAGCTACCACTGTCCTGGAGAGCTTCTTCGGCGAGCAGCTGATCCAGCTCATCAGAAGTGAGGCCGTAGGTGCCGTATCGATCATGGTGGTGGCCCGCTCGTGTGTCTAGGGAGGCCGCATGAGCGTCAGAGCTCGAGGCAGGCGGGAAGCGTTTGGAAAGACGACCAGCCCTGGCAGCATGACGTCGGATGGCGTTGTCGGCATGGGCAGCGCCGTGATTGGCATCGGCGAGGACGGGAGTGCCGACAAGCAAGACGAGGCTTAAGCTGACGAGCATCAGCCTGAATGTGGGTTGAAACAAGACCATGATGGTGAAGGGCGAAGGTAGTAGCAGGAGGAGTGTGGTGAAAATCTACGATGCTGGATTGATGCCAAGGAGAGTTGACGGCGGCCAAGATGAAGCAAAAACAAAAGAGTGTGAGTTGATCCGGACAGTGGGAGACAATTGATGTGCAGATGATGAGCACGCCATGGGACAGATGGCGAGGAGAAGGGTCGAGCAGAGAAAGGCGAGTCCGGCCACTGGGAAGGGGATGAGGGGAGGGCGAAGAGTGCGAGTATGATCGTGACGGGAGGCAAATGGACCGCGATGTCGATGGAAACAAGCGGAAGCGAAGCAAGTGAAGTGGGAAGAGGAGGGGACAAGAGGCATGCAAGAGGTTGGATGGGAGGACACTCACCTCGCGACGAGAAGGGCGAAAATGGCTAAGCCCGATGAGATGAAGTCGAACCGAGTCGGGTACAAGCTGCGGGTTGACGAGGACTGACACAAGCGCAGGGCGAGGCTTGCGAGGCTGCGAAGTGTCGACAAGCGGTCTGAGCGTCGTTCGAAGCAGGTCGAGGCGGTGCAATGTCGATTGCGAGAGCAAAGAATAGCCAAGCGCTGAGGGGCTCGAGCTGAGAGAAGAGTCTATGGATGCAGAGATGTGAGGACGGAAGCGCGTGTTGCGTGGGACAGGAGCCAGGACAATACGGAAGGTGCAGATGAGACGAGGCTTGCTCCTATCTGGTCGATCACGAACAGTGAGACGTCAATGGGTGAAGATGAACGGCGGATGCAAGCCACAGAGCCAGTCTGTAGAGAATGGGTAGAGATGCACGCCGAAGCAAATGAGCGTGGTGTAGACGTGGGCGAACGGTGTCGGGGCGACGGCTGATGATGAAAAGAGATGCAGCTATGGTGGAGTGGAAGGGATGGACAATGTGAAGGGTCGAGGAGGGCGACTCTGAGGAGGTGATGGTGCAACTCGACGAGCCAGCGACGAGCGACGAGCGACAATGACGAAGAACAGAGCAAGGAAGGGGGGTCGGTGAGATGAATGGAAGAATTAAAGGAGGAGGAGGAGGAGGGGGTCGGGATGATGCAAGAGGAGGAGGGACAAAGAAGCACGAGCAGCAGGATCAGGGACGATGATGATGATGCTCGCACCAAGGCAGAGCTAGAGCATGATCGGCAGGGGTGAGCAGGACGGCGAAGAGGAGGAGGACGAGGAGGGCCCCGCCAACTGTCAAACAGCAAGGCGGAATAGCAAAATAGGGTACTCAACGCCGAGCCCTCAAATTACCATTAAAAAAAAGAAAGTAAAGATTTGAATTCGAACCGCACAGGAAGCACATGCAAGCTGCAAAGCACCCATTCAACCCGACAAGCAAAGCCGAAAAGCACTTCGGCCTCAACAACAGCTCAGCCGCCGCCGCCCGGCTCAATTCTCTCCTTCCCCTTTCAGCGACGCCCCAATGCAGAGTATGAGCGTCGATGGAACGAGTGTGGCGTCTACCATGCGTGCGGAGCTTCGTTGCTGCTACAATTCGGCACACGGATGCACGACCTTGTTCTCGAACGCAGTTACTAAGGCAGAAGCAGCGTCAAAGGTCTGAAATGTTGGCTCACTGATCGACTGATTCGCTTGCTTGCTCGCCTAGGATCCATGATGGACGATGTTGATGACACGAATGTGCTTTTGACGATGCGATAGGCGAGAAGGAAATGCAAGCTGGAAGTGCTGATGATGTTCAAGACTCGCAAGCGAGAACAACACTAAAACCTGCCAACGGTCGAGCAACGCGCCGGGCGCGACAGCAGACGTGATTTTGGTGATTTTTGTTACGAAAAAAGAGGGGATTGCACGCTGTTGCTGCTGATTGCTGCCGCTTGGCTGCCAGCACACAGGCTTCAGCACTTGCCCTTCTGTCCCTGCCCTGAGCTTGTCTTCCAGCAAGTCAAGCGATCGCCACGCATGTCTGTGTCGCTCGTGCTCGTGCAGCACATTGCGGCGATCCAGCCGACCGCCGTCTCGAACAAGTGTCCTCTGTCCGGCACTGGCCAGCTCATACAACTCGTGCTGGACCCCAGACTGAGTACGCTGGGCTGAAGATCGAACCTTCTTTCTTCGCTTCTGGTGGCGCCCAAATCATCCCCTCACCCGCGCCCTCTGCAAACTCCGCCGGTCTGCATGGATGGCCTCTTCATTTTGCCCTTTCTTGGCCTCATCGCAGTATGTCCAGCTTCAGGTGCGGCGATCCTCACAGACTGTGCTGGCCGAACGCCGACTGGACAACACCCGTCAACACGAGCACTGGCGGAATGATTCACGTTTGTTAGGCCGGCTCTTTTCGAAGCGCGTTAAAAATAGAGTCAAGATGCGGGAGTCGGATTCGAGACTCGGACCAAGAAGACGCCTCGACTCACGATTGCACCTCGTCCATCTTAGCCAGCCTCTCCACAAACGACCTCACACTCTCGCACAGACCCGATCGTCGACATCAGGACGACAAGCAGTGCCATAACACGGCTCAGCTTTCGATCCGCTTGCTCTCCGCCATAGAAGGAGAGCTATCGCTCCGGTCCGTCCCAGCACATTCTCGCCTCAACCTCTCAACTCATGTTATAGACGACCTTAAGCAAGCTCGTGGATCCTTGAGCGACGGGCGACTGGGTCACAGCGCTCTATTAAACCAAGTATAGCTAGATATGTCGGCTCAAGTACCCGTCAAGCGTCAACGCATCAGCAATGCATCTGGTTCCTCGTCGAGGAGCCTGTACCAAAGGCCGCTGTCCACCGAGCAGCAGCAGTCCATTCGCCATGCTCAGTGCATCAACAATGGCACCAATGCTCTTGAGCAGCTACAATGCCTCAGGTCAGGCTTCAGTGATCTAGGCCAGATTGCGTGGTCTCCGCACAACGTCCTTGCCACCGCCTCCAACACACAAGATGCTCCCTCAATATCGGCAGACGCTCATATCGTCGTTCAGTATCCTGTCGCGTCCTCCTCTAGAACCAAGCTCAGGTCCAGTCATCTGTATCCTGACCAGTCGAGCTACACCCCTGCGCCGCATGCTGGGTCCTCTCAACCACGGCTTGCAGCAAGCAACACACCACCTCAGCACACGTGCTACAATGACCCGCGACATATCTCTTTCAGTCCCTGCGGCTACTATCTATGCGCCTACTTCCCGATATCGCGACACCCTGCCACGCCATCGAAGGTATCACCTGAAGCTTCAAACGCTCAATCTCAGGTGCTACTTTCTCAGCCCAACACAACAGCCACTGCACTCGACTCAACGCTTGCCCTACCGCAGGCAGCAGCAGCAACTTCATCTTCGTCACCAGAGAAAACAACACATCGTCCATTGGCCAAGTTCTGCATATGGTCTCGAGCCGACACAGGATCTCTCAATGACTGGAAGCTTGTTGAAACACTCTCAGTCAAGCCTACTTCTCGCAGAACAGGATCAGCGACCTCAGCAACACCGGACAACGTGCTCAAAGTCAACGAAAGAGGCCAGCCAGTAGCTCAGGCTGGTGTTCGAGCATCCCCTTCCGACCCCGAAGATGTCAAAGAGTCCAACATCCTGCAAGGTGGCGTCAAAAAAGTGGTGTGGCTCAACCGCCGTCGTCGCATTGTTCTCCGCTCTGGATCCTCATCCTCGAATCACTACGGCGCCAGCGCATTCACTCGACTCGCAGCTCGAGGTCCAAGCTTTGTCCCTGCTGCGTCTGCTTCGACGGACAAGTCTGTACCGGAGCTGGACGTGGCACTCGTCGTGTTCGGAAACCAGGGGCAAGTCACGCTGCTGTCCTCTCGCAAAGCAGACCGAGAAGCGAAATCAACCACAGAAGGCAGCTCTACAACTACCGCGCCTCCAGCCTTCTTCAAAACCTTGCTACATTCGTCGTTGTACACGCCAAATCTGCAGCCTTCGCCCATCACGCTCGATTCGACCCACAGCCTCGACGACAAGCAAGGCGACAATGCCGCTCGATACGATTCGCCCTTCTCCAGGATGGATGGGCATGACTCTGATCCTGAAGGCGAGCTTGGTGGCAGAGACTGCATCACGCACCTTGCTGTCGGCATGCCCGCCAATGACTCCGTTCTTCTTGTTGCGTCCAGGCGGTCTTCTAACAGCTCTTCGCTGGTGGACCTCACCGAGATCAACATCGATCTGCGTGGCGAGTCAGTCACCATGACAACACGTCCCTTGCAGTCGGTGTCGCTGTCTACTGCCGACTTGAATCATCTTGATGGCTCACCTGCTAACGGATCGACCAGTGACAGTGCTGTCGACGTTGACGCTGTCTCGATCCTCGCATGGGCACAAGTCGACGCCGCAGGCTCTGACGAAGACCGTGCAGCTGGCAAAGCAGCCTCCCTCCGACTCATTGCTTGCTCCTCGCACATCGAGTCAGCAAACAGCACATCCGAATCAGCGGATCATGACGCAACGGCATCAACGATGCGCAGCAACATCGCCTGTTGGGATGTGTTCAAGGCAGAGAACGAGCTCAGTGATGCATTTGCCTCACTCGAATGCAGAAAGACAGGACACGCGCCGAAGTGGTCCGACTGGCAATTGCGCTTTGCCCAGTCAAAGACGCTTCACAACCAGCTCATCACATCCTTCGTCGCCAACGCCGATGGCATGGCAGTCGGCGACCTTGGCCTTCTCGCATCATTGACGCCAGCAGCTGGAAGGGCAGGTCTGCTTTCCGAGCAGCTCAGCTACTTTGACCTCCAACGCATGGATCTGGCAGAGGGAGTGGCGGCGACGACGCCAGCCCGAGCGCTTTCACGAACTTCGAAGCCTGTCGTTTCCAGCAACGGCACCCTAATCGCGACGCTCTCTAGCTCGCACACTGGCTCGTCAGACAAGGGGGTCGTCATGTGGAAGCTGCCACAATTACCGCGCGAAGCAGGTCAGGCTCTCACTGGGGCGAATGATACATCAAGCCGAATGTCACGGCTCCTGGCGCTGTCCGCCTTACGCAAATCGGATCCGTCCGACATTGGCCGCGCATTCGAATCTGCCACTTGGCAGGGCATGTCCGGCAATCTCCTCATCCAGATCGGAGACCTGCTCAAGATCACCGAGTCAAAACGCCAAGATGTCCTGGTCAAGATTGAAGGAGCCACACAGAAAGGTCCAAGCCACGACTCAAACTCCATTCCCTTCCATCAAGCGCTTCGACTGCTCAAGATCCGCATGGCGATCGGCGTTGGAGAAGTCGCACGTCTCGAGCGACTTGTTCTCGAGCTCGGGCTGTGTTTCCAGATGTTGCGATTGGCGCGGATCAAAACGCAAGTGACAGTAAATCCGACGCCACCACCAGCCGAAAGCGGCAAGAAGAAAGCCGGAGCTGCCGCCAAAGCTGTTACCACCACAGCCGAGACGCGCGATCGAGTATACTACCGCCTGGAGAGCGTCTGGCCATTGATCGCGCAGCTGCAGTGGTTCTTGACGCTGCTGGACAGGGTCAGCAAGCTGGCGATTGCGAACAGTGATGCGCCATCGAAGTCGGAGAGCTCCGACTCTTTCGAGATGGACTTTGTGCGCATGCTCAACAAGCCAACGCCGCGACGGCTGGTGCTGCAGATTCTGGCGCACTTTTGCGACTTCCGAGAGTGGACCGCCAGTACGACCCGGAAGGAGAATCTGCCACCTGCGACGACGGGCGAGGAGATGGGAGACGCGACAAGTGACAAGGTTCTAGCTGTCAGCGAGCAGATGGCGCTTGCGAGGGACGCGTTGAATCGTGTAGTCGGCGATGCGGCTGTCGATCTGATCGAGTTTACACATCTGCTAGTCAAGATCGAGATGGAGGCGACTGAGGGTGGAGCAGGTGGAGCATCGGGCGTGAGTCAGAGCCGGGAAGTCGATCGGTTCTGGTGGGCCACGCTGGACGGTAGCAAGGTGGATCAACCCGGTGCCGATGTCAAGGTCGAGTCCGACGCTGCCAACGGATTGCATGCCAAGCTGTTGAGTGCAGTAGTCGATCCCAAGTCGGGCGCCTTGGTCGATGTGCTGTCGCTCTTCATTTCGCCAGAGGACCTCTCGGACGAGCGCAATGTGCTTCACGAGAAGGGCGCAGATGACAGTTCAGTCGGTGCAGCAACAGGCAAAGTTTCGACATTGTTGGACGCTCTTTCCGCCATGTCAGCCAAGCGTACCGACGACGAAGCGCGACGCGACATCGTCCGCAAGGTTTCGCTTTCCAACGCATTGACCCAGTCGGCCATCCACAACGACGCCGCGACGCTACTGCGCACTCAGCCCACGACAACGGTACCGAGTACAGACACGGAAAGCAGTCTGGTCAAGATCAACGTGATGCGAGCCAAACGGTGCGTCCGCTGCTCGGCGCTCTCCCAAGATCCGGTCACCGTCACCTACGCCGTCCCGCACCCGACCCCTTCGCAGGGCAATCCGGCATTCACGGTCGATCCGAGCTTGCCACCCCAGGTGCAGATGCAGGTTCAAATGCAAATGCAGATGCAAATGCAGATGATGCAGATGATGCAGATGCAGCAGGCGGCGGCGGGGCAGCAGGGAGGCGCGCAGGGCATGCCGTCGTTCGTTCCGCCCATGATGGGCATGCTTCAACCTCAGCCACGCGTGATATCGATCGAGATGGGCAGTCAAGCGTCGGAATCAGACACCTGTGTCTGCGGTGGACACTGGTGGGTTCTCTAAATCCATTTCTTTTCCTCCATCGTCAGTATGTGTGTCTTCAATACGGCAGAGCGCCACTTGGCTTATCCGGACCGAAATCGCCAAAGCAAGGCGGATAGCTATCCGTCCTCCTCCCATTGATCCATCCCAAGCGCGGCGCTTGAGCCACAAAGTCAAAGAAGCTCGGCGCGGTGTTTTGCTGCGGCATCGGATCCACCTCCAACCACTCGAGTCGCGGCAGGTTGCCAGTGAGATCCGCCCACAGCGCATTGTAGTTGTCGAAGGCACCGGAGACGTCGAGCACGAGCCGAAGGTGGGTTAGCGTTGAGGAGGTGGTGAGGAGGGCGGTGGAGAGCGGGGGTTCGGGAGTCACGGGGTAGATGTCGAGGTGCGTGAGAGACGTGAAGGCGGAAGAGGTGATCAGGGCTGGTTGATGGAGGAGTGAGGTTTTCGAGGTGGACAGTGAGAGGTGCGTTAGACGGGTGTGGTGTGCGGTTGAGATGGTGGATTGAGGGAGGGTCGGTGGTGGGGAAGTGGGTGGGTCGAGATAGAGGTGTCGTGCCTGTCTTTGCGGTTCGGCCGTCGTGGAACGTTGAAGCTCCATCACCGGGCTCACCCCTCGATTGCGCCTCTCTTCCGCTTCAGCCCCCTCCGGCAGCTCCCTCACCAATCCTTCTCCGCCCCCCTCCCTCTGTCGCTCGAACACCATCCGTGCCCCGATTGGCAGCAACGTGCTCTCGTACCTAACCATCGTCAGGCACTCCAACCTCTCCAATCCCCCCATCCAGCTATGTCCATGATAAAACGTCCTTCCATCTACCTCCAAGCTTCTCAAACTCGGTGCCACCAACGGCCAAATCGCCGGGTTCGGCACAGCCTCCGCAGACCAATACAGATACTCCAACTGCCTCGTCTGTGATAGGTGCATCGACCGCAGCAGTGTCAGCAGAAACGACTGGTCCAGGTCGATGTATTTGTCCGGTATGCTGATGACGATGCTTCGGATGTAGGGGAGGGGATGACGAAGGCTGAGGTCAGGGTGAAAATCGGGGGATGAGCGGCCCTGGCGTGTGCGTGAGGGGGAGGTTGATCGGATGGAGAGCGTGTCGTAGCTGCGAAGGAGGGTTGCGAGTCGAGGCAGGTGTTGCGGTGTACGGATGACGAGTGTGTGCCAGACAAGCGGCAGGAGGGTCTGACGGAACGTGCGGGATGCAGAGGAGAGCGAGAGCAGGGTTGACAGGTCGGATCGGGCGAGTGGGAGCGGCGAGTAGGGTGGGAAGGAGTGATGGCAAGGGAAGGAGGCCGGGCGCGTATCGATGCCGCTCACATAATAGACGTCGGGTTTGGTGAGGAGCTGCGTGGCAATCTGGAAGATGATCTCGAGTGGAAGGCTTGGTATGCGCCCGTATAAAGCGCTGTCTGGGGTGAGTGTCGATGGTGGAAGCGCCGCATCCTCTAACTTCGATGGTGCACCGTTGCCCGCTGTGGTGCTGGATAGGCTTTGTCCTTTATGCAATCCAAGGGTGCCATTTCCGGATGCGTGGGCTTGTGCTTGCACAGACGCCTTTGTGCCGTATACTGAGCAGGTGCGATGATCCGTCGAGCTTGCGCTTCTGAGTTGTGTTGGATGAGAAGCAAAGCTGAGCGCGTCCATCAGCCTAGCTGCATCGGCGACGGACGGCTGCGATGGTGGGCTCGTCATCGCGTCTCGACGCTTGCGTGCTCTGCTGGATGTCACCTCATCGCATTTTGATCGCCATCTGCATCGGATTCGCGAGCTTGACGAGAAGGTCGACACTTGGAATGACGAAGATTGGTAGCGAGGATGATGGCCGTGCGCATGTCGAGGATGATGGAGTGGAGGCTTTAGGTCCGATAAAGTCACCGAGAGCCGGAGGCAAATTTCAAATCTGTTAGACCACTCTCGTCTCGGCCAGCACCGGTTCGACATTTCGGTTTTGACGGCGTGTCGGACAACGCCATGCATCCAAGACCGATATCGTCGACCTGTCAAGAAACTTTTACCGAACAAAAGATCTTCCTTTGGTCCTTATCGCTGCCCTCGTCGTGCTCTGCCAGTCCCTCCTCTTTCCGCGACTATCCGTTGTTTCGGGCTCGGCTGTGACGGACAGCCCTGCCCTTGCGAACCCTGTTCGTGACGGTCTTCCTCGTGCCTTACGCGCCGGCGAATTTTGCCTTTTCTCCGATAGAATGAGATGAAGTTTCTCTTGTCCCACCGAATAGGCTTTCCGATAGTGCAATAATGTCGGCTATGACGGTCCCACTGCCTCCCACACGAAGGACCGTCTCTTTCTCCGACGCCTTCCTACGGGCTGACAATCCATGGCTGAGCAATGTGCGGTGGGACATCGTCCGACGTTTCGGGTCTGTCGGCCACGGCCCCATGATGTGTGCAGACTTTGACACCGGTCGGTCATGGTGGGCCCTCCTTCGCTATGACAAGGCTCAAGTTGTCGTATCTTGCTGAGCATCCATCTTGTTCTCCCTCCCACCACCGATACATCCTCCACCATCTTCACAAAAGCGCGATCGTGACTATCCCTGGTAGACCACTGCTATCGACACCATGGAGCCGATTCGCCCTTCAGCCGATAGCTCTTGCTCGCCATGCTCCTCGACATCAAGCTGCTCGTCACCACAATCCAGATTCTCCTCAGCCGATGCCACTGCAGTCAACTCAGCAGCACCCACACGACGCAACAGTGTCTCGATCAGCAACCTCCTATCAACATCCGGCTCTGGCAGTGTTTCTATCGGCGACAAATCAGGCAAGTTCGCGCACGAAGGTGTCTCGCCAAAGTGCCTTGCTCAGCGATTGCTGCAGCAACAGAACCCACATGAGCGCCCATCTACTGTGGCAAAAGATATCGACACCAGCTCTGACACGCTCGTAGCCAACACTCCTCGTGCGTCCTTCGACAAGCTCGACCGTCCCAAGCTCCTCGACGAAAAGTCCACCCCGTCCTTCGACTCGGGCAAGGACATCGAGAAAGCTTCTCTCCCATCAGACTCGGCTCCCGGTCCAGCACCAGATGGCGGTCTGCAAGCGTGGCTCGTCGTCGCAGGCACCTTTCTGCTCATCATGACCAACTTCGGCCTGCTCACCTCCTACGGAGTCTTTCAGAGCTACTACACCTCCCACCAGCTCGCTCACCTCCCCGCATCCACCGTCAGCTGGATCGGCAGTCTGCAAACCTTCATGATTCTCGGCGGCTCGTTCGTCTTTGGCAAGATCTCGGACGACTACGGTGGACGATGGATCCTCATCCTCGGCAGCGTCATTACGTTCATCTCGATGTTCTGCGTCTCGTTCTGTTCGACTTTGATTCAGCTCATCCTCGTTCAGGGCGTGCTTTTCGGTCTGGGAGGAAGCATGTTGTTTTTGCCGGGGTGCGCGTTGGTGAACCAATACTTCGATAAGCGCAAGGGGACGGCGATGTCGGTCATCATTGGCGCGGCGAGCTTCGGCGGCATCATCTGGCCCTTGATCCTCCAGAGTCTTTTCGACACCCCTCAGATTGGCTTCCGCTGGGGAGTGAGGATTGCCGCGTTCATCCTCGCCCTTCTCCTCACCATCAGCAACGTACTCATGCGACCCCGACTGCCGCCTACACCCGCAGCACTGCGTCAACCGTGGTTCCAGGCTTGGACACTGCTCACCTCGGACCCGTCCACCTACACTCTGTTCGTGGTGGGAGTAGCAGTGATGTTCATCAACTTCTTCGTGCCCTTCTTCACCATCGCCTCATATGCGCGCAAGGTCGGATTCTCCGCTTCGATGGCGACGCACATGGTGGCCATTATGAACGCGGCCAGTCTCATCGGGCGGTTGGCCTCGGGTCCGTTGGCGGATCGATATGGTCGATTCAACGTGCTCACCCTCTTTGGGTGTGGTAGCTTCCTCAGTCTGGCCCTCTTCTGGCCCATCCCTGGGCTGACGTTGACCAAGGCGGGAGTGCTGACGCTGAGCGTGGGCTACGGCCTCGCCAGCGGAGGAGCCATCGCGACCGTCAGCTCGTGTGTCGGGCAGGTTTCCAAGAAGAACGCCGGCGCGAGGTTGGGGTTGACTTGGACCATGGCTGCCCCCGGTGCACTGGTGGGACCTGTCATCTCGACCACCCTCGTCAGCCAGATGCATGGCAGATATACAGCGCTAGCCATCTGGGCAGCAGGAACTACTCTGGTGGGCACACTCATTATCGCAAAAGTCCGATTCAATTTGTCGCAGGGCAGGTGGATCGCCCGCGTCTAACCGTCGCACACAAAGCATCTGTACAACATATCCATATATCATTTGTATTCTAAGCATCACCGTGATAATCATTTGCCGGCACCCAAGAAATCGAGCGTGTGCTGCGCCGTGGCCTCGGGGTGGGTGAGAACAATGAAATGCCCAGCGTCGGGGATGACGGCGAGATCGATCTGGCCAAAGTACTTGGCGGTGTTCATGGGGACCACGTCGTCCTTGTCGCCCCAGATCACCCTCAGTCTCGAACCAAATTTGGCCACCACAGCACGGTGCACTTCGTGCGCGTTGAAGATGGGTCCGTCCTGCAGACTGGAGGTGAAGGAGAAGCGGTAGCCGGGATGGTACTGCGCCTGCCACCATGCGAGGGAGCCTTTGGGTGGGGTGGGGAGGAGGGGTACGAAGCGAAGCAGACGGCGGAGGATGAAGTTGGGGAGGAGGTGCGAGCGGATGAGCTTGACAGCGGGACGCAGGTCCTTGTTCGGTGTTCCACCTGCGGGACAAAGGAGTACGAGACGGTCGACGCGGTTCGGGTAGTAGTGCGCAAAGTGCGCCGCAATGGGTCCGCCGAGCGACATGCCGCACAGATCGAACTTGTCCCAGTGCGGCAGATGGGCGAGAAGGAGGGTGATCTGAGAGACGAAGAGCGCCGCATCGTGCGTCACTTGAGGCGAGTCGGAGTAGCCACGACCGAACAGGTCGAAGCACAGGATGCGGTAGCCCGCCTTGATGAGGTGCGGCGCGATGAGGCTCCATGCGGGCGAGGGCGTGGAGATGCCATGGACGAACAGGAGCTTCTTGCCGTCCTCAGGGCCGAACTCGTAGTAGCGGATGACGCCGTAGGGGGTCTGGAGGTCGACGCCGTTGGGGAAGATGTCGGCAGGGTAAGGAGGGTCGTGGATCTTGGCGGGGGCTTTGAGGATCTTGGGGTAGTTGGCGCGCAGACGGGCGTTCGAGATGAGGTAGAGGAGCGAGGCAGTGCCGGCAGCTGCGGCAAGGGCTACCCTGCCATCTTGCAACCGGTTGGTGTAGGATGAGAAGACCGACATTATGTGTAGCCTTCTGAAGGGATGACGGTGGTGGTGGTGGGATGAAGAGGGAAGGGTCGACGTTGGAAGGTCGACTCGGCAATCAAGAAAGCGGAGCCAGGGTCCAATCGAGAGCGGGGGAACGTCGAACAAGAAGATCAAGAGGCTCGCCAAGAAGCGTCGGTGACACCGGCGAGAAACAGCCGCGAGCCTAAAGCCGCACGGCTAACGCTTTAACAATTTCAGGTTTTGGCTCTGGCGTGGAGGGTCGTGCGCCAAAAGTGACACTTCCATGCCATCTTCCACCTTCACCATCACCTCTGCGCCTCGAGAACATTCGATTGACTGAGGCGATAGTCAAAGGAGGGCGCGCAAATATGACGACGGCTACACCTTTGTCTCTGCCGTTCATTTTGGATCAGAAGGATCACACGACCTCGTCACATTCGTATCGCAGGCGATGGAAACCGGACCGACCCAACTATCGAACGCTTCTCTCTGCACAACATGCCGAGGGCTCGTCAGGCTCAGCAGCATCACGAGCGGCCACAACAGCCAAGATCTCGAACGTCCAAGCTGATCCTGACCAGCTCGAAGCAGATTTACAAGAATGGGGTCTGCCTTCAACCTCCTCGGGCTCGCGGCTAGCTCCGCCCACTTCTGCGATCTCGTGGGATGAGAACTCCGCAAAAGCTAGCTGCTCATACTTGCAGAACAGACGCTCCACAGACCTGAGTCCTGCAACTGCAACATCATTGGATCAATGGGACCCCTCGATCTCGTTCGCCCCGTACTCGTCCAGCGGCTTGGCCCCCATCCCACTCTCAGGCTCCAGCAGTGAGCCTTTGCGATATGATCCAAGCCTCGGTCGAGTCCTCGCAGTGGGCCGAGATGACGGCACGGTGACCATCTACCGCGCGTACGGTCGTGTTGAGGACTACGACTCACTATCCAGCAAAGACCCGCAGACAGCGGAGGCTGACGATGCGCTGCCAGCCTCTGCCTCTGCTTCCGCCAGCATGTCCCGCAGCGCCAGCCAATCTGCATCTGTGCGATCTTCGGCGATCGCGAGCCCTACTCGCTTACGGAGCCCGGAAGCCGCGACGCCTTCCATCAGGCTGTCGTCATCAGCTGCATCTCATGCCACAACCGCCTCCGGCCGCGAGCCCAGCCCGCTCTTGGCCGCCTTTTCGCCTATCGATCGCTCTTCTGCTGCACGCTCCACCATCTCGACCGCTTCAGCGCACTCGGCTGTCGCCGCCAATGTGCAGCTCGATGACGGCTTGCCAGCCAACAGTCTTCAGTCCATGGTCAACGCGACCGGTCACACTGCAGGCCGCAAGTTTGGAGACGAGGCGGAAAACCGTCTGGAGCAGCAGATGGCGGCAGCGGAGCGCAATGACCACCAGCATGGCGTTGTCGGTGGTGTGATAGAGCGACTTGGATTCTCTTCACATCCCCACGCACACTCGCATTCGCCTTCATCGCATCATCAGTCCTCAAGAGAGTCATCTCGTCATCACGGCTCTCGACCGAGCGGGTCTCGCCATTCGCCAATTACTCCGCCCCGTGCTTCAACTTCGATCGAGACGCTAGCTGCAATCGCCAGTCAGTCACAAGCACAAGAAAAGACTCTCGGGCCCGCGACACCTGACCGCGGTGACGCCTCTCTGCAAACGTCGGCGTCGGACGCTTGGCTCCACGAGCCGAGTCGTGGCAGCTTCAGCCAGACTATGACTCTCTACACTCGGGACCGATCACCTGTCGTTGCCCTTCGATCAATTCCATCTATGGCAAGGACGCAGGAGAGCAACACAGCACCTTGGGTTTCCGCAACAGCCGGACTCGAGACCGCGGCCTTGCTGATCGTGCAAGAGGCGGGCACGATTTCATCATGGTCCATTTCGGAAGGAACGATACACTGGCAGTCCGATCTAGCCAGCGCTCAAGTCGTCCCGACCGGCGTGGAGTCGTCGGACGCAACAACAAAGGAGAGTTCAGCAACACTAGGCATGATGCACTCTCTCAGCAAGCTTCCATCAGCCATCGGTACGTCTCGAACACACAGTCCAGCGGGGTCCGCCAGAGCATCCCCAAAACCGACTCTGCTAGCTGGCGACGCTAGCATGAGACGGTCCCTGCTTCGAACAGCGCTGAGTGGCGCCGACGCCGAGACCACTTCGAGATTACGCGAGATCCGTGCAGTCAAGCTCTGCGAGGCGGTACAGACGCTGAATGCCTACGGCACCTCGGTGGCTCTGGTATGGGACTCTCACTCGTCTTCGGTGTTCTTGCTCGGCCTACTCGATGGAACAGTCTTGCTTCGCGAGACCCTCGACGACGTTTTGCCAGCGAGTGTTCCGACGCTCTGCTTGCTTGCCGAATCGCAGGAACGCGTGCACCTGACGTGGTTCAGCGAGAGCCAGCGCAAGCTTGAAAAGCAGCTTGTGCGCATTCTGACTTCCGAGGCAACCAAAGCGACTCCACAAGACGACACTACGGATCAAGGCAAGCAGCTCAAAGGCTTCGTTTTTGATGCTAAAGCAGAAGCTCAGCCTTCGTCAGACGGGTCTTGGACTCTTTCGGACGACGCCGGACAAGCACAGAAGATTCATGTGCTTCAACATCAGGTCGTGGTCCAGAGCTCGGAATGCCTTTCCGTGCTCGACTCGGCAAGAGGTCAAGTGCGATTCACACAGGAAGCGGGCACCGATTCGATCAAGCGCATTTGTGGGTCAAGCCGGAATTCAGAACTTCTTCTCGTCCAGTCGTCGTCGGCACTAGCGAAGCTCCACCTCAACGGGACACGAGCAGGAACCTCCGTCGTAAAGGTCCCAACCTTGACCCCCGTGGCACGTCCACCGTCGTGCCGCCTTCCTCTCGCTTGGAATCTGCCCGGCTCAGGGAACCTGCTCGAAAAAGCATTCCTCTTCCAACCTACCGCTACCGACGACTTGGGAACAAGCGCTGCACCGCAGGAATCGGCAGAGGTTGTGGCATTCGACCTCAGCACGTCACAAATTGAGGATCTGCTCGCTTCTCGTGGGTCAGATCCCGACACGTCTTTGGTTGCCGAATCAGGTAGTCGCCGGGCGGGACCCATCACGGCCGTTCTGCCTCTCAGCCTGGAGAAGATCGCTGTCGCAAGCGATGGTGGCCTGCGACTCCTTTCGCTTTCAAGCATTGCTTCTCAAACTGCCAAGTCTTCCACGATGACGGCAACTGGCAACAATCTAGGACCAGATCATGAAATCTGCCTCCTGCGTTCAGCTGTCGCTCCTCGATCTGGACAAAGACTGATCGTCGGCGGGACTTTGCACGGCGAGCTTGGGTTCTGGCAAGCCAATGCAACCGCGACGCAAGGTGAGCCCCCCTCCGAACCTCAGCTCGAAGCCACATTGTCCGTCTCGACGACGCCAGTCGAGGCCCTTCTCGTGTTTGGCGATGATGACAACACGATTCGTCTCCACGGCTGCCTGGCTTGCATCTGTGCAGACAGCTCGGTGACGATTGTCTTGCTCGAAGGCTTCCGACTGCAGTACACCATCCCCGGTCGAGGCGCTCGCTTGACATCGTTGGCCGTGCGTGCTGACGAGCTGCTTTTGACTTACGACGATGGCAAGGCCCGCGTTTGGGATCTGCGCACGCAGGAGCTCCGTCGCAGCATCGCTGTCGACCAAGCACAAGCGCTGGTGGAGGATGGCAAGGGGTGGTGGACCGTCAAGCCGATCGAGCCGTATAGTCCGCTGCACTCTGGTACAAGCGGTGTTCTCTCGCAGCTGGCATCGGCGCGCGACGGTGCCGCTGCCTCGCTGCTCGTCGATTTCCGACGTTCAATCGAGGCTGCTGCTCGTTCTGTGCGAGGCGCTGGTCCGTCGACAGCAAAGGAAGATGCGGCACCCCGAATCGGGCAGCCGAACGCCACAGGACAGCAGCCGCCTGCCGCCCTCAGATCGGAGCAGGAGCAATACCAGACTGACAGTTCCGCCTCAGTCAGTCTTGGCTCACCAGCCGCCCGCAAAGCGGTCAACATCATCCGGCCTTTGCTGCCGACTGTCTTCCCAACAGGCCTTGACAGCGATATAGATGCCAAACTCGCTGCACTCCTCGATCTAGAGTCCAATGCCGCCGGTGGACTCGGACACAGTGCGTTCACTGTTGGAGCCCTCTCTGCGTCCGATGCTCTCATGGTGGGCGACTCTGATGGGAAGTTCATCGGGGAAGCTTCAAGGGCGGACTTCGGGCGAGCGTGGAAGCTGAGCTCTCGCCTGACGACGACACGACTCATGGTGGCATCTGCGCTGCTGCGCGTTCTCAGCCATGTCAGCGAGCTGAAGCGTCTGGCAGAGGATCTACAACGTTTTGTCGAGGACGAAGCGCACTTATCCTCGCTAGTGGGAGTCGGCTTCCGCGGCGTTCAGCTCACCGAACTGGCGCCGTATTGGCTGGACAGCAACATGGAACTGCAAAATGCCAGCCGGAGCATGTTCCAGGCTGCTGTCACTCGTCTCGGTCAGGCACAACTGGACGTGCTCTGCGATCAGTGGCAGACGTCGCTGTCGCCTGCGAAGACGGCGCAAGATAACGCAAAGACTCGAATGGCCGACATTGCGTCCGAGGACGTCGAGCTCCAGATCCGTGCTCTGGCTCTGCTAGGTAGCATTGCAGTGGAACGATATACGAGCATGTCGCCGCGACTCCTCAAGGACATCGCCAAAGCCATCCACGGTTCGATTGTCTCGGACAAGGGCAGCGAGATGCGGAGCTCGCACGAGCTGCAGATGCTCGCGGTCGCCATTGAGCTGTGTCGACAGGGCTTCTCGATGTGGCAGCACTACTTCGACGCCACTGAAGTTGTGCGATCCTTGTTCGCGCTCAGCACGTCGACATCGACGTCCAGCAGCACCAGTGCAGACAGCGACTTGCGCACTCTGGCACGAGCGGCGACGTTGCAGATCGCGGCCGAGAACACGCCGCTGTTCATGACGACGCTATCACTGGACATCCTGCACGCGCGTTCGGCCGCGCACTGCTCGGCAACGATGCGCTTGGTAGCGTTCATGGTGCGAAAGCGACCTTCCGTGTTGGTGGCCAACTTGCCTCGACTCGCAGAAGCGGTAGTCAAGTCGCTCGATCCGACGCACACGACAATGCGCGAAGCCGTCGTCAACGCGGCGACCGTGATGATCGGCGAGCTGGTGTCGACCTACCCGAGCCTGAGCTTCTTTGGCGGTGGGCAGAGGCTGGCAGTGGGCACACACGAAGGCGCGGTCATCATGTACGATCTCAAGACTGCGACACGCCTCTACGTGCTGGAAGGCCACCGACGTCGAGCTGACGCGGTCAGCTTCAGCCCCGATGGCCGCCGACTAGTGACCATGAGCCTGGAAGAAGGCCGTGTGCTGGTGTGGAAAACGTCCTCGGGATTCAGCACCTTCTTCTCACCAGGCCAGATGCCACGTCAAGGCGCGACCGACGTCAAGCTCACCGATGGAGCATACAAGGCGTTCCTATTCAATGTCGGAGAACAACATCAGAGCGCGTCCAAGGCAGGCACCACGCAAGCGGCAACTTTCGGTTGCCACCAGGGCGAAAATCAGGAGCAGGACTTTGTCGGGTTCGACAGGATCCGCTTCCAGTGGAACTCGGAACGCAGCGTCAAGGTTCAGATTGGCGAAGCGCAGCTCAACATCAGCGTTGACTAGGCGTCTTTATCGACTGGCTCTCTGCTGCATCCGCTCAACGACAGCTTGTTCCTCCTTGCCCCTCTGCGACCGTTCGATGTGATGAGGCGAAAGGCTACGCTGGACGATGATGAGGGCAAAAAGGTCAGCTAACTTGTTAGACTTGCACGTGGCCGGAGCAAACGACGGATTTTGGCTTGTCCCCAAGGACACGAAACGAATCAACACAGGGGCTTGCCAAACGAGGCTTTGGACCCTGAGCTGCAAGAGGCCCCTGACCTCCTCTCTCGCCCTGACCCTCTCCCGACCATCTTTACATTGTCATGCTCCACGGTGCGGACATAGCGTGGTCCAACCATCTCGTCTATCTGCTCTGTAATAGCCAACACTCGCGCGAACCATGAGACGATTCATGGCAAATGTGACCTTAGGTGGGAGTGATGATGCTGCAGCGCAGGCCATGTCTCGGAAGTGTAGAACTGTCAACCAACACGCGTCCTTTTTTGCAGGCAGCAGAGCGCGAAGAAATTTCAAGACCAACACCCAAGGCTCGCCTCGCTTCGGTAATCCACAGCCCCTGTCAAGGAACGCCCTCTTCTCCCAGTGCAGAGCTGGCTGAGATTCTACGTCTAGCCTCGATGCGCTAAAGTCTCCGCTGCCGGCCTCTTCTCTCCGGCCATGTTTCTTCTGCGCCCACTCGACAGCCCTGGGGGATCAAGGTTGAACATTTCGAGTCCCGCTCGTTCCTCTTGACCTCGCAGGGTCGACGTCCGTGCTTGCCTCTTCATTGTCATCTCCACTCGCATCGTGATCACCTAGCTTCCCTCCCTTCACCATCTTTCCTTCTCTACGCTCCCTCACGACCACCGTTCACGACCTATTCTTCACCCAGCGAACATCCTTAGCAACGACACTATCACGGAACCTCCACTGACGTCAACCAATCACCATGGCCTATTATTCGCGGCCATCCTCGGCGGCCGCTGGACACACACAAGGTGACCAGGACCCATATCCATACTATCCGGACCCAGACATCATCACTGGCAGCGGAGCCGCCTTCACCCACCCCTACGATGCCTCCGCACCCTCCGCCTCGCCGTTCTCGGACGCACACGCACCTGTCACTGCGCGCATGTCGTCGCTCAACCAGCACCGCATGAGCGTCAGCGTTGAGCAGCCTCCGCTTAGCGAGAGCTTCTACGGTCAAGCAGCATATGCACTGGCCCGCCCACCATCGGCAGCAGTCAGCTCAACGATGGGTGGACACCTGCCGACGCTACCCGAGTACTCGTCGGCGCAAGCGGCGTCCGTGGACAACGAATATACGTACTACAACAACCAGGCTGCGGCGGGGCACTACTCTTCGCTCGACCACGGCGAGGGCGACGATGACGAAGAAGATGCCGAGACCAAGTACGGCGGAAGCGCGATGGAGCACGACGAAAAGTACGGCGCGACAACAGCTGGGTCTGCGTTCCTCCAAAGCCCTTACGCACAAGTATCCGCCGAGGAGGACGACACATACGCCGCTCTGGCCCACGACGCTTTCGGCGGCCACGAGGGACAACCATCCGAAGGCCAATTCGGGGACAACCACTACGAAACACAGCACTTCGGCCCTGCTCCCCTCCTCGGCGCTCAACTGCGTCGACACAAGACCAAGAAGAATGTGCGCCTCACCAAGGGAAACCTCATCCTCGACTGCCCCGTGCCCACCAAGCTGCAGACCTTCCTCACGCGTCGTGCCGAGGATGAATTCACCACCATGCGATACTCTGCGGTGACGTGCGATCCCGACCAGTTTGCTGCCGAATCCTTCACCCTCCGCCCCGCGCTGTACGGCCGTCACACCGAGCTGTTCATCGCCATCACCATGTACAACGAGGACGAAGTGCTCTTCTGCCGCACATTTCACGGTGTCATGAAGAACATCGCCCACTTGTGCTCCCGCAACAAATCCCGCACGTGGGGCAAGGATGGGTGGAAGAAGGTCGTTGTCGCCATCATCTCCGACGGCCGTAAGAAGATCCATCCCCGCGTGCTGGACTGTCTCGCCGCGCTCGGCGTCTACCAAGACGGAGTAGCGAAAAACACCGTCGATGGCAAAGAAGTCCACGCCCACCTGTACGAGTATACCACCCAACTCAGCATCGATACCAACCTCCAGTTCAAGGGCGCCGAACGAGGACTGGTGCCCATGCAGATCATCTTTTGCCTCAAGGAGAAGAATGCCAAGAAGATCAATTCGCATCGGTGGTTCTTCAACGCTTTTTGCCCCATCCTCCAACCGAATGTGACCATTCTGTTGGATGTAGGGACGAGACCGGAGAACAAGAGCATCTACTATCTGTGGAAGAGCTTTGATCTTAACTCGAATGTCGCCGGTGCATGCGGGGAGATCTGTGCCGAGACGAAAGGCAAGTGGGGAGTTGGGCCGCTGTTGTTGAACCCACTGGTGGCCGCGCAGAACTTCGAGTACAAGATCAGTAACATCTTGGATAAGACGACCGAGTCTGTTATGGGGTACATCTCGGTGCTACCGGGAGCGTTTAGTGCGTATCGCTACATCGCACTGCAGAACGACGAGTTCGGCCATGGGCCGCTAGCGAGCTACTTTAAGGGCGAGAACCTTCTCGGTGCGGACGCCGACGTGTTTACTTCCAACATGTATCTCGCCGAGGATCGCATCCTGTGCTTCGAGCTAGCCGCCAAACGTGGCTCGGGCTGGGTCCTCAAATACGTCAAATCGGCCCGTGGTGTCACGGACGTCCCCGAAGGTCTACCCGAATTCATCTCGCAACGACGTCGTTGGTTGAACGGTTCGTTCTTCGCCGCGATCTACGCGCTGTACCACACGGCGCAGTTTGTTCAATCCGGTCACGGCGGATGGCGAAAAGCCCTGTTGGTGTTCGAGAGCTTCTACTCGTTCATCAACATGTGCTTTGCCTGGTTCGGCCTGGCCAACTACTACATCTTTTTCCGCATCCTCACGACTTCCCTCGAAGACCCCACCTTCGGGCTTAAGGGCATCGGCATCTTCAACGTCTTTGCCCAGTACATGTACCTCGGCACCGTGGTGGCGAGTTTCATCTTTGCGATGGGCAATCGACCGCAGGGGAGCAAGTGGAAGTACTGGGCTGCCGTAGTCATCTTTGCGTTGTTGACGGTGTACATGATGGTAGCGGCGGTATTGTGTTTGGCGAAAGTAGTGAAGCGGGTGGAGCACGATATGATCTATGCTCAGATGGTGGTCTCCCTTCTCGCCACGTACGGCGTTTATCTGGTCTCTTCGCTATTGGCATGCGATCCGCTGCATCTGGTGACGAGTTTCATCCAATACCTCCTCCTCGCACCGACGTACATCAACATCCTCAACATCTACGCCTTTTGCAACCTGCACGATTTCTCCTGGGGCACCAAGGGCGATACTACCGTCTCGAAGGATCTCGGCGTTGTCGTCTCCACGGGCAAGGGCACAGTGGAGATCACCCTCCCCACCGCTCAAGCCGACATCGATACCGCCTACGATGACGCACTCAACAACCTTCGCACCCGACCCATGATCATCCGCGGCGACGCCAGCAACGACGAGAAAAACGCCCGCCAGATGGATTACTACAAGAACATCCGCACCAACGTCGTCCTCGCCTGGGCCCTCAGCAACGGCGTCGTCGCCGCGTTTATTCTGAATGGAAACACGACGAGCACCTTCACCGAGGGCGCAGGCGTGACAAGGAGCAAGGTGTACATGGTGTTGGTGTTGATCTTTGTGGCGGGGATGGCGTGCATTCGCTTCATCGGAAGCACGCTGTATCTCACGATCAGGCTGATCAACGGGTAGAAGTGGCAGGATTCTTTCGTTTCATCAGGCATCCATATCGGATGCCTTCTTTTTGTGTTCTGGCTTCGCTTTTTTTATCGGACTATCATTCTCGCTGCTCCAGATCTTGTACTCTAGGCTACGATCGACTCGACTAACGTTCAATCACGACGTACACACGCAAACATGCCTAACGAAAAGACTGCGAAGGATCAGACTGAGATTAGAGGTTTTACTGTGATGGCAGCTCCTCGGTGCTGATTGGCTCGACGACTGGCTCGGTTGTCGCTGCCGGTTCGGCTGACAGCTGGTCAGCGGGTGGCATTGGGTCATCTCGAACAATGCCGACGTCTGCTTCGGTCACCTCTGGCTGCTCGGCGGCCGCTGCAGTGCCAACCGTCAGCTCTGCGCGTCGTGTCTCACCAAGCTTGACCCGCTGCACCACGTCGTCCGTCAAATGAAGCCCATCCTTGGCCTCGTTCAGCGAAGCATGCGCCAACATCCGCTTCAGGATAATCAACGCAACATCGACTTGCCCCGCAATAGGTTGCGCCTCGCCGCTCGCGACGACCAGATCGCAAGCGCAGATGACGTGTCGAGCGAGCGCGTCGACGTCAGCAGCACTCGTTCGCAGCGCAGTCATATCAACGACGTGCGCATCCAGATCCTGCTGCATGGTATCGATCATATCCTGCACGATGGTGAGCCAAAACTCGACGGTTGGGTGATGCGTTGTTTGAAAGAGCCGTTGCGCTCCGTCATCCGATCGTGCGTCGCTGGCGCTGTTCCACAGCTTGTACTTGCGCCAGATGGTGAGTCGCACCCAGACGTGCATTCGGCAAAACATCTGCAGCGTTCGCCCGAGGACATTGTGCCTCTCTGCATCCGATCGTGGTCGATGTCGCACGAATGACGTCTCGAGATCGTCGAGAGACCGCAAGAGGCCTCTGACCTGCTCGAGCGTGTCGGACGGTGGCGTGCCTGCTTCATCGACTTCCTTGATCTTTTCCAGCTTGGCAAGCGAGACTGTGAGCCGAGACAGGTGAGCAGATCTCCGCATCAGGTCTTGCGAGTGGAAGAACGGTGGTGGCAGATCTTCTGGAAGCACACTCGGCTGCCAGAAAGCCATGGGCCGGATCTCTTGAATGAAATCCGGCAGGTCGACGTCGCCAAAATCCTCGTCTGGCTTGGCGATGTACTTGCGAAAGCGATGGCTGATCCCCGTCCAGCACAGTCGAACGATGGACTCGTACTTGACCTCGGACTCGGGGGAGTCGGATGTGACGGGTCGAGACCAGTAGAGGGGCGAATCCGGCTCACTGTCTTGCAGCAGTGGCTCTCGTGACGAGACAGCCTCGTGCAAGCTGAGTGTTCGAACTACATTTTCCGCCAAGCGGATGAGGCTGTTCTGCTCTGTGCTGCCGTCTGGCTGGGTCAGAGCGAGAATACTGGCAGCCTGGCCCATGGAAGGAGTGAGGGCAGATCCGTGAGCTGTGGCAGTCTGGAGATATGTGGCAGCCATTTCGGATAGCTTTGCGGCGAGCTGCCGCGATGCTTCGTTGGCCGAGGTCATGTCGGAGGTGCGTTCATCTGCGATGCGAGTCTGGTGCATGTCACATGCCGAGACGGCTAGGACAGCCAAATATAGCGCTGGATCCGCTCGCGCATGACCCTGTTTGCCCGAGACGACGGCCAGCAGCGTCGGTGCATGAAGTAAGCCAAAGAACACCGCGTTGGACTGCACGAACCGGGTGAGAAGATGTTGGACGATTCGAGTGGACGTGGGTCGTGACCTTCCAAAGATGCCAAGCAAGTGACTCCACCAATCGTCGTGGTCGCCGAATGTAGGTTGCATCGGAATCGGCGAGTCGTTATTCTGAATCATGGCCAGATCCGATCCGGGCATGCTACTGCTCGGTGTCGATGAGGGGGCCGCGCTGCGATCGGACGCATCGCCAGACTTTGATCGACGCAGGGAGCCGTTGGTGCTCTTGATGCGCTTCGAGGGTTCGCTCGGACTGGCGGAATTTGTGTCGAGGGATCGTGCTGTATCATCCAGCTGGTTTGGCGGTTCGATCCGCTTGGTACCTCGATCACGGCCTTCGCTGGTCACATAGATCTGCCTGGCTGAAGGGGTTGAGGCAGAGTCGTGGCCGCTTTTGCTTGTGCTTGATGTTTCGTGTCCAGAGGCCTTGGCCTTGGTTTTTGTGGGCGCATAGACACAGTCGATGCTGCGACGTTCACAATGTCGGCATGGTGTTGCTCCATCACAGCGCAGCTTGCGAACTCGGCAGAAGGTGCAGGCGACTCTGGCACGCGGCGGGTCCGGCTCTGCATTCGCAGCGACAGGCGGAGCAGCAGCAGGCGGTGGGTGCACTTCCAAAGGAGAAGGGACCAGCGCAGCTTCTCGAAGTGGCAGGGGCTCGCGAATCGATGGAGCGCGAAATGCGGAAGATCCTGCAGCCTGTATGTTATTTGCATTCTCATACCTTTGCCATCTCTCATCCGATAATCTCCGGCCCGGGACAGAAGATGTCGAGGCTGTCATGAGATGATTTGGTGGCGTTGGTTGAGGTTGAGAAGGACCATATGTGTAGGGTACTGCTGGTGCAATGGTCGCATCGCCTGAAGGGAATGGTGGCGGATAGGCCTCTGTTGACGCTGCTGGGTCGCGCCCGTGACTGGGCCATGCAGTGGGGGCGTTCGTCATTCCCGGATACTGAGGAGTTCGTGTGTTCCACCCAGCTTGATCGAGGCCGCTGCGAGGATCAAGGGGCTGCCGGGAAGGGCCAGCATGACCAGCAATATAGTGGTCGGAGCCAGGTGGCGCGTTCCAGCGATTGGCTGGAGGGGTATCCTGAGAATAACGCGGCGGGCTTCGGTCGTCGATGGGCGTCCTGCTCGTCATGGTGGGAAGCTCGCGGTGTGTGGACCCAATGCTCGCTCCCGGATGGGCTGACGGTCGTATGCTAGGAAAGGTCCAATCGCATGTTTTGAGGAAGATTTGGCTATGACTGCAATGTAAGAGCGGCAGACAGGTGGTGCACTGATCAGCGCATCGATGGTACGGACTGGATAGCGAAGTGTGCTGCGGCAGCAGGTGGTCGACGGCCGTGATGATTCGAGCTGCGCAAGGTTCGATCGACACGGAGGAGCCGTAAGAGATTGACTTGGCTGGAACGTGATTGTGCACAGCTGCTTGTCGGCTCTGCGCTCTGTGGTGTGCTGAGTGGAAGTGATGGTCGGAGGGCAGCCGTGTGACGTGAGAAAGAAGCTGAGTCGTAGCGCGGCGGAGCCGAATGTGGAGAATGACCGAATCCAGAGCCTCTGCGCCGCAAGACGGGGCGACTGCTGAAATGCAAAGCAGCAGGTCCTGTGCCTCCTCGATGGGTGAAAGCAAGGTATGATGATGGTGAGAAGGTGCAAGACCCTGGGATCTGACTCTAGTTCAGGTCTCCATCGACCTTGCAGATCGGCTACGGTTATACTAAGCTTTTGTTGCAGCCTTGCCCTGGTCGGCAGCCGAGCGCGAGCAAAAAGAGCATTTAGCTTCGCGCCGCGGAATTAAGCTTCTTCTCGCAAGGCCCGAAAATGCGGCTGGAAAAGTGGAGCACAGCAGCTCAGCTCAGTCTGTGGACCGTGAGAACTCGAGACAGGCAGATCCGATCAAAATAGTTGCAGCTGACGGCAGAGTCCGCCTTCACGGTATGGGATGGTCGAGGCAGCCGAGGCTGTCGCTCGCTGGTGGCTGCTAGGAGCTTGGAGCGCAAGCACAGCTCATGCTGTGTGCAGATTGACAAGCGGATTCGCCATCATGCGCGAAGCCCCATCGGCATTTCTCCCAGACATTCGGAAACAGACATCCGAATAGAACCGGCATCGTAGTGCCGTCTCGTCCGTGACTCTAGGTCAAAGGATGTCTGTCGACTTGATCCATCGCATGTGACTCAAGCATTGGAGCTCAGGCTGCCGAACAGTCTGACCCGCTATACTGGGCCCGGCGAAGAGCGCTTCCGCTGCACGCTCGAGCCGCGGAGACGTACAAAGAGGTCACGAAACGTGGCCAACAATGCGATGCAATCGCTTCTTTCAACGACCCACCATCAGAGTTCGATGCAACTCCAAGCTAACGCGCCCCTGCGGCCTCGTTTAAGGCGCTCGACAGTAGACACTGTGAGCTGTGCCGACGTGTGCCGTCGGTCTGGTGCTGTGAAAGCAGCCTGTTCGCTCTTCCTTTTTGCCCGCAGTGAGACTCCGAAGACGGAACTCAAGGTTCGCGCAAGTACGTACATACAACTGCCTCTTGATTGCTCAAGGGGCCCGCCTTCTTCCCACGACGCTGTGAGGTGCTTCCGCGATCAACAATGGGGGGCGTGACCATTCTCGTCTGTGACGGCGGGCAAGTTGTGACGACTTTGAGCTGGCACACCGGTTGTCGGAACCCTCACGTCGGCAGTTCCGGCCAGGAATCGGGATGCTTCCGACGGGTGCTCCCACACCTCAACGGTCGCGTTTCTGTCACGATGCCGTCGGAAGGCACGGCAAGTAGACTCGTCCCGTCACGTTAGGGGCGCAGAAGGGCTCTGATAAGGTAGCCTTGCGTGCCGCTTGGGGGATTGAGCATCTCGTCAAGCTGCATGTGGATAAAAGTACGACCTAATTCGAGTACGTTCGTGGCCGCGACATTGCTCGCCTTCTCCAGCAACAATGAGTGCCACGACCCCGTCCAATGCCCTCGGCGATGCTGGCGAGACCCTCGCATCTGCCTCACTTCCGTCTGCGAATGATGACCGTTCCTCGATCGATCGCCCCGGAGGCCCGATCACGGCCCTAGCGATCGAAGTACTCCACGGACACATCGGGTGCGCTGTCTTTTCCGAGGAGGAGCAACAGCTCTTGCTCTGCGAGGACCTCCCCTACTTCTTTGCCTTCCGTGAACGAGACTCGGCCGCCTCGGCTCGACGTGCACAATCATCTATGCAAGATGATCAAGAGGGAGGGAACACCACTGCTGCTGCTGCACAGAATGCGGTACCTGGGTTTGGTCATCCTTCGCACGGCTTCATCGAAAGCTGTAAGCACGATCCTTCTCTTACCGTGCCGTCGAAACTCGAGTCAACGCAAATCCTCATCCATGCGGTCCTCACATCTCGTTCGGCGGTTCGACAGTGCTTGCACAGTTCGAACCACATCTCATCGTAGTGTCGTCCAAATGTCCCGATCCGCTTCGAGATATGCTGCGGAACTTTGGTAATTGACCACGGCCTTCTAGCAGTCCAGAAAGGTTCCGCACCTCGCTAACTCTTGTATCTTTGTCCACACGATGACAGCGGAACAACGCAATGGTACCTACGATTTGCGCGATTCCAAAACCTTTCAGGTAGCGCTAGGATTGTCAAGCATTGAAGAAGCGACCGCCTACAGTCGCCATCGCCATGCAGGCGATGAGGCACGTGGCAATCTTGAGGAAAGCCCATTGTCGGCAGTGGTCGTTCTCGACGCAAAGGTGGCCACAACCAAGTCAGCGCTGGCCGTAGGTCGAAACTTTGTCCGAAACGGATACCCTCGGCCTTTTCACTGATCGAACAGCTTTCTCCATCCCTCAATGCGTCGCCTATCGTCGCACGAAGATTTCCTGCGTCGGACCTCTCATGTCGAGCCTTCGTTGCCGCCAGGAGGTAGGCCGGTCTCTCACTCTGGTCTCACTATGCCTCGACGACTATCTCTTCGTGGACGAGAACACGCTCAAGAGCCTCAGCATCTACTCGAGCGACGTCCATGGCTTCGTCCATGCCAAGCAGGGTCGCGAGGGATTCTCAATTCTCGGTAGGTGCCCCTTCTCTCAGAATGTCCCAAAGCACTACGCTGTGTGCGAGGGAGCGACTTCAACTGACTGCGAAACTCGATCTTCTTCTGTCTTACCCTTGCCTCCTCCGTCAGCGATGATGAATCTCACCTGTTCAAAGTGTGAGTGATTTTCCGCTTCGAGATGCCTCCTTACCGGCCTCCTTGACTTATCTCTTCATGCCGTGCTTCTATGCGACACGACAGATTCACAGCCGCTGCTCCGACGGTGGATCATGCTTCCTCTCGCCAGAAGGGAGGAGATCGTGCGACGCCACGAAGCCGTCGAGCTGCTCGTACGACTGGAGACGGCCTCCGAGATGCCTCGTATCAAGAAGCAGCTGGGAGAGTTCGGTGCCCTCCCACAGATCTGTCACACGGTGAACATGGGCCTTGGCACTACAAAGACGTGGATCAACTTGCTCAAAGTAGGTGCTATCCGGACAAGCTGACGAGCTACAGAGCAACCAAATCAAGGCGCTGACCCTTTCACTCTTTGTTGACAGACGTGCAACGCTGTCATGAACATCCGCGCCGAGCTAAATAGTCTGGAGCTATCGAGGTCCGAGTTGCTCAAGGAGGTGGGTGATAGCTGCGTGGCAACAGGACGACTCTCAGTGGGGTACTGACCATCTTCAGCCGTAACCTGGCAACTCTTCCCAGCTTAAGGAACAGGTCGTCACCGAGTCGCTTCAAGAGCTAGCTGATTCTATCAACCAGATAGTGAGCACAACGTCATGATCGAACAGAGGGCTGTCTGATCCAGCAGCTGACCACCACGACTGAATTGGTCCAGATCGATTTTGAGGAGAGGTATGGCAGTCCTGATCGTCGAGGCCAATTCGTACTCGCGAGCTCACATAGAAATCTGTTGCTTCTCCGACCTCAGCAAGGCACAAGGCAAGGTCACCGTCCGCACCGGTATCGACGCGCACCTCGATGATTTGCGACAGCAGCTGGCAATTCTGCCCCAGCATCTAGATCGCGTAGCTGCGGACCTTCGGCGAGAGGCAGCTTTCAGGCCCACTCAGGGGTAGGTGACTGCATCAGGAGCACAAGCCCATAGATCTTCAAGCATATCTGACCTGCTTCCTCTACGTCTGTGTCAAAGCATGCACGTGGTCTACTTCCCCCAGATCGGCTACTTGATTTGTGTCCCAGCAGGAGGCGTCATCGACATGCTAGCCGACTCGACCTTGGAGCAGCAATTCTCCAGTCCGGAAAAGTATGTTGTCCATCCCATGACATGCTTTGCACCAGCTCTCGTCACTCAACTACTCACACGTTACGACAGCGTCTACCTCAAGAACAATAGGATGACGTCCTTGGACCACGATGTGAGTATCCTAGCTCCGTTGTGAACCTTTCTCGCAGCTCTTACTGACACTCGTCTTTCCGCAACACCCTCGCAGCTGGGAGATATAGCCTCCTTCGTCGTAGACAAGGAGATTGAGATCCTCGATGGACTGCAGACACTCGTCAAGGAGTGCAGTCCAACATTGCTGGCGGCGCATGCGGCCATTACGCAGATTGACTGGTGGGTTTCCTCACTTCAACCTTCGAGCGTTGGCAAGAGCTCTGACGTCGATATTTGCCGCCTCAATCCAGTCTCGTGGCCTTTGCTCGGGCTGCAACGCTCTATGATCTCAAAAGTAGGTAGTGAACGGACTTGGTTTGTGGTCCAATGACATGCTGATCCTTGCGTCATCTGTTTCGCCCATTAGGACCTCGGCTTGTCGAGGAGCAAGTGCTCCATCTAAAGGGCAGCCGACATGCGCTCAAAGCGTTGTCGGACGAAAGCTTTGTAGGCACATTGAGTTGATGTCAATGCTTGGGAAAGATACGGGGCTGACATTTGAATCGGTCGCAGGTGCCTAACGACATCCACCTGCAAGGCGGACTTGGTCTACCCGCTCGAACTGACGAACAAGCAGTTTCGACGGATCGCAGCACTGTGGCATCTCGGGCTGGAGAAGATGCAGGACGTGCGTCTGTTCCAGAGCACTCTCAGACTGCCGCAACGAGCAATGTCGACGAGAAGTACAGCGTGATGGTGCTGACGGGGGCGTGGGTACTTCGAAATCGCCTCGACCTTGGTTTTGACAGCGAGCTGACTGCCCATCTTCCGTCGCACTCGGTCTCGCAGCAATTCATCGGGCAAAAGCTGCCTTCTGCAGCAAGCAGCACTCGCAGTGTAGGTGCTGCACGATCGCTCTGTGCCCGTACAGTACTGACAGCTTGCATCTTCGTACAAATCAGCTTCCTAAGCCAATGTGGGAGCTTTGTTCCCGCTGCATACGCCGAGCTTGGCGTCTTCGACAAGAGTAAGCTGCTCCCCTTCACCTGTGGCTTCAAGACCAGGCCATTGACGCCAATCTGCCCAGTCTTGACGAGGATGAGACAGGACGAGTCGGTGGCGAGCGAAGGTAGCTCCTTCACGCGCGAGCTGGGGCGTCTGCATCGCGCAATGGCCATGTCGACGAAGCGAAGCCTGGTGATCCTCGATGAGGTGGGCAGGGAGTGTCGCAGCGATGGTAAGCATAATCACGCTCTGATACCTCATTGCGAACCGACACTGACAGCGTGCTCCAACACAGATGGCGCGGGCCTGTTCATCGCTACGATCTTCGACTTCCTCCATCGAGGACCCGATTGCCCAGTTGTCCTCTCTGCTACGCATCACCTTCGTGAGTCGCACTTCTTACCCAACCACTTGTCCTCGCACAGGCTGACCAGATGAACACTCAACATGGCGCACTGGCAGGAGCGATCGAGCGCCACCTTCCACCCTCCCTCCCGATCCAGCGTGCGCACATGCAGACGCTCCTCCTGCCCACCCTCGCGGAAAGCCACAACTCGCTCACGTACCTCTACCGTCTCAAGCCGGGTTTCGCCGGCACGTCGCATGCGTGCCACTGCGCGCGACTGTGCGGTGTGCCTGAGTCGGTCGTCGAGCGAGCTGACCGGATCACCCGCATCGGGCTGCGCGCGTGCCACGATGCGGAGGCCGTCAAGGACGAGCAAATCGTGAGGAGACTGTTGGGGCTGAGGCTAGGAAACGAGGGCGAGGGCGAGGAGCAGGTGAGGGACATGGACGATGATGCGGCAAAGAGATTGATTCAGTGGGTGTTGGAGGGCGATGAAGAGGAAATGGAGGGGGAGCTGTTTCGAGGTGGGATGTCGGTGAGTGAGGTCGAGCGGGCGTCTGCTGGTCCGAGCAGCAGGGTATGAAGGTGCTGATCAAGGGCTACGGTTCGGGAGAAATGTGATGCGATTCCAGCGTGTCAAAGAGGTGTGTATGCAACGATGTGATGAAGCAGGTATATGATGGAAGTCTGGTGGATGAAACAAAGCAAAGAAAGACTACTGGATCTTGCCACGAGAGGCACGACGGCATGCGTCCGGGTCGTACTTCATGATCCACGGATGACGCAGGACTTTTGTCAAGGGCAGTCGGTCGTCTGGCTTCTTCTTGAGCAGCTGTGATCATCAAAATGAAGAAGAGATAACGTCAGTAATGAATCTCCTTAAGGGAGTGTTCGGCGGCGAGATACTCACGGCACGAACGAGGTCGCCCGCCTCAGGACTGAAGTGCCTCGGGATCTTGAAGTCGATATTGTTGATCCTCTTGTAGGTCCCTGCAGGAGCGTTCTCGAGCTCCTCGAACGGCGGTACACCCTCGAGGAACTCGAAGCAGAGCACACCGAGGGCCCACAGGTCGACGGCCTTGTCGTGCTGTTCGCCGTTGACCATCTCGGGGGGCAGGTAGTCGAGCGTTCCGCACAGCGTCTGGCGGCGATTTCCTGGGGCGTGGACGCTCCAACCAAAGTCGCCGATCTTGAGATCGCCTTTGATGCCGAGCAGCAGGTTTTCCGGTTTGATGTCGCGATGGATGACGTGCTTGCTGTGCAGGTATGATAGCGCATCTGCCATCTGGGCGATGTACTGTTACCTCAAAGCAAAACGGGTCAGCTTCTGCTACCACCCATTCTAGTATTGAGTGTCGTACTTACGGTAGCAGCCACCTTCTCCTCAAAGCGTCGATCCGGCAACTTGTTCATCAACTTGTACAGCTCTCCCCTCCCTGCAAATTCCAGCATCAAGAACACCCTTCCCTCATCGTGAAAGTAGCCGTGTAGTCTGAGGATGTGGGGATGCCTGAGATTCATCTGGATCTCGATCTCCCTCCGCAGCTGCTTCTCCACCTTGTTCTCCACCAGCTCGTTCTTGTACATGCACTTGAGCGCGATAATGTAGCCCTTGTTGGGACCGGAGTGGGTGCGGACCATGTAGACGCGGCCGAACTTGCCCTTGCCGAGCGGACGACCCATTTCAAAGTCGGCCAGAGACCAGATGCGCGTTGGTGGATGGGCCTTGTTCGGGTCGGAGGAGGAGAGGGTGAGGGGGTCGAAGGTCATCGTGCCGCGACGGCCGCGGGCTTCGTCCCGCTCGAGACCGCCGTCGTAGCGGCCCAGATCGACGGATCCACCTGATGCAGGTTTGGAGGCGGGAGCAGCAGGACGGAAGGATGGTCCAGCAGCACTGGGGCCACCAGCAACGCTTGGCGGTCGACTCTTGATGTTACCGTGCACGGGCGGTTGGGAAGTGGGTGCGAGACGGTTGAAGTGCTGCATGTTGACGCCCATGTTCATGCCCATGTTGGTCGCAATGCTGCTCGAGGGTGCTAGCGGTCGGAGAGACGAGTTGGTGGCATGGACGAGTCGGTTGCCGTTCGGCGCCTGGGCGTGCGATGGTCTCGAAGCTTGCTTGAGGTCAGCGGTGGAGCCGCCGTCCAGGTGAAGGTTGGCGAGTTGTGACTCCATCGTGAAGTATGCAGTGATGACGCTGCCACCGTGGAAGCTTCTGATGCGGTCAATGCGAACTAAGCGGTGCTGCGCTGCACCAAGGACGACGGAGGGTGGTGGTGGTCAAGATCCGCAGCTTGTGTTGCTTCGCAGATGCAGCCTCAACGAAGAACAACACTCGAATGTCACCAAAAATCCGACACGGCAGAGCGCGTCTCCAAAAACACACTTCTGGGCCTTCCCTATCGCTCTAACAACTTGAGAAGCTAAGCAGCACGTGACTGTCTCGCCTCCACTCAGCTGGACCCTTGCACCGAAGCTTTTCCTCCCAGTGTTCCTTTCGCTCCCATCAAGCTTTCAGACTGCCTCCCAGCCCATCCTTGTCAAGACACGACCTATATGGTGAGCAGCAACAGCTCTCTCTGTCGTTCCGATGGTGCTCTACTTCACATCCACAGCGGTCGACCCGCCAGCGACCATCTACATGGGCAAGGACAAGTTCGAGAATGAGGAACTCCTCAAGTACGGTCTGGAGCGGGACATCTGGTTTCACGTCGACAAGCTCTCTTCCGCTCACGTGTATCTTCGGCTGCCCGAGCACATCGAGTCGTGGGAGTCGATACCGGAGGCGTTGGTGAGCGATTGCTCGCAGCTGGTCAAGGCGAATTCGATCGAGGGCAACAAAAAGTCGAATCTTACGATTATCTACACGCCATGGGCCAATGTCAAGAAGAGCGGCGACATGGCCGTCGGCGCAGTGACGTTTCACAACGATCGCAAGGTCAAGCGTTTCCACGTCAAGGAAAAGGACAATGCAGCGGTGAATAGGTTGAACAAGACAAAGAAGGAGGTGCAGGTCGATCACGAGGCTGAACGCCAGGACAGACTGCGCCAAGAGGGAAGGGTCAAGAAGGCCAAAGCGATCGAAGACAAAAAGGCACAGCAGGCCGAGCAGAAGAAGAGAAAGGAAGAGGTCGAGGCCCGCGATTACTCGAAGCTCTACACCGCTGAAGCCATGGAAGAAGAACGCAAACGCAAAGAGGAACGCAAGCTCGCCAAAGCCAACGGCAACGGCAACGCGTCGGCGGACGAAGACGATGACCACGACGATGGCATGGACAGCGACGACTCTTTCATGTAGGACGAACCTCGACAACGCAAGCACAGATTTGAACGATCAATTTGGTAAGAGGGATATACAATACAAGGTACAAGACGAATCAGGGACGCAGAAAAGAGAGACGAAAGCAGGACCGGGCGAATCAGCGCGCACGGGGCCAGGGACAACAGCCGAGGATGTCAATCGCGACATTCGATGTCAAGGACCGACAAACCCTGCCGATGAACGGTGAACCACGACGCAAGCCAACGGGATCATACGACGACCTACTCGGAGGCCTTCTTCTTGCTCGGCGCCTTGATGAGCGTCTTGTGGATGTGTGGCAGCACACCACCACCGGCGATGGTGGCGCGAACCAAGCTGTCGAGCTCCTCGTCACCGCGGATGGCCAGCTGCAAGTGTCGGGGGGTGATTCGCTTGACGCGCAGGTCCTTGGATGCGTTGCCTGCCAGCTCGAGCACCTCGGCGGTGAGGTACTCGAGGATGGCGGATGTGTAGACGGCGGCCTTGGCACCGATGCGGATGTGGTTCTGCGTGCGGTTCTTCAGGTGACGGTGGATACGACCGACAGGGAACTGTGGTGGGCGAAAGCAGGAGCCGAGACAGAGGGCAAAGGTGGGTCAGTAAGCTGTGTCTATCCGGATGACTCTTCCCGTCAAGATTCGTCCATCCATCCGCTGCAGCGTATCATTCGACAGGCACTTGTGGCAATCGCATTTGCGTCAGGCCCAGTCCGCAGGGGGCTATCGTCGCATGGACCATGCGCTCCATCCAACTCCGCCATCGGCCTCGGCCAGAGGCGGGTCCAGAAGGCTACCGTCACGGATCGGTACGGTCTGCAGCTGCGCCAGGGCGGTCCCGGCGATCCGAACGGCCCCTTCACGCGTCTCCGAGACCACTTCAGGATCAACAACGCGTCGATATGGCGGCGGATGGATGCTATGGCGTGGATGCGATGGAGGTGGATGTCTCGCGCTGATGAAGCGAAGGCCGGCGGATGGCAAGCGTCGCAGCCGGATACATGGGCGGGCACGAATGCGATGGACAGACGGCGCTCCATGCTATGCGGCGGTGACGGTGATGCTGGATGCTTACCTGAAGACCAGCGCGGGAAGACTGGGTGACCGACTTCTTGGGCTCGGCTTTGGCGTTGGCAGCGCCACCCTTTCCACCCTTGGCTCGTGGGTCAGACATGTCGGATATGAGTGTGTGCTGGGAAGAGAGAGTGGTCGGAGTCGATTTCGGAAAGGGTGTCGTAAACGATCGAGATGGTGGTTTGTAAAGCCGAAGTGACGTGGACAAAGCGAGGGAGGATATGGAGGTTTGGCCCTGCTCAGTTGCAAAAGCGCGTCGTGCCGTTGCAAAGCAGGCCCCGATTTTTATCCTAAATTAATTACGTTCCAAATTGCCCTCCCGCCTCCAGGGCAGTGTGTGTGTGCGCTCTCTTGCCTCGCAGCTCCTCGCTTGTTGTGTTTTGACGAATGTGGCCTTTCGCTGCTGCTACCACTGCCGCTCGTGACGTGAGACCTGTCAATTCATGCTGGCACACGACCCTATCGTCGCCTTGACCAGCCGCCTCGTGATAGCGCCCTCTCTCCGTCTGTCACCGAATGCACCGCTCGAGCTTTCGAGTCTCGACGCTGTAATCCTCGCTCGAAGCTTGCGCCGATGACAGTGATAAGCGTTGAAACACTGCGCAAGCCTTCGACTTAATCTTGGCTTCAGACTCGCAGAAAGCTTCTTGCTTGCGCAGACCTTCATTCATCATCACAGGATCTGAGGCGCCTCTATTGTCCCATATGATACGAGCTGAGCGCCGTGTCTGTATCTGTGTGATGGAGCTCTTCGTCGAGGCAGAGCAATCTTGGCTGTTCTCGAGCACACCTTTAAGCCTTTTTGCGACCTCAATTACTGTTGCTGGTTTTCCAGCTGGCTTTTTCCCTTCCGTCCAAAAAAAAAGAATCTTCTTGGGTCTGTGCGAGAGCAACAGCGTTCCTCAGCTTTGGCTCCCTTCGAGGCTTGAGAAATAGGAGAAGGAAAGGGGCACTGACCGCCTCTGATTGGAGGAAGAGCTCAATTTTTTCCCGTTTCATCACACTCCAGGGTCCTCTTTCCTGTTGTCACTCTCTAAAGTCACACATGACTTCATCTGTCAGCAGCGCACAGAGGACGTCGACACGCAGTCAGAGCGAGCACGAGCGCAAGAATGTCTTTCTCTTCTCAACAGTCATCATCTCATTCTTTCCCACGACAGGCGGATCCATTCGAAGGTGTTGGCACAGCTTCTTCTCACGCCAAGAGTCCAGTGGAAGCGCCGACTCAGGATCTCGCTTCGTGGGTCCACCAGGTTCGTCACCGCAACTCGTCATCCGCCTCATCTGCAACGGCACAGTCACCATCATCACAGTCGCAAGACCCGACAACGTCCTCTGCCTCGGAGCTTGAGCTCGAGTTCCAGAGACAGCGCCTCGAACGGCAACAGCGCAGAGATCGACTCTCCGTCTCAGGCATTCGTGGCATCTCCTCTTCCAAGTCACCGCTTGCTACGCCGACTTTCGAGAGCTCACCGTCGGAAGCGCTCGGATACTCCGACATGACTTCGCAATCACCTGTTCTCGGATCGTCACCGACAAAGGCGTCTGGCGTGACGGGAGTCAAGAGAGCCAACTCGCTGTTGGCACGCTACGGCGGTCAGTATGGTCCGACGGGAGTAGCTGCCGGTCCCAAGGGCGCAACGGACTCGCCCGTCTCCCTCGCCAATTTCATGGGAGGCAGAGCAGCAGGTCCGCGTCTTGGCAAGCTCGCAGGTGACGGCAAGAGCGCACCTCCCGAGGCCGACCTGATTCACGAAAACCGACGTGTTCCGATGCCAGGCATGGTGCCCAACACGGGTCGCTCGCTCGCCAGCTTCCTCGAGGATCGAGCGGATGCCAGCGGCAATCGTCGAGCAGGAGGCTCTCCCCGATCGCCTGTCACGGAAGCATCGACGCCTCCTTCTCCCGTCAAGGCGAGTAGCCCCGCAAAGTACTCGTTCACTTCTGCTGAGCTCGGCCGACCCTCCAACAATGCTGCATCGACCGGCTCGTCAGCGATGCAGACGCCGCCATCGCCCAAGAAGGCATACTTGGATCTCATCGAAAAGCAGAGCCATGCCGAGTCAACCAACTCTCCGGCTTCCCCCATTATCCCTCGAGCTTCGAGCCCTTCCAAATTCAACAAGTTCTCCGGAGCTGACAGCGTCACAGCTTCGCCTCGCCTCGAGCGTCCCGCTTCACCCGTCAAGGCTGCCTCTTTTTCATCTTCGTCGCCCTTCACTGCCGTCAGCAGCTCGACTCGTGACAGCGCGCCGGACAACAACAGCCTGCACGTCTCTCGACCGCTGGCTATTCCCAACGCTCAGTCCAGATCATACACCTCTGAAGCCTCTCCAGAGCGAAAGGACGCTGCCACGAGCCCCTTAAAGCCGGAGGAGATCGAGGTGCCCGCCGCCTCAGGACAAATCAAAGTCGACAATGGTCTCGGCAAGGGTTGGAGTCGACCCGCTGAGCAAGCTGACGCTCCCACCTCGCAGCCTACCAGTCGATCCAACAGCTACACGAGCGAGCTGTCGAACGCGGACCGCCTTCCTACCAAGTCCCTGTCCCGCCTCAGCGCCCAAAAGATGGTCGGACAGCGCATCAAGGAAGCGCAAATGCGAGATGTCGTGGCCCAAAAGGAAGCCGATTCTATGCAGGTGGGCTCGACAGGACGAAGCGTACCTTCTAGCCCTGCTGTTCGCGATCGATGGCCTCCAGCGATCCAGACGGGTGCTTCTCCTGCTAAACCCAGCCTCGACGAACGCAGGAGCGGCGGCTCGCCATGGTCGCCCACCAAGTACGGCAACGCGCTCCCGGGCCTTGCTGGACGCTCACCCACCAAAGAGACCAGCTCGAGTCCGTGGCAGTCGTCGCCCAAGAAGAACGAGATCGTTGCCGAGCCGCGAGCGGAACCGATTCGATTGCCTGGAATGGGTGGCAGTGCGAGCCCATTTGCTCGATTCGCCGAGAACAAGGCACGAACTGAGGAAGCCATCAGCATCCCAGACTTGTCTTCCTCCGCAAACACTGCTGGTAACACAGACCAGGTCCTGACTCCGCTCACCAAAGCGAGGGCCAAGGGTCCTGTTCGAAAGGCGGCAACTTCCGATGCCAAGCTTGCGGGCTCTTCTCCCAGCGCAGCGGCGCAAAGCAGCCTTCCAACGACAAGCACCGCAACACCGCAAAGTGAGGCCAAGACAGCTAGCGTCGCTTCGACAAAGCCGCCACGCAGGACTACCGGCAAGCGCGTCCATGTTCTGGTCTCTGGATCCGGCTCGAACCTACAGTCCTTGATCGACGCCACCCTTCTCAACCCTCCCGCTGGCATTCCCGTCATTGACAACGCGCAAATCACTTTCGTCCTGTCGAACCGCAAAGCTGCTTACGGTCTCACCCGAGCTGCCGAGTCGAACCCGCCCATTCCCACCAAGGTTCTCTCGCTCAAGACCTGGCAGAATCGAAACCCTGGAGGCACGCGAGAGCAGTACGACACTGTGCTCGCTCGCGCTGTATTGGATGGTCCCAGTGCTGAAGGCGCAGGTTCGCCTCCCGACCTGATCGTCCTGGCAGGATTCATGCACATCGTCTCCGAGCCATTCCTCCACGCCTTGGGTCACAAGACGAGCTTGCCCGCGAGTACGCCAACGATTGGAACACGCCCGTCCAAAGCGGTGCCTATCATCAACCTTCATCCCGCGCTGCCTGGTGCTTTCGATGGTGCCAACGCGATCCCTCGCGCCTTCGAGGCGTATCAACAGGGTCTCACTGACAAGACAGGATGCATGGTACACGAAGTGGTGGCCGATGTCGATCGAGGCCGTCCGATCATCGTGCGCGAGGTTCCCATCCTTCCCACCTACGACCTGGATCAATTGGAGCAGGCGATCCACAAGATCGAGCACGTCATCATAGTACAGGCGGCTGACCTCGTGCTCAAGGGCCATCTGGAACAGCTCGATCGACAGCAGGCCGAAAACAAGAAAGCAGACATTGCCGCTTCTCCTGCCGACAAGAGCTCTCCCACGGACATCGTGCGGATCCAATCCCAAGACGGCGATGTTGTCGCTACCGCCTCGGCGATCGTGCGCAGCGCACGCCCCAGCGTGGACAGGCTCGTCGACGGTTCGGAAGCCTCTGCTTCAGCCCCGATGTCTGCAAAGACGACCTCGGTTGAGTTGCTCGCCATCGACCGCGATGGACTCGTCGAGCCTCTGGAGCTGTCCGGCGATCAGACCTTCCAGCGCGGCGAGCAACTGCGACGCGAACAGATCCTGTACGATGACGAGACGATCATCATCGTAAAGCGCTCCAAATCCGGCGCTGGCGCCACACAGACGAAGCTCTGGGTGCGAGTCGGACATCACTCCAACCTGCACCCGTTCGAGCTTGGTCCTCGCTCCCTGTCGTGTGCGGAAGGACGCAAGGTGGCGGAGCTGGCACAGCGATACTCGGTGCAGCCGGACGTGGTTCCTGCGGGATGCGAGACGGCAGAGCTGATCGCCGCGCTATCGGGGACTTGGACGCTGAGTCGTCAGGGCTCGCGAAAGCGATTTGACGCTGGGGCTGCGTCTTTGTACCGTGTTCGTCGCGCTGTGGCTGCTGCTCAGGCTCAGGAGGACCGATTCACGATCCAGCAGGTCGACCTCCGAACCGGAAACCTCTGCTCAGGGGACAGCTTTGTATACACTGCTCCGTCGACGCTGGGCGTCTGGCACGGTCGCGGCGCTCCTTTGTCGGCTCGAGCTGCTGCAGTGCGTTTCGCTCAAGCACTCGCCAAGTCCACTTCGACGGGCGCTGGCGTGACTGAGACCGAGGAGGGCCGCGAAGACAGTGCCTTCTGGAAGATCTTTGATAAGACGGAAGCGTACGCCGGCGCGTGGTCTCATCGCCACGTCGCTGGCTCAGACGTCTCGAGCATGATCGATGTCGAGCTGCAGGGTCGCGAACTTCGTCTGACCGCTTACACGGATAAGGGCTACTACGGTGCAGACGACTTGCTCCTGCCAACGCGATCCAACAGGATCTCCATCCTCAACCTTCGCGATCGAGAGCTGTTCGTGGTTGTCGGTAAAGACGCGCGCTCCGACCAACTCAGGCTGGCGTGCGCCATTCACGCAGCACAGCAACTTGCGGAGCAACTGCAGGTCAAATCGCGAGCGACAGCGTCGTCCATCTCGACAGTCATCCCTCGACCGGCAGTGCACGTGCTCGTCCTACCCTCGAAGCTGCCACTCGAGGTGCGGGCCGCCTCGCGCGTCTGGTCCGACGCAGTCGTCGACTACCTTCAGGGCGACGCTGCTGCGAGGATGAACGTCCATTCGGCCGCGAGCGCGCTCGAGCAGCTCAGCCAGAACCAGTGGCCGCGGTGGGCGCTCCAGGATGCCAACTACCTGCCTGTCGGCGTTGGTGCCGAAGATGCCGAGCGTGCGCTCGCTTGAATTGGCCTCACTCTCACGAATACTGTACTTCAATGTACACAACGAAAAGCATGTCAAGACTGAGCTCAGGTGATGTTGACCCTTCCGTGGTTATCCAATGCTGCGGCGATTGTGTGCAGCGGGGAAGAAGCGTCTGGGTGAGCGACGGAGGCACATGTCAGACAAAAAGTGTGGCTTGACTCAAAAGGCGTGAGGCTGTGTCTTAGCGTTGTGCGGTAGGAGGAGAATGTGGCTTGCTGGAGGGGAGCCGCAGAGAGGGCTGGGAGTCCAGATCTTCTCGCTTGGGAATGGGTGCAGAAGCGAGCTGGTGTGTTTGAAATGCGCGGCGACGTCGGGCGTAGGGTGATTGGCTGTCAATTTCCTGGACTCCGAGACGGCCTATGACAGAGAAAATTTCCTCCCGCTGCAGGGCTCACTTCGCCAACAGATCCGAGTCGCCAATCGTTTTTGGCACTCCGTCTCCAGCCCCGCCCGGCTCCAATTTTCGTTTCGGTCGCAGGCGAATCCAAGCGTCGTTTGCGGTGGTGTGATCCGTCGGCGTCGGCTTGCTAGGAGATGCAGGCTTTTCCATCGGAATTGCGGCGGGGATCGCTTGTCAACAATGATGCTGCAGATATATGTCTTGTGCAGCGGAGCCACGGTCCATTCCTGAGCACAGCTGGCGTCGAAGGCGATCCGAAAAGGACCGAAATCACGTGTGACTGTGTCTCGATGTCTGCCAGGGGTCGACGGAACGCGATCCAGTAGCAAAGCCAGCGGCATGTCATCAGCAGTCTTGAGGTTGACTGGGGACGTTGTCAAGGAGATGTTTGCGCTGCTGATGGACGAAGCACGTGTTACGATCAGCGGCCAGCTTCGGCTTCATGACCTACGAACCAAACGAACGGCGACTGCGTTCAGGGTGGGACGAGATTGGGTCTGCAGCTGATCGAAGCATCAGAGAAGCTCGTTCGGAACCCGGTGGTCCTGCGGCTGCAATGGAAGCGACGTGCGCAGGTCATAGCGTATCGTGTGCCAAAAGTGTACCAGCCAAGGAGCTTGTGCTGCTGATTGTTTGCTCTTTTACGCGGAGGCACGCCTTCGGGTTTTGCTTTTTCGGCTTACATCGGCGATATCACGCGGAAGAGGCTTCCGAACGGAAACGGCGCGGAATCGACTAGCCCCAAAGAGGGCATAGGGTATGGCCGGTAGTTGAGAGAAGGCTCCATGACTTCTGATGCTGAGATGATGGACAGTCGATCCTCTGTCGAACGACGCTATTCATGTCGCCAAGGAGCAATTTCGGCGCAAAGGAGGGCAACAGCAGCGCTAGTGCGAATAAGCGACCCTTCGCTGCAGGCTACGCGAGGCATCGGTGCGAAAATCAAATTTGAGTATGATTCAATGAAGTCCTGGTAGGATGCAGGTCCGCGGTCGGCTGCATGGCGAGCTCGATAGCGTGCCATGATCAACTTTTGACTCGCACTTCTTCGAGAGAACATGACGGGCCGCAAATTGACATCGACTGTCGGTGATCACGGCGTTGAGGGCACCAGCCTTGCATCGAAGGGTCAAGGTGTGGCGTGGCAAGCAGACGTCGCAGGACGCTCCATACGGTACGAAGGCTTGGCGCGGCAAATAATCGGGATCGGAACGGGACAGCCGAACGTTGATCTGAAGGTGATGCGTCCTAGAACAGGCGAGGCGGTCGAGACTGGATGCTAGCAAGCATGCGACCCAACGCATGATCATATGGGACTCGGCCCATTCGGGAAGTATGACACCGACTTCTTCGACGGGCCGACCCTGGCCTGTGAAAGGAAGCGTGGCCCTAGGAACGTGAGGTCGCGTTGTTGCCAATTTTCAAGTCCCGCTGAAGGCTTGCATTCGGCATCGAATGATGACCTGTCAGCATTTCACTTCTGCAGGGCAGTCTTCTTCGGGCTCGCTTGAGGCGCCGGCTTGTCGGAGGTTACTTGTCGTTGGCGCTCATCGACAACGGCGCCATGCTCGACTGAACCTTCGAGCTTGGGTGGGCGGGCTCGTCAGAGACAAGACTGGCAGGCTGGGAGAGGACGGGCGCTTCCATGTGATGATGTGGGAGCGATCGCCTTACGAGCAATCTACTATCGTCTGAGACAATGAAAGCAGAACACACGGGCGAGCCAACTTGCGTGGAGAGGTGGTGGTGGCTTGCTGCGTGGCTTGAGCCAATGGTGCGCTGGTGCAGAGGACGTAAAGAGGCGATGCAAGCGAGTGAGCGGATGAGGAGCAGGGCGTAGAAACAGCCAAAATGTAGCCCGGTCCAGCGACAGACGCCATTCGGAACCCTTTTTTGGATTGCCGCCCGGTTTTCCCTTTGCGCAGCAGCTGCTGCCGCCCCCGCGGAAATCGCCTTCTGCAATCATCTGCTTCTTCTCGACTGCGTAGATCCGCCAACTTTACTTACCGACCGACCGAACTTGCTTTCGCCCGGGCTTCCTCATCTGCAGCCTGTGTCATCTGGTGGAGTCGGAAAGCGATCTTCGAGTTGCCGACCCTTTTCATGTTGCCTCGCAACCACCTTCTGCCCTAACACGCCCCCGCTGCAACATCGAAAGGAACTGGAGACCCGCATCACCTCCCGAGCAGTCAGCCACTCGCTCTCTCGCCATCGTCACCACCACCATCGGCATCACCAGCAGCAGCAGCGGCATCACCGGCAGACGACTGCTTCCATCCTTTGACGCCGACTTGCTCGAGCTTCCCTGGCCGTGTTCATCCCCGACATACACCTCGCACATTCATCGTCTAGAGCATGCGCCCTTGATCTGTGCGATCGTCTCTCGCATCACGGCCCCTTTCGGTCAGGGCCAGGCCGCGCACGCCCGCATACATCTCGGCTTGACAGACCGAGTCGTCCTCACGGAGTCGCGCCTCGGAAGAGACTCTAGTACCACCACTATGGAGTTGATACGTCCCATCGAAGACAAGATCAAGGCCGCGAGATCCGGCTCGCGCCTCCAGAATCGAGCTTGCGACCAATGCCGTCGTTCAAAGAGGAGATGCGATCTTGCCGAGGCAGGTCCCGATGGTTTGCCCCTTCAACATGATGGTCCCTGCAAACTTTGTGTCCGCAAGAATCTCCAATGTACTACACACTGGAGCGCGCTGCAGCAAACGGTCAGCTCCAGCAGACAGGAGCTTCGTCACATCTCGCAGACATCATCGAGCTATAGCGCTCTCCAGGACCAGCTCTCCTCTCACCAGTATCTCCCTGCTGGGCTTTCGACAGCGTCCAAGAGCATGAGCGACCACATCGATGGCCTCTACATCTCGACAAAGCAGCTCTTCACCTACGTTGCGGCGTGGGAGTGGATCTGGCAGCATTTCCTCGGCTCTGGCGCAACGCCCGCAGGGGTGGGATTGGATGCGGCAGTTCATCCTCGTCGTGGTCTGCTCAGCGGCTCCGCGGCACGCGCCTGGGACGACATGATGGTGGTCAACAACGTGCCGCACGTCTCTCCCAACTTCTTCTACAGCACCTTTGTCTGCGACGAGGCATATCGACCCAGCGGCCGCTTCAAGCGGCTGCCAAAGAAAGCGGAAGAGATCTCGATGCAGGCGCTTCAGTACGCCATCGTGGCGTATGCGAGCCAGTACGGATCACAGAACCCGGGCGAATGGCGTGGCAACGAGAGCGATGTGCTTCGAAGGCGGAAGGACGCCGAGATCGCCGAGGCTGCTTGGATGCGCGCGCGCAACTATCTGATGGCGCATTCGTCCGTGACGACGTTCCGGATGGCGTATGCGCTTCACTTGTTCTGCAACACTTGCCCACCCTTGCGCAGCACCAATTCCGACCTGGACGTCGTTCAAGACAGCGTCTTCATGCTGCAGAACGGACTGCGTATGATGGACGACCTAGCAACGGATCTGCTGCGTCAGCAGGATGACGACCTCTTCGCCCTCGGCTATCAAAACACGGACGGTGCTCGAATCGACGACGAGGTTTTGCTGAGATCGGACCCGGGATATCGTGCGCGAGTTGACCGAGCGCATGCACTGAAAGACGTTGCAGAGAACCTGCTATGGTATTCGGCCATCTGCGACGCTGCTACGACAGGGGGCTTCGGCATGCCTCCGGTCGTACGGGCGAGTACGCGCGATAAGGTGGACATCGACGCATTGCAACTGTCGACCGCTTTGCTGCCAGCGACCGTCTCGCCTGCGAAATCAGCGGCGCCCGACAACGGCATGCATGTCGCCGCCGGTTCGTTCGGGTCCATGGCTGACGCAAGTGCGCCCTTCCTGCAGAACGGCTTTGGCTCGATGCCAGCCATGGCGCACAACCCTGACCAGAGCGCCCTGCAATTTGAAGACGCATCTCTGTTGAGGCTCGGACCCGGGCTCATGATGGCGAATGGCATGGATGGAGACCTTGATGCATCGACTCGAGATTGGACCGATCGAACGCACAATTCTGTGTCGACGTCGCAGGGTCTCGCATTGAACACCGACCCGAAACATCTGTTAGCTGGCGCCTTGTCCAGTCCAGTGTCGGCGGCGTCGGATTCCCCAAGCGCGTGGACCTTGGTAGCACATCGAGCGCTCCACCTTTCGAAGCAGATACCGTACAGTTTTGCCCGATTCGCGGCGGCGCCAGGCGACCCCGTCCGGGTCAAAGAGTTCTTGAACTTGTGCCAGGCCGGAGCGTCGACACAGATCATGATCTGGCAGCGCAATGGCAACTTCAGGGCATGCCTCGACAATCCGGACAGCACATCTGCCGAGCTTGCAGAGCAGTTTCAGCGAACTTGGACCATGATCCTCTTCGTGCAGCAGGTCTTCCAGCCCCTGCTGGATCTAGATGCGCATCTCTACTCGCAGATGCCAGCTTCTGCCCAATCGGTAGTGACGCACCTCATCAACCAAGTCGGCATGGGCTCGCTCATCTTTCTGGAGATCTGCAGCTTCCTGGAAGGCATGCCATGGGTGCAAGGCTCCAAGGACCCTTCGTGGCCGCGGGCCTCGAGCATGCTTCGGAACCAGCTGGATCAATCGCGAGAGATGCGAAGCGCAGTGCGTCGAAGGAGTGCGCTCCGGATCGGCAGACTGCACGGTATGGTGGCGAGGCAAGTGGAGCATACGCTTCGCAGTGGCGGTGGATCGCCGCCGCGCGATGCGTACAGCAGCGGACAGTCGTCCCCTGGTGGAGCCGGCGATCATGGCCATCGTGGAAGTGATGCAGGGCTGAGCACATCGTCCGAATTCTCTGCGCATGGTCGTATCGACATCCCCTTGCCCCAGGACGACATGATCGTGCCTGCGCTGCAGATTCACAGCAGCCGACATCCCGTGCCGACCCATTTGGCCGCTGTGCTGCACATCTCGTTCTGCGCGCTGGTGCCGGATGCGTTGCAAGAGATCAGCCAGCATGGCGTTGCGTCGTCGATGACCCTCGATGCTATCGATGCGGATCTGCGCGGGTTACAGGGCATTCTCGACTGCGTGCTGAGCTTTGGAACCGGCTTTCATCGCGAGCCAGGCCTGGAGACCGTCTTTTCCACACGGAACTGGCTCGCTCCTCACCGCCAGCCCATCATCCTTGACTTGCGCTGATCGCAGCCTTTCGACAAGCGATCTGCGCTAAAGTCGACGGAATCACGCCACCGTGGCGCTGTGCAGCTGCTCTTCACTCGAGTTCGGTGTTCCCGAGCGCTCACGACATCTTCAGTGCTCCTCTAATCACAATAAGGTCACCTGTTCTATGCTGTGGCGCTGCACCGACGCCCTGTTGGCGTTTGCGTTACTTGAGTGTGTGACGAGCTGAGCGACTCTGGAGCGGAAGGCGTAGTCGCCCTGCGAGGCCCGCTAGGCCCAACCATTTCACATCGAGTGGCTGTGCCAAGTCCAGTCACGGCTGCCGACGGAAGTCAAAGCAGTCACATCACGAAACAGAAGCGCAGAGGCTAATATCCGGTCACCCGAAAGCAATGGCTGCTCGTCGGACTCTGCGAAGCGTTGATAATGTGATACTTGCGAAGAGAGGTTATCGCAAAGATCCCGCTACGCCACAGTCACGGCGCTCGGCTAAGCCCGTCACCCGACGGTAGCGGCTCATCCGAGGATTATTCTGCTCATCGCTTTCATCCAACGAACGCCAGCTCCTCTTGACTTGAAACTGAGATGGCTGTAAGATGGTGGCTGTGCGTGTGATCATGTCGGAACCACTACGAACGGAAGCCCCGATGGGTGGCCATGTTTGGGCATTGTTCGCTCATTTCCGGCGTCATCTTCTCAGCAAAAGCATGAGTGGTAGTGTGATGGTGCAAGTGTGCGATGCTTCCGCTCCGGCGTCGCCAATGCTACGCTGTCGACGCTACGCCACCATCGAATAGCACTTGGCTGCTAATACGTTTCCGCCGCCGGCTCGATCGACTCTAAGTCGGAACCTCTCGCTGTGTCTTGTGGAGTCATCTGGACGGCGTTGCTTCCTGTCTTCTGACCCAAACACCAAGTACGTGTCCAGGTGACCCGGGGATGTGATCTCTCCCAGACGGTCGACAAAGCACGCAATCGGGTCAGATGACAAGGCGTGTCCGAAAGTGGACACCGCCGATGTCACTTTCTGGCGGTGTCTGACAGACACATCGAAGAACTTTCGAGACGAGCGGATCTTCCGCTGCTCTACTGCTGTCGCCCAACTTCTTTCACAGCCAGCGAGCGACCTCGTTGTTCGCAGGCGAATGATCAGTCCTGAAGCCTGCTCCTGCAAAGAAGGGGCGGAAGGAACGACTCAGCTCCCTAGACGCTGCTGCAGGCCGCTCGCTTCAACCGTGGCAATCGCTCAAGGACATAAAAGGCAGGCCAGAGTAGCCGTCATCTTCTCCATCCCACAACCTTCCGACACACACACACTCCAAACCAAGCCAGCTACGCAACACGCTCCTTCACATTGGCTACACAATCCTAACTACGCCTCTATACCTCAGACACTCGCAGCCATGAAGTTCCAGTCTCTGGTCCCCTTCGTCGTCCTGGCGGTCGGCCTGAGCGCCCACGCTGCACCTACGTCGTTCAACTCCGCTTCGAGCAACAGCCTCATGGCACGTAATCCTAAACCCTTCCAAGGTCTCTCCATTTTCATTCGAGGCGGCGGTCATGAGGGTGACGACGACAAGAAGTGGAGCCACGGCGGAGGAGAGGAGGGTGGTGACGACAAGGGTGGCGACGACAAGGGTGGCGACGACAAGGGTGGCGACGACAAGGGTGGTGATGAGGAAGGAGACGAGGGAGAGGAAGGAGGCGACGACGAGGGTGATGAAGGAGAAGGCGGTGAAGAGAAGGGCGTAGGCGGCAAGAAGCGTGGCGGTAAGAAGGGCGGCCACGGCGGTGGTGACGACAAGAAAGGTGGCGACGAGGGTGATGACGACGAGGGCGGCAAAGGTGGTAAGGGTGGCAAGGGAGGCGAAGGTGATGACGAGGGCGACGATGAGGGTGACGACGAGGGTGGCAAGGGCGGCAAAGGTGGTAAGGGAGGCGAAGGAGGCGAAGGCGACGACGAGGGTGATGACGAGGGTGGTAAGGGTGGTAAGGGTGGGAAGGGAGGCGAGGGTGATGATGAGGGTGACAACGGTGGCAAGGGTGGCAAGGGAGGTGAAGGCGACGATGAGGATGACGACGAGGGCGGCAAAGGTGGTAAGGGTGGCAAGGGAGGCGAAGGTGATGACGAGGGCGACGATGAGGGTGACGACGAGGGTGGCAAGGGCGGCAAAGGTGGTAAGGGAGGCGAAGGAGGCGAAGGCGACGACGAGGGTGATGACGAGGGTGGTAAGGGTGGTAAGGGTGGGAAGGGAGGCGAGGGTGATGATGAGGGTGACAACGGTGGCAAGGGTGGCAAGGGAGGTGAAGGCAACGATGAGGATGACGACGAGGGCGGCAAGGGCGGCAAGGGCGGCAAGGGCGGCAAGGGTGGCAAGGGTGGCAAGGGAGGTGAAGGCGACGATGAGGGTGACGACGAGGGCAGCAAGGGAGGCGAGGGCGATGACGAGGGTGACAAGGGTGGCAAGGGAGGTGAAGGTGACGATGAGGGTGACGACGAGGGCGGCAAGGGCGGCAAGGGTGGCAAGGGAGGTGAAGGCGACGATGAGGGTGACGACGAGGGCGGCAAGGGTGGCAAGGGAGGCGAGGGCGATGACGAGGGTGATAAGGGTGGCAAGGGAGGTGAAGGTGACGACGAGGGCGATGATGACGAGGGTGGCAAGGATGGCGAAAGCGATCACGGCGAGAAGGGTGGCCACGGACAAGGAGGCCATGGCGGTCACAAGGGTCACGGTCACGGTCACGGAGGCGGCAGGAAGGGCGGCTGGGGTCACCACGGCTACTAGGCGGGAGCCATCCATCTCGATTGCCGCCCTCTCAAACATTGGAGGAGCACGGTGTCGAGCTTCCCTCACTTCTTCCTTCTCCCCTCAAAAGCGTACGGCTCCTCTCTCATCGGTGTCCTTGCCTGATCTTCCATGTCGGGTCCATCGAACGGGCTGATCTGTCCCTACGCACAATTCTATGTCTTTCAATTGTTCACATCATGCTCACGCAGACCGACTTGAGCTTTCTATTAGGCTGAGCATCGCCTTGGCCATGCTGTGTCACCAGAAACGAATGTAAGGGCGAGAAGCGATCATAAATGTCCATTGACGCATAGATCAGACGTGAAGGTCGTGGCGACGGCATTACTATACCAAGGGAATGATCCGCGGACACATGCTTGATCGATTCTTCGTTATCGACATACGTGAAGCTGAGATGCCGCGGGGTGCTGAGGTCAGGAACGCGTGAGGAAGCTTCAGGTCAACCCACCGTGTCGTGCTGCAGAACCTTTGTCGCCAAGAAGCATCGTCCCGCGCAACTCATGGAGATTCCGCATCGCCCTTGACTTCTTTCTTCCACCAGCTCTGGAAAGTGGCTGTCTCGTTGACAGCTGGCACAGAAGTCTCGTCAGCGATCGAATCGTCACTCTTGGAAGCTGCCTTGTCCGCTGACGCCGCAGATTCAAACTTGATGGAACCTTGCTGCTGTTGAATCTCGTACCAGGCCCTCGCTTGGGCTTGAGCTGCCTGGATGCGGGTGATGGCGTTGACAAGCGATGGAGTCGCTGGAAGAGCGGGTGTTAGCGGAGGCGAAAGCGCGCGGTCCGATACCAGGAGCGGTGGAGGCGAGGCGGTCTGGCGGGTTGGCGAAGCGATCGAGCTGGGTGCCTTCACATCACCCGCTGCCCTCTCTGCCGAGTTGATGTTAGCTGCAGGAGCCATCGTAGTTCCACTCAAGCGGCTCACCGACGATGCGCCGCTCTTGCTGCTGTTAGTCCGATAGCTCGGGGGCCGAGTCTGACCGGCCGATACAGCGGTGAGCTTGGAATCTCCACTGGAGTTCAAGGGCTTAAGCTCGTCCTCCATCTCTTCTGCGTTGACCTTCGTCATCAGGCTGTCCTTGGACATGGTCTTGCTGCGCGAGTTGAGCTTGTGAAGGCTCGCGTCGCTGTCGTAGTCTGTCGTGTCGTCATCCGATTCGTCCAGAGGTGGTCTCTTGGCTGCAGCGAACTTGGCCGGGCCTCCACGAGGCTTTGTGGATCGAGCGCGACGTGCGCGTCTGCGAGATCTGGGCGAAGGAAGATTCGTGAAAGGGCTCTTTTCAAGGTCGTTTGCAGCCAAGATATTGTCGTAGGCCGCTGGGCCTCTGGAACGTCCAAAGGCGCGGGAGACCTTCTGCCATGCGGTCGGTGCTGGTTCGAAAGCGCCTGCGCGGTCGTACATTTCGGCCACAGTTTGGTGCTCGAGGCGCTCGGTGAAGGCACCTAGATACTTGTTCCACTCCATGTCCGGGTCCTCGGCTGCATGCGTGTGGAAGATGAACTCGAAAAGGAACCCAACCAGGGGACCCAGAACAGCGGCGGCGATGTAGCCTTTGAACACGGACGTGCCCCACTTGCGCCTCGCGCTCACCTCGGAGCTCGATCGGTCCAGTGCGAACAACAGCACCCACAGGTCGATCCATGAGGCGGAACTGTCGTGAGAGGGAGCAACGAGCGCCACACCGTCGAGGAAAGTGACCATGCCGATGATCGAGGTGCACATGTTGAGCAGGTGGAAGTGGATCACGCTACGTCCAGGAAGGAGGAGAGGGGCAGTGATGAGGCTGGTGCAGACTGCGATGACGATGGCGCGGATGATGAGTGTCTGGATCCCGAACATGGCGGTGATGATGAGGGTCAGGCAGGAACCCGCAAGCAGCCCTGTGAACGCGCGGGCAAAGAGTGGCCAGTGACCTGCGAGGAAGGCCCCCAGAAGCCCAGGTAGCAGCCAGATGACGAAGTACGCTGCAGAAGACACCGATTTGGACTCTCCAACGCAAATAGCTGCTGTGACGACCGTGGTGAGGAAGGAGAAGAAGAGGAAGCCGATGATGATCCCGCCTACACCGCCTGCCAGAGGAGGACCGGCAAAGAGAGGTCCGAAACGACTTCGCTTTTTGGCTCTCTCGTCGACCCTCTTCCGACTCATGCCGAGAGTGCTACCCCAGAAGAACGATGCCCAGCCGAAGAAGAGCAGGAAGAGACCGGCGATGATCCACACGATGCAGAGCAGCACGCTCATCCAGTGCTGCTCGTGCACGAGATCGGAGAGCGAAAAGACTGGGGCGAGCGTGATATTGCCGTTGCTGGAGCTTGAGACCAATGTGGCGGCGTGAATGCTAGCGATGCGCTCCGCCGATGGTCGACCTGTCTGCGGAGGTGGGTGAATGAAGTCCTCTGGCCAAGGATTGGCCTGGTGGTTGACGATGTAGCTCTGGATGGCGGTTGCGATGTCCCATGAATCGTGGCCTTGGTACGAGCCTGATAGCGATGCATCGTTCGCGAGCACGGTCATATTATGCGAGTGAGCGGCGAGGGCCATTGCAATCGCCTCTGGGTCGTGACCTTGGAAGGTGTTGTCCGGGTCATCATCACGAGTGCCGAGAACAGGTCCTGTGAGTTGTGTCAAAGGTCGGGGAGCCATGCTGGACAAGTGCTGTCACGACGGAGGTGCTCCTGCGGATGCACCCAAAGGGAGCAAGAGGACGATGGTGATAGGAATGGTAGATGGTAGGAATCGCGATTAAGATGAAGGAGTCGGACCGGGACCGCCACGCTCCGATCGACTGTAGAACCACTAGGTCTCAAGACCAGCAGTAAGGTGCGATACACTGTCTGTCTTCACGCCCAGCTGCAGGCTGATGCAAGAATGTGAGACCAACAAGAAGCAACGCCTGCACGAAGAGCAAAAAGCTTCGATGCTGCAGTCCCGTCATTCAGCACACCGCTCATGGGGCCCAAACGTGGCAACCCTTTCGAGGACCTAATGCGACCGGCTACAGAAGCTGCTCTGCCGCACAGGCTAGGAGTTTGACCAGTCATCACGTCTTCAGGGGCTAATGAGGCTAAGGATAGAAAGGAGCATGGAAGATTCTTACCGTAGCGAGCAGGGGCTTGGGGTCAAGAGCATCAACTCTATGTTGCCGAAGCTGCGCTAAGTTAGCTGCAGGCTGCGTTTGGTTCAGGGGTTCTTGCAGGACATCCTCTTGTGACCTGTCAAGATGCGCTGACTCGATCGGGTGGAGCTAATTCTGATGAGCGATTGCGATCGGCGGTCTAACAAAATAGAAAATTCCCTTGCAGCGAGGCGAGCTGAATCTGTGGATTTGACGGTAAACTCGAGATACGGAACCGCGCTACGCCGCTTTTGCCGTCTGGCTGAACCCTTAATTTACTCGGGCACGGACGACCTTGTTCTTCCACCACATTGATATCGATCCCCCTCTTTCTTAGGAGCTGCCCAGCCTCGAGCTGCATCGCAGTCACATAGGGGTCAGAACCCACAAGAAAGGGAAACGGACCCACCGTCAGAACGAAGAAGACCTAGCTTCGCAAGATCCGACAGTGATTCACCCTTCCCACGCTCCATTCGCCTCTATAAGATCACCGGATCACCCGACGGCTCTTCCTCCAGGCACGCGACTCAGCTCTTTCTCCTCGCGAGCAGAAGGTGCTCGCTGGTAGTCGATCATGTTCTCGACCTTCTTCCAGCCCTGCGAGCTCAAGCTGCATCTGCTTCAGAATGCCATCTTCCTGCATCCACCCGACCGTCCTCTGCCAGACACGCACGAGCGACCGCCCATGGCCAACGACGAGGTTGTGCGTGGTCTTGTCGAGCTCTACGTCCCTTCTACCCGACACATATCTGGTATTCGCGTGCGATTGAAGGCCGTCCAGACCATCGCCATCCTAGATCCCGCTTCTGGGCTCACCCCCGTCAGCTGGGAAGACTCCACCGTCCTCGAAAAGGTCGTCGAGATCGGTATCCAAAGCGACAAGGAAAAGCATCTCATCCATCACCATCAGCAGCGCCTCGCGTTCAACAATCGATCCGCATCCGTTGGACCTGTTCCATACGGTGCCTCTTCGTCGCAGCCTTTGCCTCGCGGTCGAAGCGCAGCGACCCCAGATCGATCAGGCCGCTCCGGATCTGCTTTCGGATTGCGGTCCAACAGCCCCGGTGGTAGTATTCCTGCTTCCATGGCGCGCGCTGTCTCGCGAGGCCGCAAGATCGCTACCGGAATGGGCAGGATCAGTCACAGCCCCTCACCTTCCAACAGTCGCTCAGCCAGTCGTGCTGCTTCACCCAACCCACCAGGTCTGTCCGAACGTGGGCGCACTGCCACGCGTGCCCCGCCCACCTACGCCTACGCTATCTCTGAAGCTTCGCAGAACCCTCCAGCAGCCGTTCCGCAGGATCAAGAGGTGGTGAGCCATAGTCTGCCCGCCAGTCAAGCCGCCACTCCTCAACGGTCGCGTAGGCCCAGCTTCTCCGACTCGCAAACACCACACGAGAGCAGTGGCCAGGAGTCTGCCACAGAGACGGACGAGCTGGCAGATCACCTCAACAGGTCCCTTGCGGTACATGCTCGTGCGGCCGATCGCAGAAGCGCCAGCGCCACGCCAGTCGAGCAGACCTCGGCAAGCACGCTCGGACGCCATCCGCAGCTGCACGTCGAGGAAGACCGAGGTAAGGGCAAGTCGAGGAGCTCTTCCATTGGCTTCTTCGGCTCTCGCAAGGCGCGCAGCAAGTCACGCGCGCCTCTGTCACGGGGCGTGTCTGGTCAACCCAGCGATCTTGTACAGGTCGAAGAGGAAGGCGGACGAGGTCGAAGAGGAGCATCCGTCCGTCCATCGATGACGCCGTCCGGCTCGTCCGGAGGCATCGCCATCACCCCCGGCTCAGAAGGCGAAGGCTGGGAAAGCGAGCCCCATCAGTCCGGTCTGGAACTCACAAAAGGCGTCCACGGCTTCGAGTTCGCCTTCATTATCCCCTGCGATGCTCCACCCTACGAACGCTCGCCCTTCGGCCGTGTCCGCTACATCATCAAAGCGACCGCCATCGGTGCCGGCCGAGCCAAATCCAACGTCGAATGCTGGCGCGACCTTTACCCAATGGTCAACCCTTCTCCCGACAGCGGTCCTACCCCGCTCACCGTCCTGTACAACGACATGCACCCCACCGTCGGCCTCGTCTCGATCGCCTGCACGTCGAACAACATCTCGGTCGGCGGCGTCTTCAACATCGACGTGAACTCTCCCAACCCACCTTCAGACCTCATCGTCTACCTCGTCCGCGTCTCGCTGGAGATCACCATCGAGCTCACCACCAAGCGCAAGGGCAAGCAAACCGTACCCGTCCAGCGTCACAAGCTCTTTGAAAAAGGCTGGGTCCCTCCCAAGAACAACGACGGCTCGCACGGCGACGGCAAGAAGACCGACGGTTTCGTCCGCAACTGCGGTAGAGAGGACGCATGGACAGTCCAAGGCATCGCCCGTATGCCGGACGACAACCACGTGCGCGCTTCCACCGTCGCAGCCAGCAAAGCGGCCATCCGATTCAGCCACGTGCTCGTCGTCGAAATCGTCCACTCCCGCAAACCTCCCGGAAGCACCGCCCGCACGCCCGAGGAAGAAGCCCGCGAACGCCGACTCAAAGTGTTCGCCCTACGCCAACCGGTCCTCGTCCCCAGCTGCTGTTGCGCATACGACGCCGTTACGCTCCCCGCCTACTCGGCCGCTCCGGACCCCAACAGCCGTCGCGCCGAGATGCCGTACGACCTATCCTCCTTCTCCCACCACCCGCCTTCTTCGGAAGACCACCCCTCCGATGCACCCAACACGAGCACGCAGGTCAATGGGCAGAGTCAACTCTTCTGCGTGTGCGGCATGTCGTTGCAGGACCTCTCCGCCCAAGAACGCGCCTTGATCCCTACAGCGCCACTCGACGTGATGGGCGGCGAACTGTTCCGGCATCAGGGGAAGATCGGCGAGCTACCACCGCGACTTGACGGCAGCAGGAGGCGCAGCCCGTCGACGTCGAGTAGCGCCAGTGGCATCGTGGCGAGTTTGCGCGGGAGACGGGGGTCGAGCAGCAGCACGCGAACGGCGAACGGCAATGGAGGGGAGGTCACCGCCAGTTTGAAAGGCAGGAGTCCAAGTATCAGTTCTGCATTCCGGGCGAGACGCGGAAGTAGCAGTAGTGGAGCTGGATTCATGGGCGGTGTCGGACTGGGCAGGGGCGAGAGCGTGAGTAGGAGCAGCGCGATCAGCAGGATCAGTGCGAGTGCTGGGGCGGGAAGGGTGGGCAGTCCGAGTCGTGGAAGAGGGGGTGAGGGGAGCAGCGGGCCCAGTGGCAGCGGGACCAATGGCCAAGCGTCGAATGGTGCTTTGTGAATGCCGAAGAAGCGCGCTCAAAGATGGAGTCGGCTCACACTGCGCAATACCAAACTCGTTCACCGATCCAATTTGCTCTGTACTTTGTGAGAGGGTGTCAATGTGCCCTTTGATTGCGTGGATTCAGACCATTTGAGGAACGACGCAGCGAAGATGATGCTCAAAAGTAGCTGCCGCGGTACTTGCTGCCTCCTCCGCGTACTTTCTCGCCTCCTCCGCCTCCTCCGCCGCCACCACCACCACCACCGCTGTTGCGGTTCGGCCTGCCACCGTTGCCGCCGCCATTCCGGCCACCGCCACCTCCACCGCCTCCGCCTCCACTGCGGCGAGAACGGCCACTCTTCTTACCCCCACTCTTCTTACCCCCGCCACTGCCACCACCCCTGCCATCGAGACCGCCACCAGCACCGCCATTCTCGTACCGCTCCTTCTTACTCGAGAATCGTCCACCCTTGTAGCCCTTTCCAGTGCCGCTACCGTTGCTGCCCCTCCCGCCGCTGCTGCTGCCGGCACCGTCGCCGTTGTGAACCCACCCGGTATGCACTGCTTCTCTCGACCTCATCTGCACCGGCTCGCGCTGTGACCTGGTGACCTTATCGCTGCGACTGTTCTTCCCATCCCCACGTCGCTTCTTCGCTCGTCTCCCATCATCCGAGTCCGAATCGCTACTGAAATCGTCCCTGAAACTGCTATCGCTATCCACCTCGATCGGATCATCCTTCTCGCCCTTCCTCCTATCCCCCTCACGCTCGTCCCTTCTCGCCTGCCGCCTCTCCATCCTCGCCGCCCTCCTTGGCCCTTCGGTGCGCACAATGTCCTCCGTCGTAGGCAGGTCCTTCGTATCCTGCCCCGCCTTTTCCATCCGCGCCCGCTTCTCCAACGTGTGGCGGATCTTGTCAGCGAATTCCGGGTGGTCTTGCCGATCTTGTAGCCATTGCACGAAGAGGTGTTCGGGTAGAGGCTTCTTACCTTGCTTCTGCTCCTTGCGGGTGAGGTAGCCGCCTTTGACGGGGACGGCTTTGGTGCGACCGAACGAGACCAGGCCGTCCTTGTCGACGACGTGGGGCTGGGTCGAGCGCGGGGATGAGATCGTATGCCGGCCAATGGCGAGGCTGCCACTGGCGGGCGCGCCTCTTTTGCCAGTGGGCGTGCTTCGCCCGGACGAACTGGCAATCGCATCGCCGGCAACGTGCATCGTGGCGCTGCTGCCGACGCTGAACGTGAATTGCGAAGAGGGCATCTGGAACCCGGCCAGCGGTGGGGCGCCAGGTAGCATCTTTGCAAACGGCCCCAAGCGCGAGACAAACTCCGAAAAAGCAGAAGGCTCGTTGGTGCCTCGTGTCGGATTGCAGCGTGGTTCGGGGCAGTCATCGCCCCAGTGATTGCCTGGCGTGGAGCAGTTGTAGCACCACCGTGTGGCGGGGTCGAACTGCGACGCTCCGGAGCTAGAGGGCAGTTCGGGCTCGCCAGCAAGAACAAACTCGTCATCCGAATCGGAGATCTCTGCCGGATCAGGTTCGAGGTCGCGTCGTGGATCGCGCGCCTTGCCGCCGTGTTGCAGCTTGAAGAAGGCTTTGGCTCGGTAGCGGTCGTAGTCCGCGAGGGTGCTGTAGGTGTATACGCGCCACAGGGTGGGGCAGAGCGTCTTGACGTGGGTGTAGGAGCCGCATCGCTCGCATTCTTCGCTCCGCGGTCCTCGTCGTGGTTTCGGGCAGGTACGCGTCTGGTGGCCCATACCACCACAGCGGAAGCAGCTGGTGGACATCGGGCAGAAGCGCGTGGGGTGGTCGTCCATCGCTCCGCAGGCGAGACAGTGCTGATGTGGGCAGTGACGTCGGTCGTGGCCGAGCTCGCCACATGCAAGGCACTGCTCCTTTGCTCTTCGTTCTGCCTTTTCTTCCGCGCCGTAGTATCGATTGGCGGTTGATGGATCCATGTCCAGCTGCTCGAAGTCGCCCATGTCGCCCTCGAGATCTTCCTCGTCGTTCGCAATGTCTGCGGGGAGATCACGGGATGGTCCGGACGAGCTGCCGCCAGGCTGTGTTGTGCTGTTCTCGCCTTGAGGCATGACATTGACGTGACTCGGCAAGAGCAGACCAGCCTCGACGTGTGTGTCTGCCTGCTCGGCTTTCGCCTCGTTCTCCAAAGCGATCTCCTGATCCACGTCCATGTCGCCAGCAGTGTCGAGGACGAAGCTCATTTCTCCGACCTCGCCTACTTCACCTTCCTCCATGTATGCGCCTTCTTCTGGATCTTCATCGTCTTGCACCTCGATCGCTTGCTTGCTCGAGGCGTCTGCTCTGCTGTTACTGCCGCTGGCAGGATCACTGGAAGTACTCGCTACTCCATTCGCTTTCGCGTGTTGCGTCGAGTGCGAAGCTTTGGTTGCCTTTGTCGAAGTCTCGTTGGCTGCCGATGCACGAGACGAGGAAGCAGCCTGCTCGACAGACGACATCGCTGCCTGCTGCGCAGCAGCGACCACCTCGTTCGCGTCCATGGTCGGATCCCTACAGCCCTTGCAGGCGTCGTATGCTGGAAGTCGAGAAGCTACTCCTAGCAGGCCATCTCAGCAGGAGACTGCAAGCTAGAGGACTGAGCCGTGACTGAGGAGCGGTGTTGGCGTTTTCGATCAGGTGACAGATGTGACAGTAGAGACGAAGGGGTATATGCTCAGCTCGAAAGGGTGGTTGATGAAGTGACGCATGCAAGCCTGCGAGGGAGGGTCTTTTCAGAGAGAGCACGCAGGGCCCTTGCAGCCAGGCGAGATTTTTTTTTAGTCAAACTTTTTGTTTTTGGCACGGCTTTCTTCTCAAGTGGAGGCACAAATCGGCGATACGCGTCGCTAGTGCCCGTCGTTGAGGCCATCTTGATACTCAGACACCATATCGGAGAGGTAAGATCATCAAAGTCCGTAAGATTATAGCATCAGGTCATGTGTATGTGTGGCCACCTCTCTCTACTCTCCCGAGAACAGCCGCTTGATGAGGTAGATTGTCGACCCCATCATCCTGAACAGCGCCAGTCCGGCTACCGAGTACAGCAGGAAACCCATGTAGATGGTCCTCGTGCCAATCGAGCTGATGTTCAAGATGCCCACCACCAGCGCTGCGTTGCTCAAGGACCAGCAGAGAACTACGTTGGTGCGCACAGTTGCGTAGTAGTCTTTCTGCTTAGTCTCCTTGTCTCTTGCTGCTGGTCCCGCTTTGGGCGGCTTGTTGGAGAGCACATGGATGGCATCATCGTAGGCGTCGTTGATATCCGTAGACTCGGTGGGGATCGCAACTTCGACCTGGTTCGTGCTGCCCTTGCCACCGACGACTCCGAGATCCGTCATCACCGTGTCCGACCCCTTGGTGCCCCACGAAATATCGTTGATGTTGGCAAATGCATAGATGCTGATCACGTTGACGAACGTCGGTGCCAGCAACAGGTACTGGACGATCGAAGTGATCATGTGCATCGGTTCGAGGAACATGATGCTCGCAATCGTCCAGACACCAAACGTCGCGGCGAGCGAGATGACGATGTTGACAAAGATGCGGTTGGTCACCAACGACTGTGCACCAGGCCCATTGGCCCCCGTCGCATTCATGATCGAGCTCACCGCAAGGTAGATCGCCGCGCCCGTCATGTACACCGTCAGTAGCGCAAAGACGACCATCGCCAGTGTATAGCCGAACTTGCTGCCCGCAGGACGATTGCCCATGGACAGCAGGAAACAGAAGATGATGAACGCGATGTAGATGTACGACAGCACCAGGTTGGGGACCTTGAGCGCCGGGATGAGATCGCTCATCGCGCTCGTGAGAATGAAGAAGGCGATGAAGAAGTTGGCCATACCGAACCACGAGAAGATGAGCTGCACCGTCTGGTAGATGATCTCGATGTGCAGCGCGAATTTGCGTCCGAAGGAATGCGAGGAGCGGTAGATGTAGCCAAACTTGATGATCGAGTGGATGCCGGCGAAGAATGAACCATTGAGCCATCGGCGACGCTGCGAGATCAGCTCGGGGACTTGATCGGGTACGTCGGTGACAGCCTGAGCCGACTTAACGTAGTGCAGGATCCAGGCACTATCGCGCTTCGACACCAGCTCCCAGCACAAGATTCGGTCCTCAGCAAGATACATGTTCGATGTGAAGACGTCGGCGTCCGACTGACCACCATGCAGCGTCTCACCCTTGAAGTACGAGCACAGCGGTCCTTGTCCGTGCACATCATTTTGCAGCGCGATGTATCGATAGGCAGAGAAAGCACCGGGCAGCACAGTGATGTAGCCAAAGACCGACTCGAGCGGTTTGTCGAGGATGTTGGACATCTTGTACTCGAAGTTCTGCGCAGCTACTAGCGGGTTGAGTAGCGCACTCCAGAACTTGCCCTTGAGCGCGACAATCTCACCGCAAGCACCGCCGACGTTGGAGTTGATGTCGAATGCCTTCCAGAGATGATAGATGGAACGAGGCCGTGGCATGGTACCCACGTCGAGCAAGACACAGATATTGGGCTGCAGAATCTGACCAAAGGCATTGAAGAACCACCGATGCGAGTTGATTTTCTTCTGATTACGCTCCTTGAGGCAGAAGAGGATCTGCACGGGCATGATGCCCTTTTCGCGACCCTTAAAGTGCATGCTCGGGTCGATCGAGAGCTGCGCAGTGTATTCGTAGATATGCGCCGTGACGGGCTTGCCATTGACGACGTTCTTACCCACTCCCTCCTGGTAGACACCCATGGCGGCGAGACAGGACAGCGTGCGCGAGTTGATCTTGAGTCGACCGTCTGAGACAATGCACACAACCACCTTCTTCCAGCCTTCCTTGCCCCACGTCTTGGAGCGCTCTCGAGTACAGAGATGGGCGATGTTGGTCATTACACCGTGCATGGTGCGGGTAAAGAGCTCCTCGTCCTCGTTGTACATGGTGAGCACGATGAAGAGCTCGGTTCGGCGCGGTGGGTCGAAGAGCACCTGTCGGAGCGTGTAGCGCTCGTCCTTGAAGTTGTCGGGATCGCAGGTGGCGGCGGTGTAGCGCATGTGGGTGAACTCGCGAGACTCTCGGTCGTTGAGCTTGTCAAGGAGCTTGGAGGGGACGGGACAGTCAAGCACGAGGTTGCCGTGGTAGAGCTCGACTCGCTTGAGCGTCTTGTATCGCCTCGGCACACGCTGCGGAATCTTTCCGTAGCGAACACCTCCCACTCCGTTCTCGAGCATGGTCGGATCGAAGCCTCCAGGCATGTAGCCGTCGTCGTGTGATGCAGCAGGGTTACGAAGGAGCCTTCCTCTTGCCTGGCCATTGACTGCATCTTCGTCCATCACATCATCGTCTCCGTCAGCATACTTGTCTACAGGTCCGACGTGGTTTCCGTTTTCATCGAAGTGCGAGGCGGGTGCATAGGCATAGTTGCCGTTCCTTGGCAAGAGTGGTACGTCGCCAGTGCGGTCGTCGAAGGGGTCCACACCGGCATGATGAGGTTGCGAGTACGTGTAAGGATTCGCCATGTGTGGCGAAGTCATATGCGGAGGAGGATAGGAGGAGCGTGACTGGTCGTAAAAGTCGGTGGAGGGATGCTCGTAGCCGGTGTGATCGCCTGATGCGGATGGGGGCATGTAGGGGTCGAAAGAGACGTGAGGCGGCGAGGTGGGCTCTGCACCCAAATCATAAGTTGGGTATGCGTTGTGACCGTGTGAGAGTGGTTGCTGTTGCGCTTCTGAGGTCAGGGGGTAGCGACGATCGGGCGACTGATAATGCGCTTCATCGGACGGTGGCCCACCTCCGTATGGATAGCGAGGCGGCATGTTTGTGCAGGATCGTGAATGCGACGGAGGGATCGAGGTGGGCTCCTGCGCAATGAAGTGGGTTCTTGGTCCAGAGGCTCCGTCCCTGTTGAGCTGCGATACCAGCGTTTGAGAATATCAACGAGGATTCCTGTGGGCGCTGATGGTGGATGCAGTGACAATGAGGGCGGGATCGCTCGTGCCTTCTGGCTTGCAGATCGTGGTCAGAAGAAAGGCCACGCACGAGCAGAGGGTCAAGTTGATGAAGCGCGGGAAACTTCGGAAGAAGCAGCAATGCGCAAGTGGCAGTGCGCACCACTACAACACAGGATGAAGCAGCTGACCTTGTCTTCGGCTGTGTGTGTTGTGTTGCTCTCGAGGATTTTGCTGCGCTGCGCCGTCATGCAGTTGATTTACGCGCCAGGCTGCCTTGTTTTCTCTCAGATCGACACAGCCGGACCCTGAACTTTGGCCTCAAGCACGCGCCCTCTCTCTTGGCGGAACAAAAACTTGAAACCCAAAATGCCGCCCCTGAGCGCGCGCGCGTGACTGACAGCTGCACATCTCTCCTGTGCACCGCCTTTCACATCTTGCTGAACAATTCTTATGCCAAGAAGGCCTCCCGAACCCTTCTCAGCCAGATGTCGGCTTCAACGGTGCTTGGCGGTCATACAAGTCTCAGTGAGAAGAGTCCAGTCAGTCAGCCATTCGATAAGAGTGAGGATGCTTTTCGAGTCCAGGTCGACAATCTGCCATGCTAAATGAGATTCAGGAACGCGGGTCCAGCGGCTGATACGCAGGCAGTCCTTCTTCTTCGGTCAATCGTTGCTCGCCTTCCACCTCCTGCAAGCCAGACAATCGCTGCGTTCCACTTCCGCCGGCCACAGATGCAGACGGCTGTGCTTCAACTCCGTACAACTCCGCTTGCTGCTGTTGGCGGCTGAGACGTGCTTGCTCCGCGTGCCTCTGCACCTCGGCGGCCTCCCGCTGCGCTTCCAACTCTTTTGGCTCCCTTTCGCTCAGGTTGAACGACGCGGGCAGTGTCGTCGTAGGCAGCCCGGAACCCGATGCAGGGAGCACTTGAGTCGCTTTACCAGCTGCGACACTCGAAGCTGCTCCACCGCTCAATGTCGTGGCATCGACGAGCCAGCTGCCCAGGTAAGACACCGGTGCCGAGCTTCCGACAGAGGACGTCGCAATGGGGCCGGAGGACAGCTCAGCGACAACCTGACGGATGCTGCCTTCGGCGACAGAAGCGTGGTCGGCTGGGTATTGCAACTCGATCAAGTAGTTGCTTCGCCAGACGCTGCTCCCCGCAACGGGCGCGTCCACCATGGATGCCGGCCGGCGATCCATCTTGCGCATAGAGACAGCCTCCAGCCGCTGAAGCTGCGACACCACTCGGTCCAGCGTGCTCGCTTGCCCGCTGTAGCTGCCTGCCTCGGCAGTCAGATCAGAGGTCAAAGCATCACTGACGCTCAGCAGCGACCTACCCGTCTTACCTGCTGGCGATGGCAGGCTGTAGAGTTGCGTGATCGACGGAGGCAGAGCGTTGACAGCCAGCAAGCCTTCAAGAGGCTCGCTTGCCAAGATGAGGAATCGAGTTCGGTTGTCCTTGACATCCTGAATCTTGGAGCGCAGCACACGGACGCCAATGGTAGTGACAGCTGCCTCAGCCCCTACCGCCGCTACAAGCGAGTTGGATGAGAAGCCCAGCGACTCGTGTGCGTGGTCGACGGAGGCCGACGACCTGCCGGGCGCAGTGCCAGCCTCGAACTCAAGCGCCGTAACAGCAGCCGCGGCTGTGGATTCCACCGCCTTCTTCTTGGCCTGCGGCAAGTAGCGAGTGAGGTAGTGTGAGCATTGACCCAGCGCTTGCTCGTGTGAGATGACATTGGTGATGTTCGAGAGCGTGTCGTCGCGGATCGATGCGTTGGGATCCGTGTCGCCTTGCAGCTGCAGCAAGTGATGGTAGGTCTTTGGTCCACAAAGCAGGGCGTGATCGACCGACAGGCAAGCTTCCCCGACGATGTGCAGCTGTGCGCCATCTGCAGGCTTGAACGCATGGCGATCGCCGTTGCTGATGCCCAGAAATTTGTCGAAGGTCTCGCGGACCGGCCCAAAAGTGCTGTTCTCCACAGGCACAATTGCGATCTTGGCGTTGCCTGGAGTGCCTCGGCGAACAAAGTCAATGGCACCAGTGATGCTCTGCATCGGGATCAGATTGGTGCCAGCTTCGCCGAACACCTTGAGAGCCGCTTGGTGGCTGTAGGTGCCTGTGGGGCCCAGATAAGCCACAGCGCCGGCAGAGATGGAGGCTGATCGTTGACTCGCCGACGACCGACGCGGTCGGAGTGTGCCTGACTTGGGTCCACCGGGTCCTGTCGGAACGACGCCCGTCTCCGCCACCGTAGGACCAGGAGGGCCGGGAGGCGAGAGGGGCTCCTCGTCTTGCGCAGCAGAGCCACCAGCGACTGCCGGCAATGCAGCCGGATCAGCGAAAGGGTTGGTGGTCGGCGAACGCAGCGTGTCGACAGTGGTGGCCGAGGGGCTGCGCTGTGGACGTGGCGGAAGCAGCGGAGCGGGCAAGGCGGTGGGACTGAGATTGAGCTTCTGACTCGATCCACTGCTGCTGGTCTGCGTCGCTGCTGTACCTGGCTGAAGGAGGTCGCTCCGCTCAGACGAAATGCTAGGTCTTCGTTGCGAGATAGGAGTAGCGCTTGGCACCTGTTCATCCTGAAGCTCTGACTTGTGCGAGACGGCGTACGATACCGTGTCGGCGCGGCCCAGGCTTGTGGTGGCCGAAAGCGCCGATTCCGCCGGTAGATCGGGAAGGGACAGATCAGGTTTGAAGGTCGAGAGCGCCGAGGCGAGAGCCGCACGCACCTCGGCGGTTTTGGATGCGCCCTCCCAGAGCGGGATGCTCTCCCCTCTTGGCTTGACGGTGGCAGGGAAGGGCGATTTCTCGGTGGAGATGGTAGTGGTAAGCAACTTGCCGTATCGTGCAACGAGAGCCATCTTCTCGCCGAGCTCGATGAGACTGTCAAACATGGCAGCGTATCCATCCTGGACGCTCTCGCGCTTGACGCGGCTGAGGTATTCTTCGTCGGCTTGGTCATCGCTGATCAGGTCACGCAGGCGAGCCTCTGCCTCTTGAATGCGCGCGCTTCCTGCTGCGATAGCGCGCTCGGGCATGAGAGCATGGAGCTCCTTCTTGAGTTTGCTGCGATTCGCTCTTCGTTGTCCAAGCTCCATCTCGGCCTTTTCAAAGCGCTTGAGGCGGCTGCGTGCTTGTTCGGATCGCTGGCCGTGAGCCGTTTCGAGCTGGCCGATCTCGTGCCAGACGTACGCGAGACGGTCAGCGACGTCAACCAGCATCTCGTCTCCACCGCTGTCGTCCCGCTTCTCGGGGAGGTGATGCTGTCCCCACACGAAAGTGGCCTTGGCGAGGCTCTTGGCTTCGCGACCCGCTGCTTCGTGATCGATGTTGAAGCCCTTGATGGCCTGGCTGAGCAGGTGGAACTGACGCGTAGACTCGTAACGAGGGTCGACCGAGGCGAGACCTTGGCGGAAGAGATGAGGCATGGAGCCCTTGTAGGTGAAGCCGGAGCCGCTAGTGGAGCCCGAGGGATTGGCGGCATCGCTTGAAACAGAGGCGTCGCCTGCTTGGCCGGCGGAAGAGGCGGCGTGGTGCGCCTGCAGTTGCTGAGCAGCCGCTTCAGCACGCTCTCTTGCCTTTGCGAAGAACGACGTCATGTTCAGCGGTAACGACTTGTACTTGACTGGATGATGATGGTAAGCAGGAAGGCGGGTGTGGTTGGTGCGGTTGAAGTCAAGTTGACCGCCCAGTCTCAGTTTGGCTTGAATCGACCAGAAGGGTGCTCAGCAACGCATGATTCACCAAATTCGCCTCTGACTGCGCTGCTGCCGTTTTTTCTTCGCACGGAGCACTCCGCTTCTCCACATGCTTCCAGGTCACGGAATCAAGCACAGGCTCGAACCCTCGATACTGGCTTCTCGACGCTCGCACTCGTGCGTTTGATGCCGAGCTGTCATGATGGTGAGGCAGGGGAGATTCGCAGGGCAGCGTGTCGTGTGAGGCGGCTATGCGGTCGTCTAGGCAGTGCAGCGCCTCATTCTTCGGCGCCTCCTTTTCGTGGCCTCAATTTACACAGCCCAGCTTTGTATCAATCTTCGATGTCGGAGCTCAAACGACTCCTCATGTCACACATGGCTTCTTCCTTGAGATTCAGCATGCAAAAGCGGCTTCTCACTGCCCTTGTTTGGACCAAAGATGTTCGAGAAGTCCATCGCATCCTTGAGCTTGGCCGCTGAAAGGCGACAATTTGACTTCTTGATTCTGAAGGTACAATTACAAGTCAAAGCCGAGACCATGTTATGCGTCTACATCCATCGAGCCATGTGCCGAAGCTTGAACCTGTTCGTCTTGATCGTCCGCATCGGCTTGTCTCGACAATTGCGTGAGCAAAGCTTCGGCCAGCCGAGCTGCTTGAACGCTTCCAATACGGATAGCCTCGCTGACGCGCTTGAAGGAGATCTCTTCTGTTCCCTCTGTGCGAACCGAGAGCACTTTCGAGGTGCGTGTCGCCAGCACTTGAACGCGGGAGCCGACACAAGCTTCCTCGTCTACATCGGCGTCGAGCAGGTAGCTGTTGGGAAGAATGTTGACCGTGATGCAGAGCGGCAGATTCTGTCGTCCGTCCAGTGCCGCTCCATCCTCGCCGCTGTGCTCGAGCTCAAAGTCGACGACTTTCGAGTCGGAGCCCGATCCCTTCTTTGATGTGGCAGCTGCGCTACCTTTCGGTTTCTTCTTGAGCAAGCCCTTGATTCCCATCTGATCGAGGTCGCCCTGCGCATTCGCGAAAGCCCCCTGCACCGCGTTGCCCGACTCATCTATTGTCGCTGGTGCCTCGAAAGCGACGCCGCGAGTCACCGGCACACGCGTATCGTAGAACGCGGCGAATATCGCAGCGAACGCGGCGTCGAAGAGATTGCCTCCTGATAGTGAGTTGACAAGGAGATCTATGTATATTGTCCAGTGCTTAGCATTGGCGATGATGAGCAGTTGGTGCAATGGCAGAGGACTCGACCGCGGCGAGAATGCCGAGTTGACCATGGAAGAAAGCGAGATCGATAGCGAGTCCAGCACCTTGCTGTCGAAGGAGTGCACAAGGGACTGCGAGTAGTCTACGGAGCATTTGATCCTGCCCGTCTTTCTACTTTCGCTCGCCAAGTCCAATTCGTCCTGGGTCTGGAATTCTGCTTCGCCGTCCTCGTCGTCGCTGTCGTCTCCGAAGCTGCTGACTTCGGCTTTGATGCCGCAGAAGATCTCTGTGCCGCCAAGCGTGATCTGTGATGAGCCGTTGGCTTGTGCAGCAACTCCTGTGTCGATGTCGAGAGATCGGAAGGCGAGAAGATGCCGTCCATCGGACCGTTGCGGTGGATTCGAGGTGAGGCCACGCAGGAAAAAGTCGCCCTGCGACCGTGAGAGTACTTGAGGTGGCATGTCGTAGCGATTCCTTGGGTGATGTTGGAAGGATGACGGGAAGAAGATGTGAGAGAGTATCGAGAAGGAGGTGCATGAGCTTCAGCGCCAACCAAAAATTTCGACTCAAGTGGAGGCACGTGACCTGTTCTGGCCTCGACACGCCTCAGCCAAACAACTCGAAAAAAGACCAACACAACTGCGCAAAATATCGCACTGCACCCTGAAGCCACCGCAGCCGGACGCGTCGCAGAGCTTTGAGGCTCAGCTCAAGTCTATCCCTGGCTAACCAACCCTTCCAAGGCTGAATGAACCGTTACCACCACCACCAGCATCAATCTCGACAGCTCATCACTTCCATTGCGCCTCATCCGCCAGCATGCCCGTCGCGGTATTGTCGAGATCATCCGCCTCGGGTCGTTCTTCCCGCGTGGCAGCTCCCAAGCCGCGCAAGGAGGTCACCGATCCTGCTCTCATCGCCTTGCATGGGTCCATCCCGCCTATCTTCCAGCAGGCTCAGCATAGTCTTGCCACCCACAGAAAGAACGTCGTATCTCTTTATCGCATCCACCAAAAGGTCGCCGCCATCACTGAACACGCATCCGACGGTCGTGTGAGACCCATCGGCGAGAAAGCATTCAACGAAGTTTTTGTCGGCTGTCTCGACCGTGTTCTGCCTATCAAGAAGGGTGTTCCCAATGCAGACCGCGTCTGCAAGTTCGTCGCCGCTTACGTTGCCTATGCACAGGAGCAATTCCGCCTTCAGGCGCGCGCAGACAAGGCCGAGGATGGCGAAGACGGGGACGATGACGAGGAAGAGGAGGATACTACAGCGACCCGCTTCGCCTCGCTTCTCCTCAAGCATCTCCTCAAGGGCTCTGTTGCCAAGAACAAGAACGTCAGATACCGATGCTGCGGCTGCATCGCCTTGTTCATCAACGGACTCGAAGACATCGAGGAGAATTTGTTCCTCACGCTCAAGTCCTTCATGCTCGAGCGCGCCAGAGACAAGGAATCCATCGTCCGTGTACAGGCTGTCATCGCCTTGACCAAGCTTCAAACCAACGAGGACGATGACGATGAGGAATCAGAGGAGATCAAGCAGGCACTCATCGAGACCCTCCGCTTCGATCCAAGCCACGAAGTTCGCAGGGCGGCTCTCAACAATCTCACTGCCAACAAGGAGTCCACTCCTCTACTTTTGGAGCGTCTACGAGACGTCGATCCCATCAATCGCCGCTGTGTTTACCTCGGCAGCTTCGCCGGCATTCTCAAGACGCAGATGCAGGCACTTCAGGGCCCGGGCGCCGCTCAAGCTGGGCCTTCCCGTCTTGGTCTCGACATCGACTCTGCGGGCGAGGTCATTCGCGTTGGTATGGGCGAACGAGAGCCCAGTGTCAAGCGCGCCGCTCAGAAACTCGTCAATGCCTGGTTCGACGCATGCGGAGGCGATCTGGTCGTCTTCCTCAACCAATTCGATGTCGTCGGCTCCAAGCACATCGAGACGGCGCTGCTCACTATCTTTGAGAGCCGTCCGGCGCTCGTGGCTCAGGTCACGTTTGACGCCGACGAGTTCTGGGCCAATCTGTCGCCTTCCACCGCTTTCTTGGCTCGTGTCTTCATCGACCACTTCAAACGCACCAAGAACGACCGTCGGCTGGAGGAGTGTCTGCCTGTGGTCACCGCCCTGGCATTCCGCATCCAGAAGGAATACAGTGAGCTCACACAGCTCCTCCAGCAGTACAATGCTATCGCCAACAGCGCCCTCATCCCCGAAGACGAGGCCGAGATCGCGCTCTTCACCATCCGCAACAAGACATTCGTCGTCTCACAGCTGCTCGGCATCGGTCTTGCATCCGACTACGGCGACGAGGCCGGCCGCAACAAGATGTTTGGTCTGGTGCGGGAGATGATCTCCGACATCGAGCTCCCCGAGGACCTGGTCCCCGCTTGTCTAGATGTTCTGCTCAAGCTGACCACGCAAAAGGACTTCATGCGCATCATTGTCGAGATCGTGCTGGACCTTGGCGATGAGGACGATGCCGATGCCGATGACCTTGACGAGACCGAGATCGACGACACGATGAGCGTCGACGGCTCTCAGCTCGCCCGCAAGAAGTCACGCAAGTCTATTCGAAGCAAGGAGACCTCGTCGCCGGCACACGACGCACTTGCTATCGAGCATCGATGCCTGACCATCGTCCGAGCCATGTTGGAACGAGTCGTTGGTGCCCTGCAGGAGAACACTGCCTTCCACGGTCTCATTCCGCAGCTGATTGCTCCCGCCGTCCGATCCAAGGAGACCCCCGTGCGCGAGCTCGGACTCATGTGTCTGGCCCTCTGCTGCCTGCTCGACCGCAAGCTTGCGCTCGACTCATTCCCGCTCTTCATCGACCAAGTTCAACGTGCTGACGGTCCGATCAAGCTGCGCGCTGTGCAGGCCGTCTTTGACTTGCTCATCAACCACACCATCCCATACCTCTGCTCTCGCAACCCGGCAGGCGAGGAGATGGCCCGACGTCAGATCATCTCGTATCTTCTCAGTCTGCTCGAGGATGAGGACCCCACCATTCAGAGTGCTGCCTGCGAGGGCATGGCCAAGCTCATGCTAACGGGTATGGTGGACGACGACGAAGCGCTCAAGAGCCTGGTGCTGATCTACATGTCTCCCGAGACCATGGCAAATCAGGAGCTGCGACAATGCCTCTCGTACTTCTTGCCCGTGTACTGCGGGTCTTCGAGTCGAAACCAGCGACACTTGCAACGAGTATTCCTATCTGTGTTACAGGTGCTGACCGAGGTGTACGAGGAGAAGGACGAGGATCAGGAGATGGTGACGCCCACGCAGGTCGGTCTGCAGCTCTTGGATTGGACTGATCCCGACAAGGTCATGATGAGGCCAGGGCAGGTGCGCGACGAGAACGTCCACGTGGATGTGGCCATCGAGCTGATCAAGGCCATGTACACGATTGAGGACACCAAGGACTGCAAGGATCGCAAGGTCATGTGCCAGCTGCTAGGCAAGGTCTTCCTGCCCGAAGAGCTCGACGATGCCAAGGTGCAGGAAGTTCTCATCCTGCTCACGGGCCTACACGAGCTCAACGACATCACCGACACTGTGACCAAGAATGCGCTGGGCCGATTCGAGGCCGCCTTCGCCAAGGCCTACACCGCGCAGGTGGAAGCTGGTCTTGACGGTCTTGACCTGGAGTCGACTCCTGCATTTGACAGCGTCAAGGCCTTCTTCGATGCGATCCAAGTCGACGTAGAGGAGGTCATCCAGGCGTACGCTCATTCACCGATCAAGGTGGCTTCCAAGACAAGCCGCAAGTCGACCTCGAAGGGCGTATCTTCGGCTCGGTCGTCGGAGGCCGCGTCGAGCAAGAAGAGCAAGAAGCGTCGGGATGACAGTGACGAGGAAGAGGAAGATGAGGACGAGGACAACGAGGAGGAGGAAGAGGAGGATGACGAGTGAAGCAGTGTATCGTATGGACTCTTCAGTGTACTGTTTCCCCTGTCACAGGATCGCAATTCGTCATGATGTGTCTTGCAGCTCTGCGTGGCAAGACTTTGTGTGTAGCGCAGTAGCTCCAGCTTCAGCCCCGGTGCTCTTCGTAAGACCCTGAGCGAGCTGAGAAGTGTCAATCATAGTACATAACCCAAGAATAAGAATACAAAGCTACACTACGCCGATCGCTGGAACCCTCTCGACAAGAACACAGCCGACGTCACCGCCGCGCCCAACAGCAACCCTGTGAAGCCAGTCAGGTAAGGACTTGGATATCCAACCACGGGACACGTCCCAAAGAGCGCCTTCTTCATCCTGACATCGCTTGGCAAGAACGGCAATCCGCCCTTGACCTCCTTATAGCTTGGCACGTAGCCTGACTCCCAGCCGTCGAGGATCTTCTTCATATCCGCCTCGTTCATGGTGCAGATCTCGTCGAGGTTCCACTTTTCGCAGACCTCGATCATCCAACGCATCCTCCTTGCGCCGATCTCCGGGTTTGGCGCGCGCTTCCTTAGCATGCCTCTGAGCTTTCCGACATTCGTAATGGCCTGACCGACGTTTTTGGGAATAGCAGCTTGGATCTTCTGCCTTGTCTGCGAGGCGATCTTGGGACCCTGACCTCCCGTGGAGACCATGACCTGCAGTGGGCCATTGCGGATGAGCGAGCCAAAGTAGAAGTCGCACTCCGGCGGCACGTCTGCTACGTTAACCGGAATGCGTCGATCACGGCATTCGTAGCAGACCTTCTTGGACAGCTCAATGTCGTCGATCGCAGTGAGCACCATGTCGTACTGATCGAGGATTTCGGGATGGGCCGGGTCGTACATGCCGTCGATGTAGTTGGAGACGACTTTCTCGGTGAAGATCCGATAGCGCATCTCGTCGCACAGACCGGAAGAGGGACACATGACGTCGAGAATGGCATCTGCATCGAGGACGTTGACGAGTCGCCCGGCTGCAACGGGCCCACCACCCACGATGAGCACCTTCTTGCCCTTGAGCTGCCAGGCTATCAACAGGCCACCGCCAGGACAGAGGCGCGGGTATTTGTCGGCTTCATTCGCTACGTCCTCCTTGGAAGGGTTCCTCGATGTCATCGTTGCGTGTGTGTGAGAGAGATGCAGAGGGGTGTCGGTGAAGGGAGGTGGAAGATGTGTCGAGGCCGCGAAGGTGGACAACCTTATCTTTGGCCGAAAAATGGAATTGGCATGAATTTGTGGTCTTGGCCAGCTTAGCTGAAATGCATCGAGCTGCAGCTGGCTACATCACGTGATTGAACATCGAGCATCAACTTGCACCACTTTCACTGCACTCTCACATGCTCTGTAGCTCTCGCTGTAGCCTCAATCCAGCCTGAAGGATCTTCAGGACTTGGGATTCCCTTCAAGAAGTGCAAGATACCTATAAAAGCAAGAACAGCAAAGCGGATAAGGTCGATGATGAAAGTGCGGAACGCGGATGTGACCGTCTCAAAGTGGAGGAATTAAGTCGCCGTTCTTCCTCAGAAGAAATCACGACAGAACTGAGCAGCACTTCCCACTTACCTTTCTCCATCACATTGCATTCATCTCCTCTTCGGCTCGGCGGCATTGTCTCGACCTCACAGCTTCATTCAAGGCTCTGCAGGCACACAGACGCGCATCGGTGCGGGTGGGTCGAAATCACTTCGTCGGCATGTCATCAGCATACGCAAAGCAGAAGCTCAAGCAGTCGCGCGATGCTTTGGCTAAGAAGGACTGGTTCGCGGCGGCAGAAGCTGCCAACAGCGTGCTCGAGCAGGAGGGCGACAATTATAACGCAAACGTCTTCCTCGGTCTCGCCCTGTTGAACCAGGAAAAGTTCGACGAGTCCGAAGCGGCCTACCTCAAAGCCACGCGCGATCATCCGACACAGCTGCTGGCGTGGCAGGGACTGCAAAAGTTCTACGACCAGCGCAAGAGCTGGGACAAGCTCCGCGATGTGCTTTATAAGCTCATGGATCTATACAACGACGCAGGGGATGCGACAAAGTGCGCAGAGGCCTTTCAGCGATTGTTGGCGTTAGAGAGGGAAGAGGGCGGACGCAGGCGCGTCATCGATACGCTCTCGCTGCTGCTCCACGACTCCAAGTACCATGACCTACTATCGACGCTAGAGGTACCGGACCAGACACAACCGGAAAAGTCGACCACCTTCGAAACACAGATGGCTATTCACGTCAAGAGTCTTGAAACGCTACTGGAGCTCATCGACCTGTCGCAAAAATGGGAGGCCGACACAATACAAAAGGAGTCGGACAAGCGCAGAATGCGTCTCGACGGAGCCAACAAGGGCAAGGAGGCTCTTACGAACCAAGTACGCCTCGAGGTGTACTCGGACTCGCGGCTGCCAGGCCTCTACGAGTCGGTCCTGTCGCATCCCAAAGCAGAGGACGAGCTTCGCATCGAAGTCGAGGCCAAATTGCTCCGTCATCGCTTCGCTTTGCTCAACTCGTACCCACCGAAGCAGCTGGCAAGAGAATCAGCTCCTACAGGCACAGCAGCCGTCGATCGCAAAGTGCAGGAGAAGCAGGAGCAGGCCGAGCAAGAACAGGAAGAATCGAAACGCAGTCTGCGGGACGAGATCCTCAAGCTCGCCAACGGCATGGTCATCATTGGTTTGCCGGACGAACTGGCATGGGAAATCGATCTCGAATGGACACCCGTCCTCTCACTGGCAGACCTGCGACTGGAACAGGTCCGCAAATTCATCAACCTCTTCCCACGATCAGGCCGCACCAAAGCGTTCCGCTCCTACCTGCTGCTCATCAAGGACGAGCAGTATCTGCACGAGATCAAAGAAGAGGAGAAGCGCGCCGACGTAGAGATCGAACTACCAAAGTCACAGGACGATCTGCTCAACCTCGCCATCGACGGTCTCGAGGAATGCCCCAATTCGGTGCTTGCGCATCGCATCGCGGCCGCGCTGTATCTTCTCGATCGAGACTTCCAGTCCGCATCCGAAGTGGCGACCTCTGCGCTTCACGTCGTTGATCGCATCGAGTCGGACACCGCCGTCGATCTCGCTCAGTCTCGCATCGGCATCAACAAAACCCTCCTGTCAGCTCTGACGCACCTCCATCCACCACAGCACCACGCCAGAGCCTCTCGTCTAGTCGACAGCGCCCTCGAAGCAGACCCCTCCGACATCGACACTCTTCTTGCAAAAGCATACATCGAGCAGGCTGCCTTCCGCTGGGACTCGGCGCGCACCCTCTTCGAGCGCGTCCGAACCATCTCCGCCACCCAAGACCCCGCCTCGTACAAGAATCGCGTCGAACGCATTCTCTCGCTCAGCACCGATCCTTCCCAAGAAGCAAGGATTGAAACCGCCTGGTGCGACGTCAACACCAACAACCTCGAGTCCGCCAAAACAGAGATGGAAGCCATCCTCTCCCGCATCGATCCGATCTCGTACGAGGGTGCCACGGCGGAGCTGCGCGCCAAGCTGTGGTGGCGACTCGGCCGATGTCTCTGGCTGATGGGTGGAGAGTATCGGTCCGACCCCGCGCATGCTTTCACGGCGTTCATTACGGCGCTCAAGCGCAACCCGGCGTTCGCGCCGGCATACACGTCGCTCGGGTTCTACTACGAAGACGTGCTCCAACCGGCCGATCTGGTGCGCTCGAGCAAGTGCTTCCAAAAAGCGTTCGAGCTGGACGCGCGAGAGGACGAGGCGGCGCGACGGCTCGCGGTGGGTTTTGCCGAGGAGCAAGAGTGGGACTTGGTCGAAGTGGTTGCGCGTCGAACGATCGAGGGTGAAGGTGGTGCGGACGCTATTGGTGGTGGGACGTCTGCAGCGGTGCATGCTTCAAGAAGGCATCTGTCGCGCAACGCATGGGCCTGGAAAGCCATCGGCAACGTCGAGGTCGCCAAGAAGCGGTTCGAGGAGGCGATTTTGGCGTTTCAGATTGCGTTGCGTGCCGAGCCGAAAGATCAGGTCTCGTGGCAGAGGCTCGGTCAGGCGTACGCGTTGGCGGGGAGACATGTCGCTGCGCTAAAGTGCTTTGCCAAGTGTCTCGAGCTGGTTCAGGCTGCGGGTGATGCAGAGGACGACGGCTGGCAGGCCAAATACAGCATCGGCGACGTGCATCTCGAGCTAGGTAACTTCGGCACTGCCATTGACACTTTCAGCGAGATCCTCGCCAGCCATCCGGACGAACTCGGCGTCAGGGTGGCGTTGAGCAACGCATTCCTCCTCTCATCCCGTCAGGAGCTGGTTACGGGCTACACGGAGCGCGCGGAGATCTCGGCGATCAGCGCGATCCGCGAAGCAGCACACGCACTGCTCACGCACGACAAGCACCTCCGTTCGGCATGGAAGGTCGTCGCAGACGCCGTGTTCCATCTGTCCAAATTCGGTAGTCTTCATCGATCCACCGCGCTACTGTCATCCGATGGAGGCGGGGAGCTCTCTCCCCTGCTCAAGCTGGCCAACGATCTGGAGACGGATGCAAAGCTCCCCTCGATCAGCGTCGTCACCTACCCCAAGCTCTCCCTCCCCTCCGCCGACGTGACGCCGTTCACCATTCTCCAACTCAGCGTGTGGCTATACAAGCTGCGGGTAGTGCTCAACGCGTCCGACGATGCAGTGGCGGGCAGCGCATGGGCCGACCTCTCCGTCGCCCTCTACCGACTCTCCCTTTCGCTCCTCGATCCTTCCAACCACACTCATCTCACCGCACCTGCATTGGCACCGCTAGTGGACCACGCAAAGTCCACCAGCGACGCAGCGCGCCTCAGCGCAATCGGCTGCATCAAGCAAGCCCTACGCCACACTCCCGGTGACGAATCCTACTGGCTCCTGTTGGGCAATCTCACCTTCACCTCCTCCGCCAGTCTCGCGCAGCACTGCTTCATCCGCGCCATCGAATCCACACCCAAAAGTCCGATCGGCTGGACGCATCTCGGTTTGCTCTATCTGCATCACGGGGACGCAGAGTTGGCGAATGAGAGCTTTATAAAAGCCCAAACGGCTGATCCGGAATACGGGGCTGCGTGGGTGGGGCAGGCGTTGGTTGCGCGTCACTTTGGGGACGTCAAGATGAGCAGAGGGTTGTTGGAGCATGCTGTTTCGCTAACCGATGGAAGTTTGAGCGAGGCCGGCCTAGCGCTGGGCCAGGCGGTGCTAGCCGAGCTTGGGGTAGGGGAAACCACCCTGAGTGGAGCGAGCTTCGCTCTGGGGAGATGCGTGGAGGGTGCACCAGGGGATGCGAGCGTGCTGCACCTCAGTGCGATGTTGTGCGAACGACTGGGGCAGACGGATCTGGCCAGCGAGCGGGTGGAATTGGCAGCGAGGGTGTTGGAGGAGAGGTATGAGAAGACGGAGGTGATGGAGGTGGCACAGCAGTATGCGGTGGCGGAGGGCAATTTGGGGCGGATTCGACTGGGGAGGGGCGATTGCGAGGGGGCCAAGGGGGCGTTTGAGGCGGCGATCGGGCTGTTGGATGGCGAGATGGATGGCGATGGGGGATTGGCACCCGAGGCGGTAAGGGCGGCGAAGATGGGTGCGCAGCTTGGGCTGGCGCTTGCACACCACTTCACCGGCCAGCCCGATGCGGCGCTGGCGAGCGTGCGGGAGGCACTCGACACGGCAACCGGCAGCGCTGCGGAACTGGACCTCACGCTGCACCTTGCCAAGCTGCTGTTCGCCAACTCAGGCACGGGGGCGGTGGAGGAGGTGAAAGAAGCCCTGTTCGCCAACATTCAGGGGAAGACAGTGCACGTGCCGTCCATTCTGGCGCTTGCCGTTCTTGGCCTTGCCAGTGGCGATGCGGATCTGCTAGATGCCGCGCAGTCGGAGTTGGAGTCGCTGCAACAGAGCGGAGACGCGGGCGGGGAGGTGGATAGTGTCGTGCGGCTGTTGGTCGCGATCAAGACGCTCGGCGGGGGCGCAGGCGGCGTGGAGGCGCTGGAGCTCATCCACGGGACCATCCAGAGCGCGATCGGAAGAAGGGACAGTCCACGCTCAGTGTTCAATCTCCACCTCGCGTACCTCAGCCACGCCCTACACGTCGTCGAGAAGGAAGGAAAGGAGGTGTTGGAGGAGGAGAGGAAGGGTCAGGTGCTGGCATACGCGAATTTGACCCAGGACCTCTTTGACACGTACGCAGGTGCTTGGCCGGAGGTCGAGAAGGGTAGAGCGAGGTTGGGCGTCCTGCTGGCGAGGATGAGAGGCGTGTTCGGGGATGAGATGGGTGGTGACGGGAAGAGGAAGGGTGGGGCATTGGTCGAGCTGGCCATTGTGGACGCGCCGTGGGTGCTCATGGCTAGCGCGTAAGATCAATCATCCCGGTCACACCATGTTGTCATCGCTGTACGAAGATTCAACGCATTCAAACAAAAGCTGCTTCACATTCACTGCGTCGACCGACTGCATCGCAGATGAAATTGACATTCGAGGAAAGAACGCTATCAAAAGGCAAAGATAACGCTCCTCCCACTGCCCTTGACAAAGTCGAACCAATCCACAGTATGCCCAGTCGAGTCCATCTTGGCCCAGTAGTCCCTCACCACCTGGATGTTGTCCCTGTTCGCCCTCTCCAGCCCCAAACTCTCGAGATGGTGGATGCAGAACTGCCGGTCGGCGCGCGTCAGCGCCACAGTGCAACACAAGAACCACACGGTGCACATCTCCCAGCTGGCCACATCGAGCCACATTTGGAACGGACCCGGTCCGGCGGTGTCGTCTTCGTTGGCGGCTGATTGGAGCAAGGCGGGATCGTCTTCGTCTATGCCAAAGGTGGCGTTGATGACGGGATCGGGGTGGTTGGCATCGCGGACATCGTTGGTGGGGTCGGAGGCGCGCAGGCCGCCGACGTAGTTCGGCGGGGCGGGACGGTGCGAGGTCGCGCTGCCGGAATTGCGACCGGCTGCGAGGGGCGCGTCGGTGAAGATGGGTGCGATGGGCGAGAAGCTTTGGATCTTCATCATCTTTGCCAAACGAATGATCTCGTGCAAGATGTTCTGCAGTTCCGGATGCAGCGGGCCCCGACGGTGCACGGCTTGCAGGAGATACAGCCGCGCGGTCTGACGCCAGATCTCTTGCAGCGCAAAGGCTCGAACACGCAACGACGAAGAGGTGTTGGGGTCGGTCCAGGGCGGCAGAGACATGACCTTGCGTTCGATCTCGCGTGACCTTTCGGCTACTTCGGTCTCTGAAGGGCGACTCGGCTGGGCCACCGTGCTGCTGATCGGACCCCAGACATCCGCAGACAGGTCCGAGATCAGCTTGAAGCACGTCAGCAGCTCCAACGAGACAAGCGAGATCCTGCCGAAGAACGGCTCGTCCTTGCTCGTCGAGGCATCCTCGCCACCTGCCTGGTTGCTAGTGCGTCGAAGCCTCGATAGCTGGGCAGGTTTGCGCTTGGACACGTCCCGAGTAGTGACGTGCGTCCGTTTGCCTCGGTCCGAGACCGTGTCGAGCACGTCCGTGTAGACAGCTGTCAGCAGCATGATTGATACAAACGAGCCCTTCTTTTCTTCTTCCGCTGCATGATCCATGTCAATGCCTTCACGCTGCATGACCTTGCCCAGCTCCTGGGTGAGCTGACGAGCCCTCTCGGCGCCGGCAAAACAGAGACACGCCCAGCGCAAGTTGATGATGGCGCACAGCTCCTGGTCCAGCGTCAAGTCCTCTCTACTGCGCTCGAGTTCGGCTTTGGCTATGTCGAACCACAGCTCGACGGTAGGCTCTTCCACTATCTGGCCCTTGAACGCGTCACGTGACGGATTTTCCATCTCTTGGATCTTGTCCTCGACGGTGGACAGCTTGCCCGTCAGAGTGCGCGCGGGTGGAAGTGGAGATCGTCCATTGGGATCACTTCGACGAGAGAAGCTGGTGGCTCCGTAGCGCTCCGCACTGACCTTGCCCTGAGCGGACAAGTAGGACCTGTCACCACTGCGTCGACGCTCGATGGTGCTGATCTCTTCTTCGGGCTCGTCGTCTTCGTCATCGGCGTCATCGTCGTCGTCCATGCGCGAGTGAGTCATGTCTTCGTCGTTCGAGTCCTCTGCGACATCGGAACGGATGGACTGCGAGTCGTCATCGTCGTCGTCGTCCTCGTCGCCCGGGAACATATCGACGATAGTTTGAGACATGCCTTCTCCGGACGGTTGTGCAGCAGCTTTGCCGTTGTGTACAGTGTCGGTGGCGAGGGTGGTCCAGTTGGGCGCTGCATTCTTGGCCTGCTGAGCTGGCGGTTTTGGATTGGCTTTTTGCGAGTCTGCTTTGACGCGCTGCACCAGTTCGTGATACGACAAGCAGACGACCACGACGGATGCTCGACATGCTTTGCTGGAACGAATGACGCTCATCAGGTGGTCCACGGCGGCCTGCCGCTTCTTATTGGAGAGAAGCATGAGCGTGGCATGCCAGAAGCGCTCGTAAATGGGACTGTACTTGCTGAGGAGCGAGTCGATGGCGTCTGAGTCGAGGAGCTTGCGGTAGCGGCTTGAGGTCCGTCCAGGTGTGGGCGCTTTACCTTGGCCGGTTTTGGACTGTGCTGAAGCAGGGGTTTCACTGCTAGGTCCAGCAGCTCTCGTTTGGGAAGCAGAGGATGACGCTGTTGGCTCGCCGTTCTTGCTCTGTGCGCCTGGTGCCGATGTGGCCACGTGCGATGGCTCTTGGGTGGACATGGGTGCGTTGTGTGTTTCGAGAGGAGACGACGAGTAGCCAGCCGCGGAGGGAGTGGGGTTCGAGGTTTGCGGTGCTGTGGCGCCGCCATCTGTACCGACCAGAGGACCGGTGAGGCTCATGAGTTCGCTGACAAAGTCGTCGAGCATGATGTTGTCCATGCTGTTGGTGTATCCTTGATTCCATTGGCTGGAACCTGGCGCAGATGGGACTGCACCGGCATTGCTGTTGAGCATGTTCAAGATGGCATTCATGTCGACGGAATTCGTCGGGGCTGACGCATTGGCGGTTTGGTTCGCGATTGTGGCAGCGGCAATGGCTGGATCGACCGCACCGTTGGTGGAGCCTGACGGCCAAATATTGGGCCGATTATATCGAACCGCCGATCGGTTCAAGACGGTGTTGTTTTGGCTCATCCATGCTAGCTGGTTGGCGATGGCGGGGTTCTGCAGGCTGGGGAAAGTGGCAACATTGGGAAGCTGTTGCTGCGGAGCTTGCTGCAAAGAAAAGTGAGCCGATGCGTTCCAAGACTGTGTTGGATCCAAGATGGAAGCATACGCGTTGGCCGATGCGTCGAAGGTGTTGGAGCCTAGCGGAGCAGCCGAAGTGGTTGTTGCTGCGGATGACACATCAGCGTGATGAGCATTGCTGGCAGCACCGACACCGCGCGCAGCTCGAGAGGAAGTGTCGGCTGCTCCGGAAGTGGGATAAGGAGACGGACGTTGTCGCTGCTGCTGCGGCGTAGCTCTTTGCGGCGTAGCGTTCGAACTGAGCTCGCAGTGGATACCACGGTCAGCACATCGATTGCAGGATGTTGCGCCGTTGTGACGAATGCGAAAGTCCTCGTCACACTTCTTGCGGCGCTGCTTGCAGGTGATGCATCCGCTGCGTGATCGTACCTCGCCAGGCTTCCTCGTGCGCGGAGCAGGAGGCGAGCTTGGCCCCGCTGTGTCGTGGCCTTGCGCCATGGCTGTGTTCTCCAATGCCTGCTTCGCGGCGGGACTCGACGCCGAGCAATACGGTACTCAGGTCTGAGAGTGGTGAATGCTCGGTGCTGAGCAGGTTGCGACTGTGATACAGTATTTTGAAGATGATGGACGACGTTTGAGCACTTGGTACACCAGAATTGAGTTGACTCAGGGCACTGAAAGAAGCGTCTTGACCGGGCTGTGCGTTGGTGAGTGAAGGACCCTGGCTCATCTTCGCAACACCCCCCGACGCGTTGAGTTCTTGAAGACATTCGAATCGGATCATATCTTTGGCCAAATCGGCAGATTCAACTCGATAAGGTTTCGTGATTTCCGAGGAGAAGCCGGCAACGCGCTTTTTTGGCTTGTGCGGCGAGACGCATGCACGCACAGCAACGTCATCCATCAACGGCAAAGGGTTTCCGGCGGTGGCCGTGAGTCGAAAACCCTACCTGCGCTTAGAGTCTGTTGGTGGTTTCGAAATTTTGGCCCATTCCACGGTACGATACCGGGACAGATGTCCCGAATTGTCATGACATTGCGGTAGTGTGCCTGATCTGCTCAGAGACGTAAGATGCGTGACGTGAAGAGGCGAAGAACCAATGTGCCGATACGTCAGACGTGCAGCTCCAATCCTGGTGTCGCTTCACTGTTCCCGCCTTTTGACTTCGCATCAGGAAGAGTTGGACTTATCCGACTGGATGCAGTCACGGTCAGACCCTCGTTCATATATGTAAACTTCAGAGTTCGTTCTTCTTCTCTTCCTCTCTTCGTCGCACCTCTCCGTCAATCTCGCCCACACACCAAGTGAGCACTGTCAGCTCACAGCGGCTCCACTTCGAGATGGCAACTACTACCACCGCTGGGTCGCGAGACTCTTCGCAGCCTCCTATCTCCAACGACGAGGCTCTCCGTCGCCTTGGTATGAAGGGCGGCGACTCTTCATCCAAGCCCGCCTCGTCCTCGAAAGGCGGCTACAAGATGGCTCCAGGTGCCCTCACTCCTGCTTTCGGTCTCGGCGACTATGCGCGCTTCTTCGCTTCGGGTGCTCTCTGCGCTACAATCACTCACGGTGCCATGACCCCCATCGATGTGGTCAAGACGCGAATTCAACTCGAGCCAAAGGGCTCCAAAGAGACCATGGTGTCCATGGGTCGCAAGATCATCTCGTCCGAAGGTCCTGCAGGTCTCTTGACCGGCTTTGGTCCTACTGCTGTCGGCTACCTCATCCAAGGTGGTGCGAAGTTTGCCGGTTACGAGTTCTTCAAGAAGAAGGGTGTCGATTGGGCTGGTAGCGACGAGGCCGCTTCGCAATATCGTCAGGTCATCTACCTCGGTGGTGCCTCTGCTGCTGAAGTGATTGCGACCACACTTCTCACACCGCTGGAAGCTGCCCGCATTCGTCTCGTCTCGGAACGTGGCTACGCAAAGGGTCTGGTCGGTGCCATTACTCGCATGGCTGGTGAGGAAGGTCTCGCTGGCTTCTATGCAGGATACGCTCCCATCCTCTGCAAGCAGGTCCCTTACGCCATCGGCCAGTTCGTCACCAACGAGTGGGCTCACACCATGGTCGACTCCACCATCTCGAAAGAGGAGCGCGAAAAGTACGGCAAGGCGGGCGAGGTCACCATCCAGCTCGGTTGCGGTATGGTAGCCGGTGTGGCTGCTGCTGTGCTCTCTCACCCTGCTGACACTCTACTCAGCAAGATCAACAAGGGCGGAGGAGGAAAGGGCAGCGCCATGACCAAGCTCGTTCGTCTGGCCGGCGAGACGGGACCCGTCGGTATCTGGGCCGGTCTGGGTACCAGGGTGCTGATGACCGCCTTCCTCGTCTCAGGACAGTTCTTGCTGTACGCACAGATCGGCCAGATGATTGGCAAACCTCCTGGTATCGAAATCCGTTCCGAGACCGAGAAGCAGCAGTAGCGATAGAGCGCTTAGAATTGGTGTCCGGCCTATGTATTTGTACCTCAGTTTGCAACAAGTATCTTCTCATGACCATGCGTGTGTGTCGTTCATCTCTGACTGGTGATGCAGGTTGGTGACGGCGACGGAAATTTTGGCTCAGGGTCCAAGCATGCAGCTCCAAGAAGAATTCGCTCGGCCAAGTTCAAGCGTGCGCACAGTCCGTGACACAAGCTTGGAACCTCGTCCGTGCTCAGGGCACTCCAGTCCACTCACCACTACCACCATCAACGACCGCTTAGCGAGGCGCAGTCTCAAGTGTCCAGACTTGTGCTCACTCAGAGCGAAGTAGCCGCGCAGCTGATATGAGCCAGGGGGCAGCTGGCACAACGCCCGCAGCTTCCAACTCGTCTAGCTCATCCAGTCGCAATGCGGTGACGGCAGCAGGCTCGTCCGGGGGCAAAAGGCACAAGAAGGTCTCGTCAGTCCGCTTCTTGCTTCTCAACCTGCTGTTTCATGTCGTCTACATCTCTGCCATCTTCGATATCTACTTTACTTCGCCAGTGGTACATCCCGAACCGCGCTTCAGTGTCAAGGGTACCGTACATTCCGAGAGCAGCACAGACCATCTGGAACCTCCGGCGGAGCGTCTTGTACTCATCGTCGGTGATGGCTTGCGTGCCGATATTCTTCTCAAGAAGCACACCGCGCAACTCTTGCCAGCATGGTCAGTGACGCGGGATGCTGCCTACAGTCAAGATGGTGTGATGGGCTCATGGGTCTCTTTCGCAAAGGACCCTCTTCGACAACCGTATCCGTATCCTCTGGCGCTCGAGTCCAACAAATCAACTCAAGGGATGGGCTTGATAGCTGGTAAGATCCCGCATGCAGCCTTTGCAGCACCTTTCCTGCGCAGCGTAGCTCAAAGTCGAGGCGTATGGGGCCTTAGCCATACTCGAGTGCCCACTGAAAGCCGACCCGGGCATGTCGCGATGATCGCTGGCATGTACGAGGACGTCAGTGCCGTTTTGAAAGGGTGGAAGCTCAATCCGATCGCCTTCGACTCGCTGCTCAACCAATCGAGTCACTCATTCGCCTTCGGCTCTCCAGACATCGTGCCCATGTTTGCCGTCGGTGCAGCATCAGACCGCGTAGACATGTCGACCTACCACGAAGACGACGAGGACTTCACCAAAGATGCCTCGCACCTGGACCTGTGGGTCCTAGATCGGTTCAAAGAGCTTCTTGGTAAGGCCAAAGACAACAAGGAGCTCGATGCAAAGATGCGCAGTCCAGGCACCGTCTTCTTTCTGCACTTGCTTGGTCTCGATACCACCGGCCACACCTACCGGCCTTTCTCTCAAGAATACGTTGGCAACACGATTGTGGTCGATGCTATCGCTCGCGAGGTCGAGCGACTGGTAGACGACTTTTATGGAAGAGACGGCAAAACTGCCTTTGTCTTTACAGCAGACCACGGCATGAGCGTCAAGGGCAACCACGGCGACGGTGATCCTGACAACACGCGTACTCCCCTTGTCGCGTGGGGGGCTGGAGTTCGTCGACCTCGGTCAGCGAACCAGACACAGGTCCAAGCGTCAAGAGCAGCGGCAGAGGACGATGCATACTTTGCCGACTGGCACCTGGACGATGTTGTGCGCGCTGACGTGGACCAAGCCGACATCACGCCGCTCATGGCCACGCTGCTAGGCATTCCTGTTCCAGCCAACTCGGAGGGCCGTCTGCGCCTCGACCTGCTCGGCCTCCCTGACGAGCATAAAGCTCGCGCTCTGCTTGCAAATGCACAGCAAGTGCTCGAGACCTATCGAGTCAAGCACAACTCCCGAGCCAGAAGAATGGTACGATACACTCCCTTCGCGCCTCTGTCACAGCACATCGATGAAGCTCGCCCGGGCGAGACGAGAGTCGGCCAGATCCAAGAGCACATCGAGAAAGGTGACTTCGAAATGGCTGTGAGGATGAGCAATGCGCTCATAGACGATGCCGTCGAAGGGGCACACTATTTGCAAACGTACGACTGGCTTTTGCTCTGCTCGATCGTAACATTGGGCTACCTCGGCTCGATGGTCCACGCCTTTTCTTACTTGCTTCGGAATCACATGCTGCCCGAAGAGGTAGTCGATCGAATTGCCGCTCCCACTCTTCCAAATGCTAAGTCATGGCCAAGCTTGCTCAAGATAGCTGTCGCGCCCGTCTCAGGAGCCGTGTTTGCCCTTTTCGCGGCGCAAGAGATGCCTTTCTCGTACTATCTCTATGCAGCATTAGCCTTCTTCTTCTGGGGCCGCATCATCGACGAGCTTCCCCTCTTTTCGGCTGCAATCCGCTACATGTCCCGGGTAGAGGGAGGCTTCTCTGCAGTCAAGACGGTATTCATGCTGGTATCCAGCTTGGCGATTCTTGAGCTGATGGCGGTCGGCTATCTGCATCGAGCAGCTTGGTTTATCGGATTCCTGTTGATAGGCTTCGCTTGGCCAGCTTTCACACTGACTGCCGACTTCAAGTCGGACAACGAGGGACTCATTTTGGTCTGGGGTCTGTCTTGTCTAGCGACTGGTCTATTTACAATCGGCGATGTCAACAAGGAGGAAAGCATCTTACTGCTGATGCTCAGCGCTGGAGCGTTTCTTGCCGCCGGGCTCCTCGTTCTTTCGCGTCCTCAACTCTTCTTTCCAAGAGGAAGCGGTGTCGCTGCTACAGCAAAACTTCCTCACGACACGACTCGTCAAAACGAGAGGCAAGCCGTCGCCGACGAAGCATGCTCGCTCCATCTCAACCACACCCTTCGAACCATTCGCGTGCAATTGGTAGTGCTGGTTGTCACTGCCGTCACGACCGCCGTCTCTGCGCGATCGCTCCAACTCAAGCGAGGCCTGCCCTTTGCAACGCAAGCTCTGGCCTGGATCTGTCTCGCGATCAGCCTCGTCTTTCCCTTTGCCTACGGATTTCGACAGGCGATACTGGTGAAGGGTGACAAGAGCGAATCATCGAGAAGAGTGGTCAGGCAGTCGAGCAGCCAACGATTGGCGATTGTGATCTTCGCCTTTGCTCCCGTATTTGTTCTGCTTTCGCTTCGGGACGAAGTGCTTTTCTTTGGGTGCTACACTGTCACTCTGCTGGTGTGGGCAAAGATGGAAGGCTCGCTACACGAGCAGCAATTCGAAGGCAGAACTCAGCAGTCTGGCAGGGCAAGAAGGCTGCTGCAGCTGCGCGAGCTTCGAGTGAGCCTCTTCTACCTCTTCTTCCTTCACGTCGGGTTTTTCGGCACGGGCAATGTGGCGTCGATTTCGTCGTTCTATCTCTCACCCGTCTATCGGCTGGTCCCGATCTTCAACCCATTCCTCATGGCGACACTGCTGCTGCTCAAGATCCTCGTTCCCTTCCTCATCCTCAACGCAGTCTTTTCGCTGTTGGCGACGACCCCTCCGCTTCCGTCCACCGCAACGACATCCAAGATGTCGATCGAGCGAGGATTCAAGCTGTGTGGAGAGACAGCTCCTGGAGGGCTGGGTCTCGATTCGGCGCTGAGCTTGGTGTTCGGAGCGGGCATCGCAGCAGACGTGCTCGCTCTCAATTTCTTGTTCGCGGTCAAGAGCGAGGGGAGCTGGCTCGAGATTGGGCAGACCATCACACATTTTGTCATGGCCAACCTGTTGCAGATCTTCATGCTTGCTCTGGCAGCCGCGAGCTCAGCAATTATTGGTCACTCCTAAGCTTTGTAATCTTCTGCCTTTCGTGCGAACTCAATAGACGACCCACTTCATAACGTGTCCTCATTCACTCCTTGAGCGGAACAGACTTGATGTGGGCTGAGTCGAGCTGCGCTTCCTGAACGTGATTCTGTCAGAAGGCTGATCAGAGCGTGGGAAAGAACCTTATTCGTCGTGGACAGGCCGTCTCGATGAATTGCGCAAAGTCACGTCGGAAGTCGGAGGAGCACTTTGCACGGCGAGAAAGCCAGATTTTGGGCTTCGCGTCTCAGACCCTGGCTGGCTGCTGCTGCTGCTGCTGCTGCTGCTGCTGCGCGAAATCTGTTTTGAGCTCATGAACGCTCAAACGGGAATGCATACATCAGACCCTGCGCTTTCGCTTTCCCTCCTTCCTTCCGCTCGTCTTACACCGATCCCTTTCCTTCCGCCCCTCCCTATCTCCATCAACACACCTCTCCGCGTTACCGATCTCACCCAATCTACGCTTGAGCCTCCAGCCGATCGCAGGCGATCCGGTCTTGACTTAACACCCTGATCGGCCTTTCGACTCGGCTTGATCGTACCTGCTCCTCCACGACCTCGGCATTACTTCCCTGGTAGCGAGCTCACCCGCGAACTTCCTCCCGCTGCTCTTCGCCGTCTCTCTCATAGCCGCCGCTCGACTGGATGTATGCTGCGGTGTGGTATGCCTATGGTCTGAGATCCTCCACATTGGCACGCTGGACGCCATCGCCCTTTCGAGTCACATTCTCGCCCCTCCTCCATCAGCGTCTACAGGCAACGGGCGACGCATGCACGAAGTGGAAACTTCGCTCTACTGCAGAACCCGCGCGATATCTGGAACCGCTTCTGTTTGCCAGTGCATATAGCGAAGCACACGCCTCATACTCAGCAACATGCCTGCCCCCTGCGTGGCACTCGATAGCACCGATGAGGATGAGGACATCAAGCCTCTCCGCTCTCTCAACGTCAAATCTCGGCCAACACCAAATTCCGACTCCGAATTTGATCAGCTTGAATCAGATGCCGAGGACGAGCTGGTAGAGACGCCATCCTACTTCACACGATCTAGTGCTCGAAACCCTCGACCGGAGGCGGTAGGCGACGGCTCCCGAGCTAAGAGGAACGAGGAGATCAAGAGGCGTGACGAAAAGAAGAGACGCAAAAGGGAGAAGGCAAAAGAGGAGAAGCGCAAGCGCAGGAAGGCCGAGAAGAAGGCGGCCACCATCGCTGCCAGTCAGAATGGAGATCGAAATGGTCACTCTCGACCCGGAGACGCACTCGCTACCAGCCCATCGTCAAGCACCATCTACGACCGGAATGGCACACAAAAATCTCAGGCTGTAGACGTCGTCGAAATAGCAGACGACGACGATGCACCTCTGCCTTCGCTCACTGTCCAGCCCGCACTTCAAGACCAGGCTCAAGTATCTCGTGCTCCTCAGCCGCAGCCAATGAGCGAGGATGAGGTCGAGCTTATCGCAACGCAACCCTCCGCCGAGCTTCCAACCTCAGCTACCTCAGCAACCACCAGATCAAGCTCGGTACCCATCTTGACCGACTCTACTCAGCACGAAGCCCCTTCTCAGCGCGCTGCCTCAGTCATCCCTCAAAGTACCAGCAATGCGTCTGGCAGTGCTGCCGCCCCTATCCAGTTTGCCTCGTCAGATGCGCCTTTTCAACCACCCTCCGCAGCTCAGCAAGACGATCTCCTGAGCTCGGACGTCAGCTCTGTCGTTGTCACCGACTCGGACGAGTTCGATTCTCAAGAAGAATTTTACACCAGTTCCGAGGGGTCTCTTCATGGCTCGGACAGCGAGGAAGGGCTCGGGCATTGGAATGAGTACGATCAGGAGCATTGGCAAGGTTCGACCGCGCATCTCGATGATGCTTACGATGGAAATTTCGTTGTTCGGGCGGTTCTCCGCCATCGGAAGAATCCGAGACGAGGCTTCCTCCAGTACCGCACTGTCTGGCGGGGTTATCCGCCTTACTCGAGCACCTGGGAGCAGGAAAGCAATTTCAACCAGGCGAAGACCATCAGTGACTACTGGAAGCGCCAAGGTGGACGACCAGCCGATGCCATCGAAGACCCTTTTGATCATAGCGCCCATGACTCCGACACGGACGTCGCTGTCAATCGTCGTCCACGACAGCGCGCACACGAGGCCAAGAAGAAAAAGCGTCTCGACATTCGCCGCGATCGAGTCCAGCTAAAACAGTACGAACGGTCGCTCAACGAAGAGACAAGAGCAAGAGAAGCGCGACGAGAGGAGCGCTTCGCACAGATCCGACGTGAGAGGCGATTGACGCTCGAGACGACGCGTCTTCAGGAGAAAGGATCCAGTCGAGGCCAACAAAGGCGTCTCGAAAAGTTGGCGCAGAAGAAATGGCAGCGCTCTGCGGGTGCCGCTGGCTCCCACGCTGCTGGACCGTCTCGGCACAATGCGACGCGGACCGACCGCAACTTGGCCGACATCTCCATGAAGGCTCGCGCAGGTGCATCTGGTACCATCGCTGCTCGGACTCGCGTGTCGCAGCTCAACGACAGCATTCCGGAGGACGACGAGAACCAGATCGTCTTCCGTCGCTCCGCACCCAATTATCCCGGGCTCAGCACATCCATGGCACCGATCCGCGATCGTCCCGGAATGGGCTATGGTCCAGTGCGATCCAGTGGGATACCGTCATCCTCGTCGATCGCAGGGCCGAGTACTGCAACGACCAGTCAAGCACCTGCCCCACGCCCTCCGCCCGGAAGCTACAAAGGTGCGCATCGGCGCGGACCCAAGGTTCAAATGAAGCAAGATTTCGGAAATTTCCTGAATCGTCTGCACGGCGGTGGCGGAGGTGGCAGCGGTGCTAGGCCGGGAGCGATGAACTCGAGTACCGCGCCACCTTTGCAAGCTCCCACAGACAGCAACGGCCGATCGATCTCAACAACCGCTCGAAGGCCTTCGGAAGTGAAAAAGCCGAACCTGCTCGTTCTCAAACCCGTCGAAAATTTCCAGGGCGGTAGCCGTCCGGCACCTTCAGCTCCGGCCGCTCATGCTGACAGCTCCGCCTCGTCTGATGCAGCCGATAACGATGCTTTTGATATTCCAGAAATGAGCGCAGTGCGTAGCCAGTTCAACCCTCGACAACCAGTTCCGGAGGGCGAGGAACAGCTCAATCGAGACAGACAAGCGTCGGGCCCTTCGTCAACCGCAAGAGACGCTGCTCTCAAGCCCAAGCAAGTCAGCTTCGCGCAATCGGGACCGTCGCAACCAGCCGTGGCTCGTAGTCCGGTCGAGGACCCTCGACTCCGCCCTGCAACTGCTGTGACCAGTTCTCAACACGATCCTGCAGCGTCTTGGTCACCAGCGCATGAAGATGGTCAGTGGTCGCCACAAGATTCCGGCTACTTCACCACGGAGACAGCCTCGAACGGCGGTCGCTCTCCTGTGCCTCCGTCACCTGCCGTCCGATCCCCGCTGCACGGAGGAACCGCCAGTCGAGGCCCCAAAGTCCATCAGTCACGGGTGCAACGACGTCTGATTTGGAACGGTTGGTTCGAGTTCGACGTTGGGCACAACCATATCGAGACGGAGGGCGCGCTGTTTGCCCCTGAGCGGCTCTCGGCTGATCGCGTCCAGGCACTGGGTCTGACGAGCTCTGGCAGCACTGTCTGCTTCAACCATTACATGCCATTTGCTCATCTTCGCGATGTTCTCGCTGGGCAATCCATGAAAGCTGATGACGTCTTGCTGCTCCATGCACATGGTCTCGGAGCGCCTCAAGCCCGATCCTCGGTGGATCAGCTTTCCGAACAGCTGAAGGCCCTCGACGTCGCGCTGTTTGCCTGTGCGGACGAAGCCGCCGTCATGGGCGAAGCTTCCGGGCTCAAAGATTACCTCGTCGCATTTTCGAGCAAGTACACGGCCGACCACATCAAGGGAGTGCCCCCTTCGCTCGCGGACGCTATTGGGCAACCATACACAATTTGTGTGGTCCCACTGCAGCTGGACCACCACCCAGCTCCATCATCCCAGATCTCCTTCGATCCGCTTCCGCGCCTCGATTCGAATGTCGATAGCGTACTTGACGCCGCCATCGGCAAGAACTTCGGTGATGATTTCCACGTCACTAGTCACGACGTTCGCAAGATCAGGTTGGCGGCACAACGCTATGGAGTCACGAAGAAGGTCTACAAGGACATGCGCAGCAAGTACAATGTGATCTTTCAGGGCGTCAATCCTCTTGCTTACGAGAGGATCATGATCTACTCCATGGCGCGCATCTTCGAAGGCGGCGCCCGCCTCGGTTTGGACCCGGAGAAGGACGCCAAACTCTGGAAAGACACCCAGCGTGGTACCAACATCTTCGTGCGCCGAGCCGCGTTCCAGCAGATGCTTTCCAGCGATCAGACCACCGACGACCCGCGGGTACCCTCGCTAGCTCCTGTCTTGCGCCGCATGAAGCGTCATCCGCTCTGCAATTTCTTCTTGTTTGGATTCTCGTCTGTCGATCCGGATGAGCGTATCTGCGAATTCTTCCCAGGTCGCTCCGGCTTGGTCACATTCACCTTCACGACCATCTTGGCCGACCTTCTACGATCCAGCATGGCAAGTCCGGAGCAGGATCCGCTGGACAAGGAAGAAGGGCAACTCACGCAGACCGACAAGACGCCGCCGGACTCGATTCTCTGCAATGCAGCTTTCCATCTAGCAGACCACTGGAAAGTCCGAATCCACCCGTGGGTCCGAACCTGTTTCAAGCTTCTTGCCGATCATCTCGAGCCCGTGTGCCGAGCTCTAGATCTGATCGGCGAGGATCAGGAGTTTCCGATCGAGCTCATGCTCGAATTGGATGCGAAGCTCGAGACGCTCTACACATCTGCGCTATGCGAGGAGTGGTCGGTCGACGACATCAGTGGCCTGCCGTTTGACGAGCCGACCGAGGTACCCGACGAGCCTGCAGAGCTGGTGAAGCGCGTTGATGATGAGGTGCTCGCCACCCTGCGCAAGGCTCAGATGGCAAGTTCGCGCGATACGCGTTTCCACGTGCTGGTTTCGCAGGGAGAGGAGATGTCGGAGAAGCAACTGGCAGGGATCGAGAAGATCTCTTTGAACGAATTCGGCGCAGACAAGTGTCGGGAGCTGGCAAGGCTGCCAGGCAACTGAAGCACCGGCGCTTTGTATCGATGTAGCTCCCACGCAATTTGTACGACCGGGTGTATGATATTCGATTCGACCGTATGTCACCTTCTCCGCTAGCTCTGCTTGTTTCATGAGTGATGTCCTTTTCGAACAGGGCGTTGATCGTTTGTTGCGTGTGGAAGACGTTCGAGTCGAGTTGCGTTGTTGGCGAGACATGTTGGACCCTGAAATGCAGCGCACGCGGTTTTGCGCGCACAGACTCACGCTTCGGTCTCGAATCAGATCACCTTCACTCCACCATCCTCCTCGACAGAGTCATCAGACAGACGCCTCGCACTGACAACTAGCCGAAGTTGGCGCGATCTGTCGTCCCTCAGCGGAGAAATCACCAGCCTCCCGTGGTAGCTGGCGCAATGCTTTGGATGCACCGGTCGTAGAATCGTTCATCCTCACCAACACGTCGACGGCTCCCATCGACAGGGACGAGGTCGTCGGATGCACACACATCACGGTCCGTGCATTGATCTCTGAGCTGGACAGCAAGATCACCCAGCGCAATGGATCGCGACTTCTACTCCTTCATCCGGCTGTCGGACCTCAGCCTCAATCTCACCTTCCGCATCTCATCGCTTCAAGGCCGACTCGACCGTTTGACGCGGACACAGCTGCTTGATAAGCCGGAAAGCCGACACTGGGGCGCTCAACACTCTCAGTTTCCGGACCTCATCGTCGAGTGCCGTCTCTTCTCGGACAATAAGCCGCTCAGCATCCCGGTCAAAACAGCATACAAGCCCTTCCGCAACAATCATCAGTGGAACGAATGGATCACAATACCCTACAAGCTGTGCGACCTGCCACTTGGCGCTCAGCTAACGTTTACGATCTACGACGTCGCCTCGAGTCGAGCCTCGCGCATCATCGGCGGCACAACGCTGCCGCTGTTCAGCAAGAAGGGCACGCTCAAGTCGGCCCAGCATCGATTGTTCGTGTGGAAGGGAGTCAAGGCGGATGGAAGCAACGAGACGGCAACGCCGAGCAAGGTCGGCGAGATGAAGGATGAGATGGGCAGGCTGGAGAAGCTCATCAAGCGTCACGAGCGCGG